CCATTGTGTACTTCTGTTTTCTTCTTTTACGTTATGCCTTCTATTCATATTATACAGACAAACACTTAACAACATCAGTTAATAAGAGGAAAAAAAACAAAAAAAAAAAAAACAAAAAAAAGAATAAAAAAAAAAAGAAGAGGGGAGTGGAATCGGGGTGGTGGGGGGGGGGGGGGGGGGGGGGGGGGGGTGGGGGGGGGGGTGGGGGATGGCAAAAGGGGGAGGAGCCGACGGAGAATGTAAGAAAAGGAAGCAGGGAGTGAGTGAAGGAGAAATGAGTGGGAGGAGAGAGAAAAGAAGGAAGAAGGAAAAGGAGAAAAAAGGAAATACCAAGGCGAATAAAAAGAATGGCAAGAGGAGAAAGAAGTGAACCAAGGAGTAAGAAAGAGACGAAACGAGGTTGGAATAACGGGTGAAAAGGGAAGAGAGGGAAATAGTCAGAGGGCTGCAAGGTGGAAAAGAGGTAAAAACGATGAAGTGAGTGAACAAAAAGGAAAGGCCGGATCTTCTACGACACCGCACTATGACTTCTATATGATACAAGAACTTACTCAAATTCTGTTCCAAGAATTTTTCGGTGAACTGTGAGATGGACAGCATTGGTTCAGTATCAGCTGATATAAGAGCAGGATTATGACCCACATGCACTGTGTCAGCAACAGACACTGCAGGAGTGACGTCATGAACTACTTTGTCATTGCCGTCATTAGCATTTTGTTCCGCCTCCCGTTCAAATTCTCCGGTCAGCTGACTCAGATGTTGTTTTCCAAATAGATGTTCCTTCTTGTTGTGTAGGGAGCTGAAGAATTGGTTACAGACTCTGCAATACAGTTCATTTGTGTCGTCCTCCTAAAGAAAGATAAGAAAGATCATGGAACACCATGCTCACCGAGCTTAAAATTTACCATCTTTCTCTGTATATCAAACACAAAATTACTCAATTTTTAGTTGAGTGTCGGTAAGTAGGTCAAAATTCCTTTTGGTTGCATTTTTGGACTGTTTCAAGGAACGCAATAATTCCGCCAATTCCGACATTCTGGCAAGAAAATGGCCTTTGACACCTCGGGAAATTTCTCATGATTGGCAGAAGAACAACCTCGTTCTCAGGGCTTTTCTCTTAAAAAGTGGGAGGGGTGGAAAAAGGTCCTGTTATCGGATGGTCATGTGTCCCCTCATTCACTCTTAACTGGCATTAAATAGTGGGTGAAATAAATTAATTAGCGAAGTGTATAATGCGATATAGAGCTCAAACTATGTGCGACCTCACAGCGCGCCATCGCAAGCGGCTTTTTATATCTTTGACGAGTAACGAGGATCTCATGCCCAGGTGACAAGGCCTGTGGACTAGCTCTGTATTTATGGCAAGTGACTCCCCCATTCACGGAGAGCTTGCTCGTAGGTTGGTCATCACTTGCTTCCATCCGCCAAACTGACATTTTTTCCTCTCAGTGGCTCTCACAAGACATTTCACTTTTCTTACATGAAATTTCTGTTCATAAAAGTCTAAGTCTCTTCAATTTTTAAGGGAAAAAAAATTTAGGATGGCACGAGTAGGATTCGATCTCAGAGCATCGGCTCTGCCTGCAGTGCATCACTTTAACCCCTACACTACCAAGGATTTGCTGACAATGAATGGTTTAGTTTGAATATATATAGCAAAAATCCTAACCCCCCTACCCTAACCCTAACCTAACCCTAACCCTTACTTTGTGTAGGAATCATTAAATTAATCTGTCAGTGTCAGTTTGGCGGATGGAAATAAGTGTTGACCTCGTAGGTTAGGCAGCAACAAAATGATACGGCACAAAGCAATATATCCTACCACTTGGTCATTTAATAGTAACGAAGAAGACACTTCCTCTGTACCTTCCACTCCTGCGAGAAAAATATGCACATTTTATAGTGAATCAGTGTAAGTGTTGCAGTTCAGTTTTATCCTTGGTTCAAATTTCATTTTCCATGGTTTCTGGATAGGGTAACGCATGATAATAAGTTGCATTATTATACATTGTACTCACTATCTGTCTTCTCATTGGCTGAGAGCCTACAGCTAATTTTGGAAATCAGCACAATCTACAGATTAGCAGATAACTGACTAATCTGCGGGTTGCGCGCGCAATGAATGAGTTCCAATTACAATATCAATTCAGGTTCCTTGCGAAGGTGTGTTTGTCGTTATTTTCTTCAAAGCAATGTATAATAAAACAATTATTAGATTCGGTTTTTGTGATACCCTGAATAATCAAGGTCTTGGTGGCTGATAACACTTACCTCGACCTTGATTATTCCGGGTATCACAAAAGCCTCATCCAATAATTGTTTAGTACTTCTTGGTCAACAGCCTCTGTACTTAGAGATAAGTGCGTGTAGACTTTGCTCCATCCTTACGAGTCTGCTCTAGCCTCGTGGCTTAAAGAACGATTTATATACTTGTGAAGAGCGTTTTTATCATTATTGAGTTATATTCACTCTGTGATGTGTGTACGAATCAAGGGAATACTGGGTACGAATGAACTGAAATGTGAATACGAATCGACTTGGGTACGAAAAGACACCAGTTTGAAGAAGTCGGATTTCTTATTATCTAAGTTTGCCCGTGTCACTGATCGATGTGTAAACCCCATGTAATATGTTGTAGTATTTTTTTCCGGACCTTCTAACAAAGTGCAACTGCTTAACGTTTGGTTTCTTATAGCAGCGGGGTCGGATATACTCTTTTTATAAGGCTTTTAGTCGTGTATAACTGTTAATTATTAGTACTACAGTATCTTACCAACAATGGTCTTGACTTTCTTAGCACTTTGTCGCTTCATAAATGCTTGGTATTGCTCGGACTGTTGGTAGATCTTCAGCTCCTCAATATATCGCTTCTTATCTTCTTCTGCTTCGTCTAAGTATTTCTTCATTTCCCCACAAGAAAAATAAATAATAGAATAAGTATAAATGTTGGGTTTAAAATCAAGGGACAAGTTGAACTTTTTACAAGGGACCAAGGGAAGGGTACAGACGGCAGGAGAAGCGACGTCTCGCCCATTGTCTCCATCCGCCTTCCTTTGCACGCACATTTTCATAGAGAGAGAGACGTCTGGGTACAAGGCAGGGGTTTGACTGTATATCATACCAATCAGTTGAGTATTTTAAACCTAGCCTGCAAAGTAATCGTTTCTGCTGGAGTTTGGCGGAAACGCTTGCGACGCAGATTATTTTAAGCCATGTTATTTCAAAACAAAACATGCCGCAGCAAGATTTGTATAATACGTACAATCAGCAATCAGATTTTTCACACCTGTTTTTCTTCGGCCAAAAGACTACTCCACTCTGCTCCAAGAATTTTTGTTATTTCTGCAAAAGTTAAGTGTGGATGCTGCTGCTTCACTTCCCCACGGCGACTATTTATGAATCTCACATACCTGAAATGATAAAGAAATCCAACGTAAAAGAACTTTTGAAACGAAATAAATAATGTCCATGCTGAAATTTATTTCACTTGGACAGTAAGGTCCTAGCCTGCGAGAACAGTCATCTCTCCTCGCTAGTATAGGTTCAGGGCTGGGTTGTTCAGAGCTGGGTTAAGGTACAGTGAAATTTGAATTCAGATATGAAAGCTAAAAAAGCAAAGTCAGTTTAATTCTTTTTGTCTCATCTCTTTGAAGTCTCCCTAATCTTAGAGTCTAAACGCCTCTAATATGGATGTAAATTGTTCCTGTACACAGACAGCAACTGATAATTATTAAAAAAAAACAACTAACTAACCCAGTTATTGGAGCTTTTGGTTTATTCAGATTTCCAAATTCTTTCTTTCGCTTCTTGCCTTTTGGCCAACCACCTTTTCGTTTCTGCTGCAAGGTGAAGGAAAAATATAATTATGTAACCACACAACTATCTTAACATGATTAACACCCTTGCACCCCCAGGAATCTTTAACAGACATATGTAGTGAGAAAAGTACAGTTATCATAACTTTGAAGTCATTCAGTGTATGAAACCAATTTAAACCAAACTTGGGATGATATGTGGAGAAAATACATGTATAGATATACATCTGTGTACAACTCCAAAGAACATCTACCTGTAATCGCTCTTCAGTATTAATTTTGAGTAAAACAAAATGGTTTTGAATTAAACTGAAATATTGACCTGCATTTCTCTATATATAGCTGTAGACTTCTTCCGTCACTTTTAATACAGTAAATCTCTCGTAGTAACCACTTCTAATTAGCGACCTCCCGACCACTTTAAATTAAAATTAAGGTGAAAGTGACACTGATAAGTTTAACCAAGATCATTTAAAAATTTTAAACAAAAATAAAACCTTTGTCTGAATAAAGTATACATTAAAATAGAAAAATCCATAATTCATCCTCAGAAACAGAAGCGAAGATTTCAGCCATTCTGTTTCTGAGGAGAACACTCCAAGGGGCTTGGTAACCAGGCAGACGTTGAACTTGACATGATAAATGCAATATCTGCAGCAGATATTGCATTTATCATGTCAAGTTCACAAGGTATTGTGAATTGATTGAATGCTCTCGACCAATCAGATTTTTCATAGTGAGTCTGATGTATAATAATACAACTTATCTTCTACATGATTTCAGATATTAAACATTATTATTAGATGGGGTTTTCGTGACATCCATAATAATCAAGGTAAAGATACATGTAATAATTTATTATTGTTATCAGCCAATGCTGAGGCTGATAACACTAACCAAGATAGAAACACTTACGGAGTATAGTATGACATTGCTCTTGGAAATGATGCATTGCACACCCAACCAATATAAGTCAGTTATCTGCTAGCAGTTAACTAATTAATCTTTAGGTTGCACTGATTTCCAAAATTAAGGCTTTTAGCCAATGAGACTTGACAGATAGTACATAGAATGTTTAATAATGCTAAGTAAATGGACTACAGTGTACTACTCACCTTAGGATCATTGGCAGAACTACCTGGTGCCCCTTCTGTCACCAAAGGTACTCCACCCTCTGTTAAACCAGCTGCAGAGGAGGAAATGTCAACGTTTATCGTCAACTCATGTGCATCATTGACATTTGCTGTGCTTCCTGTAACTTCTTCATCATTGGGTAAGTCTGCTTCATGCTGAATCGAATCAACCTGTTGCGGCTGTTGGACAGAGAACAGCTGGTTTTCAGGAACTGAAACAACTGCTACAGGACTGGTCAACACCGCACCTGTAAATATAAGCAGTCAGTTTTTTTTTATCAGGTTAAACTGAGTTTCAAATATAACACTGACAATAAAGATGAAAAGCACAGTAAGATTTAATAGAACCCCCAATGTAACAACAAAACAGTACAATACATGAACAAGCATTACATTTTTTGCCTAATTAACATATGCTTATCATTATCTTTCCTTTATGACAAACTCTTCTGCCTGACTTTAAATGACTCACAAATTAGACACAGCTGCACACATACCTGGACAGGTAAGAGTACCACTTGAACTAACAGCAAATGTTGCCACTCCATTACCTGGCAATGCAACACTCCTGAGAAAAATGAAGTAATGATGAAGAATTTATTAGATCAGAATCTAAGGCCTTAGATTTTAGTCTTAATGCTTGCTGTATTCTGTTGTTTAACTGCTCAAAAAGGTTTGAGAATTTTCCCTATTTTCCTTAATCTGATAGGAAAAGAAAAATGCTTTAAAACTATTTAATAAATGTACCTACACAAATCATTGCATATTTACACTGTGCCTTAGTTTGGATTGTAATACTACAGCCATGTAAAATGTAAAGAAACGGAACAAAGGTGCAAAATAACTGCTGAATCAAGTCTGATTGAGTTTGCTATCTAACTTGGAAACGAACCCCATAGCAGATGCTCCAAAAAATTTTTGGAGTGTGTATTTTTGAGCAAGTGTGAGAAATCAGATGTAGATCATAGACTCATTAACAAATTAAAAATTAAAGTTATTAGACTTACAAAGTTTGCTACAGTGTAAAACCAGTCAGTATAAAACACGGACTGCGGACTGCGGACTGCGGACTACGGACTGGGTATAAAAAATGGACTAGGTATAAAACGCGGACTAGAAAATACGGACTGGGTATAAAACACGGACAAGGTATAAAACGCTGACTGCGGACTGCGGACTGGGTATAAAATATGGACTACGGACTACTTTGGTAAAAACAGTGCAAATTGGTTCTAGGTAAGGAAAAATAAGATCAAAAGATCGCTAAATAGCAAGACACGTGAGTTAAAGTTGTAAATACTCCTATAAATTCTTGGTGGAGGTGTCCCGCCCGGTTCTCTGAATCATGAGTATCATGAAAGGGGTCAGGATCAGGGGTGGTACTCCCTTCTATAATGGAAGGGTAGGGGGTTTGGGCCTTTTTGGTCTGAAAACACTTTGCCCATTTTGGTGTGGAATCGGGTATGGTTTTCGAGGGAACTATGGGAGCGTACATGAATGGACGTATTTATCGTTTCAATTCCAAATGAATGAGAACGAAATAGAAATGTGCGAATTTGAAATGCATTTGGAGAATTTTTTTGTTTGCGCTCTAGGATTTAGAGAACCGGGCACTACACCCCCACCAAGAATTCCCAGTAGTACCCCCCTCTGGGGATCAGGAACAGCGTGTAAATCATGTTATCATAATCATCGCTTAGAATATAACGTTGGATGACTCATTTCGGTTATTATTCACGTATGTGAGTAATCCCTCCCACCTAAATACTGCTTTGTGCATCTCATTGACCTTCTCGTCTGAGTTCTTCATTCAGTCCTCATATTCCCAAGGCTTTATTTGAAACGGAATTGTCGCATCTGATAAGAATTTTACTGATCTGACTAACAACAATACTATTTTTTTTAATTCGGTGCTTCTTATTGGTTTAAAACTGCAAATTGAAATCTCTTCAAACTCCCTCTTTTTATAAAATTCAGAGTTTAATTTCAGTTGCCTTGAGTACTGGCATAACCTTCCTTCTCCGTGGAAAGAATAGACTACGTGAACAGCCAAGGGAATGTTAAAGCTGGGACTACTGTTTTGCTAGTCCGCTTTCTATTTCTCTCAGTTTTACCTTCTAAAGCTGTTTTTATATACATAGTCCGTAGTCCGCGTTTTATACCTAGTGCGTCTTTTATACTCAGTCCGGAGTCCGCATTTTATACCTAGTTCGTATTTTATACCCAGTCCGCAGTCCGTGGTCTGCAGTCCGTAGTCCATGTTTTATACTGACCGGTGTAAAACTGCTGGTTTGCATCTGAAGGCCTGGTGGCCATATATGGTGGTTGACAAGAAAAAAAGCGTATCTCCACAGGGAACCAAACTCATTATTTCATTAAAAATCTATTAAAAAATATCATGTTTTGTCGACCAACATGACCACCTCGTCAAGGGGTTGCAAACCAAAAATGGAAAATTACCTTGTGCAATTAGTCAGCCATCAGCTGAGAAACATGTTTAAGCATGACTATAAATAATATTATTTATGTAGTGGTCCAATTTTATCCTTGGTTTTAATTTCATTTTCCTTCTTTTAAACTCTTCATCATGCACTACCATGCATACAAACACACCCAAATTAATTGAACCACATAAGTTTATATATACATATGTAAGGTTACATGTACATGTAACTTGCAGCTATAAATAAAACACTGAAAACATAAAGGTTATACAAACTACCTTGAAATGTCCGAGTAATTCTGAGTGACAACAACTTCGGCAAAGCAATTCACTGAAGATGTGGCCGTTTCAAAGTTGGTTTTATCGGCGTCCGATTCCACAGCAGACCCAAAAGGTGGTATAAAACTCAAACTAGCAACTGGCGAGTTGACACTCTCCATTTTGAACTCACGGAATGATTCCGCAGTTACAAAAGTCAGCGGTGTTGTAGCTTATGTCATGTATCTAACAGGTAGTGTCCTTCCTCTGCCCCACGCGTTTAGGAGGCAATGACAGAAACGTTCACAGCACAGACCAACATTTTTTTTTTGGCGGAGAGACCCATTGCTAGAGGCCTCTTCAATTCTAAACCTACAAACTCAATCTTTTTCCCGTTCTTTTTTCGACTTTACTTGTAAAAAGCAACAACCAGTTAATTGTTGATGAATATTATTGTATTGTACTCCGAGGTCCGTTTGGATCAGGGGCACCCAGCGAGAATATAGTTCAAAACCACTTAAACATAGCATTGTAAAACGTATTTTAGTATTTAAACGATAGATATAGGCATATTCTTATCCCCTAAATTTTTTGTCTGTTCGGATTTCCTAGCTCAAAGTCTAGTGATCCGAAAATTATAGGGATCGAAACTTACCTTTTCGAAAATTTCAGCCAGAAAAAAGGCTCCCGAAAATTCTATGTGACCTTTTTAAGGTAAAAATCCGTTACAAATGGGCAATTATACCATTTTTTAGATGTTCCAAAATCCTAGGAGAGGCAGGCAAGCGAGAAATTTTACAACAAATGTTCCGAAAATTCTAGATCTCAAATCGTCTTCCGAATGATTCCGAACAGATATTTTCCGAAAATTGACGTTGGGTGCCCCTGTTTGATTTTCATAGTGCAAAAATGTTTTCCTCGCGAAAAAAGTCGTGATCATGGTCTCGGCCATTTACGTCTTTGTTGATTCTGTATTCATATTTAATCTTCTAGATTACCCCCAACAAAGAAAATACAAACAATACTAACTTCACTTTTAGATTTTATGTCTGATCTTTATTATTCGAGTCTCTACGTGCTTAACGAGTGGTTCAGTTTTAAATCACTGTTCTCGCGGCTATAAGACGGCTTAATCCTCTGGGGACGCACGCATTGTACTCATTGTCAATTCGCAAAAAGGCTGGTCAACTAATCCTTTTTCTTAGAAACGGCTCTTTTGTTTGCTCGAGCCTTCAGCCTATCTTTGTTACCAGGTAATACTGAAAACTTAGTCGTCAGTTTTTCAGTATCGAACATTCAATCATGACAGCGTTGAACTCATGAAAAGAACGGGCCAATTCGTATACGATGCGAGAGAGTAAACGTTCAAAGGAAGCAAAAGGAGAGCAACAAGTTCTGTCATCTGGTTATGTTGATCTGTGCGAGGTAGAAGACGAAAAAGGAGCCGAACACGAAAATTCATTAAGGGTCCAATTAATATTACCAGAAAACAAATCTAAGCAGGCTAAAAACACCTGCACCAGTAAGGAAATAACAACTTTGCCAACACTTCCATCGATTTGTGAATTCACGATGTTTACCGCAAGAAACCGGTCATCAGCAAAAACAACAGAGAACCAGATTTCGCATGGCCGAGTATTTACAAAACTACCACCTATGGGCAGCAACTTAAAGACTGTAAAAATGGACGGCGCCGCAAATGGACTACCAGCAAATAACAATGCTTCGACGAACAAAGGACCTGTGGCATGCACGAAACAAAACATTCAAATGGAAGTAAAGTGCAAATTACCTGAGGACTACAAAGACCCAACGTATAGAGACACTAAGAAAAGAATTTGGGATTGGTTAAGGCAGTCGGAAGAACATCAACCTACGTATTTGCGCCGAGCAAATGCCTTTAAAAACGCTTTGAGTTTGGACAACCGCACTGACACGCAATACAAAAATTTTAGTCAAAGGAGGACTGTCACACAAAGAATTGGACTCTAGTTATGGGAAGAATTAAGTTTAAGGGGCAGTTACGAATTCCAATCAACTGCGCAGTCAAATCGTCATATTGCGTGGCTCTGAACCTCGGGTTGTTAAGGAAATATTTATTCTGACTTGCCTGATATTTTGGCTCCTGAGTGATTACATAATGAATTGTTAACGTGTTTGCTTAGTTATTCATTTAAAAACAATACCGTTTTTGAAAAGATTAACTACGTAGCTACCAGGTCAACGTAAAGTGATTTTATTCCGCTGTGCACTGTATTTGTCAGCTTTACGTGACCTTAGGAAGTATATTCTTTCAACTAAAAAATAATGTAAAAAAAAGACAGTGAACAAAATCGGGCTTTTTTATCAATATCTCACGGAAGCATTTTTCTTTATATTTTTAACAGCTTGAGCAGTTGTTCGCTCCGTGTAAGGGAATTCAAGACAGTCCTGAATTCTGGATTCCATGCCTTGGATTCCAGATTCCAGATGCTGTATTATGCTTTCGTTTTCAGTGGAACTTAGATTCCGGTTTCCAACCGTTAGTGGGACCCGGATTAGTTGAGCTGTATTCCCGATTCCAAAGACTAGGATTCCGGATTCCAATAGAAAATATTTCCGGATTCCGGATTCCACAAGCAAAAATTTTTCGGATTCGGAATCAGGATTCCCTTGCGTGGAGCGATGTTGTGAAAATGAGTCATTTACCATGATAATAAGCTTGCTTCTCATGAATAGAGGAGAGACCCTTAGGGCAGTATATTTAAATTTGAAGATCTTGTTTGAGACAGTCGATGGGTCCCTAGGGTTGTCTTCTGACTCATCATGTGATCAGTTGAAATAAGACTGCTAGTCAAGTCAGTGTCAAGTACTCTATAACTACTGATAACCAAGCAACCATCAGCCCTAGTTTTCCTTCAGAAAACGCCAAAAGAAAACCAGCTGCGTTTGGCAGTCATTAGTCAGTCTGCATTCACTATCTTAACAAACATTGAGAGGTTGGGTTGAAAATTTGAACCGTCTGTAGAATGAAATAAACAGACTTTGAGACTTGCTTGGTGTGCATTCAGAGTTTGTGTGGCAATTATAATCCTATCCCAGTCACCTTTCCTGTAAGAGTTAATCGATCCTAAGCGTTGTGATTATGAATATACCCAGTCAGTGCCGGATCCAGACCTTTAGATAAGGGGGGGGGAAGGGCGGTCTCCAAGATTTTTCGGCCCTCCGGGCCTCATTAAACCCTTTTACGGGAAGTCGTTTTCAAAATGAGAAGCGTGAGACTCCATGTTAAGTAGGGTTGAAAATGCAACCTCATTCACTCCTGCTACGCCAGCCGGCCCACATGGCTCAGCAGCCCCTGACAGCAGCCTTCCTTTTCAAGACCTTTCCACCGGGTCTAGTGTATATATCAGTTGTTCTCATAATTCGAATCTACTCGTCTTTGTCAATTCACAAACCAAAGGCTCGACTTTGAATGCGTCCTTCCAGAATTTCAGAAGCCTTGCTTTTTAATAAGGAAGGAAACAAATAAACCAGGAGACAAGTATTATGACAAGAGTTTGATTTATCGGGGACTAATTTAACTTCATTATAATAGAATGACAGCTCTCGTCTGGTACCAGAAATTGTCTTCAATTGGAACCATGTGTTGTCTTTTGTGTTTGTATATGTAAAACAAATCTCGTCTGAAGGATAAAGTCCCATATGTAGGAATCAAGCAATTATCATGACATTGTATATAACCGGCCTTTTTTTCGGTTTCCTTATGGGATTTGCGTATGTTGTCATTTCTGGTGAGTGTAAACAACGAAAGTGTCTTCAAAGCATTCTGTTTCTCACTAGCCCGGAGTCAATGCATTTTAATTGGTTAAACCAACAAGGTGGACGTACTTGGATAATTGACATAATTGATTTATTGTTTCTGTAACTTTTATGTTATTTATGTTTCAAACTACTCATATACGTCTACTGATCCGTAGACGAAAATAGCAGCGATTCTGATTCGACGATGGAATTAGAAATGTATGATGAGGAAATGAGAGGTAAGTGACGCTTCATGTTTTACCAGGATTTTAAGCATTTAGAGCTTTCAGGTTATTGAAACAGGCCAATAATTATTATACACACATCTATCCTTTACCTTTGATTTAGCACAGCAAAGTTTTGCCAAATATTGTTTTATTGTAGTTTGCGTCGTGTAATATAATCAGTTGGGGAATTTTGATTAACACAGTGCCCCACCGTCTGATAAATATCCATACAGCAGCGCGAGCACGGGAAGACTTGGGAAGGGTGACACTCCCACCCGGTCAGTACTGATGATTTGAAACGATGTTAAGTCTGGCACAAATTAAGGCTAAAAATGATGATAGTTAGTTTCCAGGGTTACGGCGAGACCAGCAGGGTCGAGCCACTTTTTGGAAAAATGCACTTAAGTGGGCAAAACACGAGCGGTAAATGTTTGAATTATTTATTATTTGACAAGCCTAGTTCAGTAAAACAAATTACAGCTTAATTCCTTATTCTTGATAATTTCGCTCAGAACTTTGATAAAATCCAACATGGCGACCACTTTGTCGCCATTTGAATGACATCACAGATGAGTAGTGTGATTATGCGTTATCAGTTTGCGGAGTTTTTTTTACAAGCTAAATAATGTAAAGGTAAAATTTGTTTCAAGTGATGTGATAAAGAAACAAAGTATAGAAAGAGAACAGGGGTCTTTTTTGCCTGAGCATGCGCGACCGCTGAACAAGTGATGTGCATGGAGGCTTACCACAGGGTTTGCCTTTATCAAAATGGCGCGTCTCAAAGCTATCATAGCGATTATTTTGCTCGTTGGTCTCGGCGAATGTGCTCGTGATTTAACAAAATGTTTGCAAAAAAAAGCTCTAGCATGGTCTTAACAAAAGCGAAGTAGACCGGCTTTAACATACACGAGCTACTATCAAATGTTATCTCCTCACTCGACCTGGACAACAGCGCGCGTATATGTAGTGCCTGGAGGATTGCGCTGACCTCATGAAAGTCTAAACAAAGTGCAGAAACGTTTGTTGATGCAAGTAAACACTTTGGACTTTCTTTGTTTTGAAATGGGAAAGGAAGAGAAATATTAAAAAAAACATAGCAAATTTCAGCGAGTGGGTTCGAAGTGCGCGAAAGCCGATGTTCAGTTCAGCAGTGAATTAATATATGTTCTACAATTTTCCCAGCACTTTAAAGCTACAAAATTAAGAGCACGCGAGACGTAGATTAGTCACCTGGTGAGATGTTGGTGGTAGTCACCCTGTATGTCTCGAACAATAAAAAAAATGAATGTCAATGAGACACAGTCAAAACTGCATTCAATAGGACCGAAATTAAAGTCCGATCTTGTGACCGATTTTGATGAAACAAACGGTTAGGTTTCCCAAGAAGTACAGTAAACATGTGATGCCGACCAAAAGTTAAAAATCATTAGAACATTTAAGTTCTGGCCAAAAGCAAATTCCTGTAAAAGATGCGTTACAATGTTAGTCCACGCAAAAACAAAAAGTTCTACAATTTTCCTATAAACAAACTTTGTATCGCTAAAATACTTAAGGCAAAAACTTTCGATTCCAACTGAAAACGGCGTGGTAGTCGCCCGCTGATCGTTATTAATCCACTCCTGAAATATGGCAGCTACTGAACAAATTATTGACAGAAATCCTCTACGGCATGGAGAAACTAATTTACATCCGATTTATAGACAAACAATAAATAAAGAACATTTTGCTTTGCTCAGTAGCTACGCATCAGCAATGCATTCTATGCCAAACTTTGCGGTTCTTAAAGGGGAATCAAGACACGAGTCGAGCGCCAAACAACAACAAGCAGCCATGTTCATGTCAGATATCTTTGAGAAACTTGCTCTTTCACCTCGTTCAGCGCATCAGTCTCAACTTTAAATCAACAGATCTTTACTTATTTTGTACCACGAAGGTCTTTCCTAAGTTCCTGCTACCATTTCAATCTCAAGCAAGCTTTCAAAGTGAACAATTTGGTTCCTATGACTATGCAGCACGGTCGCTGTCACTGGTAGCGTGCTCTTTGACAAGTCAGCGGTCGCGCATGCTCATGCAAAAAAGACCCCTGTTTAGAAAGAGGAAGCTTGGTTAATTGGGTTGTAGTTGGGTGAGTGCTTGTGCTCACCAGAGTTAATTTACCATATGACCTGTGGAATTGGTCGACAAATGTAACTTTGGCTCCACTTTAAATTGATTTTTCATAATTGGTTCATCAGGCTACTTTGGGGAGTTGAACCTCAGTAAACAATATTTCGAAGGTGATATCACATTAACCGAAGAACAGAGTGACCTTCTCCAGAAACGTTGGAAAGACTACCCAACACAAAGTGAGAACACAACGAGAGGTTTAAGTTTCCGAAAGCTTTGGTTGAACAATACGGTTCCGTATACTCTGACAAGAGGGTTGCGTAAGTAACTTAAAGTATTTCTTTTTCAAAGATCCTAAATTTATTGATGGGAAACTTTCCGCCTCGGTAAGCCGCGACTTTTCATAGAAAGAATTCAAAGGAGAACGGAGACAGGCTAACTCTACTGAAAGCACTTCGATAAACAGAAAAGAGCAACTCAAAAAGAAGTGATTATTAACCGCTTCATGAGACCGATTTGCGTGCACTGATGATGGGCTGATGATGCTGAAAAGTTAGACTTCTCAAGTTAAGTTCAGTACGCACACTAGCAGCATGAAAGAACATATATTTTTTTTCTTAGTGTCGTTAAGCTGTCAAATGTCTTCACCTTCACACAATGCTGACATAATGACATATACTGCTGATCTTCCTTTTGCTTAAAGGGCGTTATTTCACTAGTGTAAACCAGTCTTAACGCACAATAATGATGGACAATGCTGTGCTGTCTACTGAGATAATTAAAAAATTGGTCTGTGTTGCTGCTGAATTAATATCAATTTGCACTTGGGAGAGAGGAAAAATGTCGAAAATTATACCAAAAAGCGGGACATGAAGGAAGGTCTGCTGAATGAAAGAAATTGTTTCTTACCTTAGAAAAAAAAAGTATCTTAGCTCAGCGAGACATTTTGGTAATTGCAGGGATGGCGAGTCTAATAAACATTCGTTCAGCAATGCAGGAGTGGCAAAATAGCATTTGTATCACTTTCAAAGAAAGAAGCTTAGAAGAAGATTACATTGAGTTCGCCTATGAAGGAGGGTATGGTATAGACAAGCTAAATCTATCGCGAGAGCCGAGGGTCTTATGCACACCCTTAAGTATAATATAGTCTAACAGGCTCATTTTCGATTCGCACAGCTCGCTTTGATTATAATATATTAGTGTTATGATCGCCAAAGAATGCGTTGAGTGACTAATTTGGAGACATTTTGCAAACTCGTTAAACAAAAACGACATTTCAACTTTCATGCATAGTTTTTTAAACGCGTGTCGTACAGTAAGTTGTAAAAAGCCTTGGAGATAGTGACTATCTTGTCAATAGCCTCTCTGCGTTCGTAAGCCCCCTATATCAATCAATTCAATCATGCCACTGAAGCTTGTTCGATTCCCAGCCAGGTTCTCTTGTTATTGATTCTTTTCCCCCTCGAGTATTCAACTGTCGTCAAAGGCCTTGACTGTCTTGAATTTTATTGAGATAACCCTTTTTTATTAAAATGCAAAGCCAATGTTTGAAAGTTTTGGCTTACCTTTTGTAATTATTTGCTCTCTTTTTTTTGCTTTTTGTTTGGTGTTTTATTGCAGTTGTTCGTCAAATATAGGCCGAATTGGAGGCCGGCAACTCATTTCCGTGGGCTCCATAGGAACAGAATTTTCAGACAGGTCGTGCATGACTCCTACGCCGTATGGCAGCAACGTGACAATCACGTGCACGAAGGGCAACATCCTACACGAAATTGGGCATGCGCTAGGATACTATCACGAACACAACCGACCTGATCGTGATGAATATCTGACGGTGGTCTGGAAAAACGTAATTCCTGGTAATAAAACATTCACAACCTACCTTAGATGGTACACGTCTGACATAACCTCCTTCACGACTCAAAGTTTAGAATAATTATGATAATAGGACATTTAATACCGGGAGGTAGAAACAAACTTCATGAGTTCCACCGTAAGACATACATACACCTTGCATGCTTGTGATATTATTAGCTTTCAAGGGCATCAGGGAGGGCTATGGCTATCGTCACATCTTGAAACTATACTAAACTGAGTGCCGCCTGAACTGCTGGGGAAGAACAAATCAAGTTAAATATAACTGAAAATATAAAAAAATCTTTTCCCCCGTCTTTTATTAATACACTTGTCGATGATACAATAACGACTGTGCAACAATCTTTACTGAATTATTGATACAAATACGCCGAAAAAAGCAGAAAAAACTAAAGTAAGGGTGCTTGCCGATAAAGACAGGACAGTCACTTAGAACTCTTAGATTCTTTTCTTGTTAATAAATTCGGATTGAAATAAAATTGTTGCTTCTCGATCTGTCTCCAGGATGCAAAGTCCATTTCCAAAAGGAGGGATTTACAACGATTGATTCACGTGACATGCCGTACGACTACAATTCTGTGATGCATTATGGATCATTCTTCTTTTCTCAAGAAAGGGGATTGAGAACGTTACTTGCAAGGATGAAAGGAGTACGAATTGGACAAAGAGAAAAGCTCAGTGCTCTGGATGCGCAGAGAGGAAGGTTGCTTTATCAGTGCACATTGATGGCATTAGATGACTCCAATAAATTGACTGAAGAGGAACAGAATTTAACTGTGTAGAATATCAAACGTAAACACTTTTCAAAACATAAAGTTAGGATATTTTGTTAAATAAATTAAAGTGTTCTTATAATTCCAACGTTGTGTCAGAACGGGTATTAATGATCAGAGCTGAACTCAGTGCCCCAAACTATGCCCGGCAATTTTGTTTGCAGCCATTTGGGGGAGGGGTGGGGGAAGGGAGTAGCGGGGCCTTGGTGGGAGAGAAAGAAAGTTTGAGCCCCCTATGCACGCCCCCCAAAAATTCTATACAGCCGGTGTTCAGAAAAAATTGATCCAGCTTGGACTGAAGTTTCAATCAAAAATATGAACGCTCTGCAACGACATCATGTGCGAAACTGTCGGTGGCCAGCCGCCTGCAGTCAAGAGTTCTCATCCGTTACCAAGCACCTGCCTGTGGGGCGTTGAATTTGCCTGTTTCTACACGCTCTAGTGAAGAAGGGCCTTTTCAGATGATCATGTATGTGGCGGAAAAATCCTAAAAGAAGCATTTCTTTTAACTTCACATTTGACGAAGGCTATTACTTCAGATTACCGTCAGGTGGTAATATCTTTTTTTTTTTTTCTCTTAAAAATAGGTTACATTACTTCCTTCTGCTTTATGTAATAGCCTGCTCCTAGACCAAATATAATTAAAATATTTGGGTTAGGCGCTTTCAAAATTATGTTAATCATAATCAATCAGTCGCAATCAAGTGCATGTTCATTCTAATAACAACCGATTGCAGATTATTATTATTAGTATTATTACTTATTCGCAGTTATTAATAACAATTCCGTTGTCGGACCAGTAGGTAAACCATTGCTTTAGTATCAAACTTTTCCCTTGTCATTTTCTTTGACGATCCTTGACCCTAAATAGAAATCTGTCCAAAACAGTTACTGGTGGCGCAGCAAGTTCAATTGTTTTTGACTGTTTTCAATTCACATTGGAACGCGGTTATTTGGTCTCAGCTAATTTTAAGGTCGTAAGGCCAGGAGAAGCAGGTACAAAAGATTGGGCAAAACTAATGCTTATAAAAAGTAAATTTACTTGTAGTGGATTTCACCGGGAACGACCATGTCAATAATTGGCCCCTGACAATGCAGCCTATGGTAGTCATTCTATTAGTATCGGGGATATGCGGAAGAGTTACATGAAGTCCGAAGAGTGACCGACATCAATTTTCTCCTAGAAATATCACCACATAATCTAAAGAATGAAGTTTGTGAGAACTGATAAAATGATAAACAAAGGGAAAACGTTTTGATCTTTTATCAAATTCTCTCATACTGAATTCTTTGGAGAAAATGAGTGGAGATTTATTCTTGTATCATGTACAGTGGAACCTCGGTATAACGAACCTCTATTAAGGGCGGAGTCTTCAATCGGATGATAATGAACGATTTTTTTTTACCCCAGTAATAGAGAAAAATATGAAAAAGAACCTCGATATATTAACGAAACCTCTCGTTATGCGAACAAATTTTGCCAGTCCCTTGGCCCTTCATCCAGAGTTCACAGTATTTTGGATCTTAAATGTTTAGACAGCAATGCATTGCCACATCTCAGATGGGCAGGACAGCCACTCGATATCCTATGACTGCTTCGTTAACACTTAGAATTATTGACCACTGGAATATTTTGAAAATAGTGGAAAGCGTACCCAATGAAGTGTACTTAGAAAATTGGGGAGCTTAAGAAACGTCGACAAGCCTAAATAAAAGCTAAGGTTGCTTGAAATGGCTCAGTAGCACTGAGCATTAGGATATCGCGGTCAATCAATAAAGATGGCATTGTCAATGCAAGGCATGCGAACTTGAATAAGAATTCTGTAGACTTGTAGTCAGACAAGATGAAATGCAGAAGATAAATTTGACGTTGTGGTCACTTTTCTTCTCCAACCTTTCGCTGACACATTTTATTGCGCTCAACCAGGAAACATAGAAGTTCACAGAGAAGGATGAAATGTTTTGGTGTGTCTGCAATTTTGGTTATTCAATTCTTCCTGCTAAGTAACGGTAAGTATTACTAATTTGCATTATGGATGAGGTTTCTGTGATATCCAGAATCATGAATTAAGGTTGAGGTAAGTAATAAACGTACCTATCAGACCTTGATCATTCCTGATAAACACAAAAACCGAATCTGACAATTGTTTTATATGCACTGTTTTGAGGAGAATAACGACAAACAGCACAAACACGTAGTCGTACGGTCCAAACAGTTTGACAAAGTGCTCTTGGAAACCATGTATTGCGCGCGCAACCAGCAGATAACTAACTAATTTGTAGCTTGCGCTGATTTCCAAAAATCATTGTAGTCTCTTGGCCGATGAGAATACAAATATTGAGTACAACTTATGATGATGGAAATTATTGGATGTGGCCGAGTATCTTAGTACTTATGAAGAAATATGAAGATCGAGGAGGGTTTTACCGGCCAGGCCACGTAACCAAGCTTGCCGGTTGATGTTTGCCGATATCAATACCATTGACGACATTCGTATAAATACCCAAAAAGAGGGACTCAAGGAGCGGTGGCTCAGCTCAGTTTTTTGGCTGTGTGGAGCTGGAGCTCAACTTACAATCATCGGTGTGTTGCTCTGTCCTCCATACGCGCATGTCCTTGATTCACTCGACCGCTGATCTTATAAGAGCTAAATCATCCGATCGTGAAGTTAGAATACTGATCACACTGATAATAGTATATTTGTGGCTTTACAAATGATGAAAGCAAAAAGCTCAAGATTTTTACGTATTACGTAAATTGTTAAACTTTATAACTCATTGATATATTTTACTTTTGTTCTTGTTATTATGATCAGTCGTAACTGGTGCTAACATAACGAGCAATTTCACTGGGCTGGATGTAAATATAGACCCAACATCCTTGAAAACGTACGAAGACGAAGTGGAAGGTAATGACAGAAAGCTTTTTACTTTAGAATAAAAGACCAAAAAGTGAAAGTGACTACTCTGCCCATTAACTGGGATCTATAAATTTTCCTGTCATTGGCAAGCGATCTTAGATAGGGATTTCGGGATGCGGGACTTCCCTCATTTGAAGGCCGGGAGTAGGAATTTTAAAGCAAAATGGGGAAGAGATTCGGGATTGACAAAAACGATCATCGGGATTACGGGGTGGCACAAAATTGAGTCGGGACGACGGCATTAAATAACCCTATTGGGGACCTTCATCTAAGCTACAACCAGTTGCAAAAGTACTTGAGACACTGTACCGTATTTTTGCTTAAACGGCTGGTCCATGATCTTCTGCTTTTGACCCCTCTTCACCCCTTATCAAAGTTGCTAGTAATACAAGACTTGGAGCAACGACTTGAGTGGAAGGGAGGTCAGTATTACATCTCACAGACCTGTGACTAGCAGCGATTTGAAGTAAGAAACGTCGTTTGTTTATTGGAGTGTAGGAACATTTTTGAAACTAGTTGTAGCTTTAAAACTGAAATGCAAAGTGAGCGTAAGAAAAACAGCCTTGGCTTTTTTTAAAAGTAATTCGAATTCTACTAAAAACTGTTAAAAACTGTTTTGACATTTCAGTAAATAAGCCAAGTACTGCGTTTTCGATTCCATATAACAATCACATTTAATTTTGCCACTTGAGGATAGATTTAACAATGACACTTCTTTTTTTTAGCAACTTATGGTGAATTAAATCTGGGAATGAATTACTTCGAAGGTGATATTTTACTCACTCAACAACAGAAAGATTTGATCAACGCGTCAAAAAATGCAAGTAACATTCAAGCGAGAGATCTTGTAAGAGATACCTCGAAATTATGGATTGATGCTGTCGTACCTTATTTACTTGCCGACGACCTCAGTAAGTTTGTTCAACAATTTACGCTCGCTAAATTTGGCTAGAAAGACGCAAGAACCTGTAGCACTGCGTGAAATACATATAAATTAAGACGTTTTCCATCAAACTGGACATAGAGCGGTTTTGAATTTAGTGTTTTACTGAAAACCAAAACCTAATCATTATTACAAAATCAAATAACTCTAATTAGCTTGAAGCAAACACCTGTAGCCGGCCCAATCTTCTCTTTCGTATGAGTCTCTGTTAAAAGGAAAGAATTGAAATCCGCGAGCAAGAATTTGTGCCCAGGCCTTTTGTATGCTAAGCTCTCTCCCTTACCACTACACACACACTGATTCATCAAAATGTCTAAAAAATTAAGTTTACGAATTATAATTAACTCTCTTTACATAAGACTATTTATAAATGTACCCCCTTTTTGCTTTGTTTTACCTCAAACAAAAGCATATCTTAACGCCTACCATGAGTTCAGACTTTGAGCCAATCAAACTGCGACCAAAGAAATCACGAAATTCTTACTTTCGACTCTAAATTCAAATTACCTTATACTTTTGCATGCGGTTGCAGATTTGGAAAGTCGTGGTTACATTGACTCAGCAATAAGTGAGTGGAGTGGAAAAACTTGTCTTCAGTTCAGGGAAAAAACTTATGACGACGAAGATTACATAGAGTTTGTCTACGAAGTAGGGTACGTACATTGCTCGGCGCTTAAACGAAATCAGCTCACATTTTTTTCCGCATCGGAATTAAATTGGTCGTATTCGCCATACCTGTATTTCATACTCGGTATTCCGTCGATTCCTATGCAAGACACAATGTGTTGATCCACGTGTTGTGTGAATAATTTTCACTCCAAAGGACCCATCTAGGGTTGAATTTAATCAAATAAAGCGTGAAATTGGCTATGCCGGAACGCATTTTTTGATCTCATTAGATGTGTTTTTGGTCATGTCTATAGCAGATATTTTTTCATTTTCAGAATTTTCCCAACTATGAAGCTACTGTTGTAATGCTGTCGGTTTCTTTTAGATGTTCTTCCTATGTGGGACGTATCGGAGGCAGACAAACAATTTCAGTAGGAAACGCAGATGGTAGCATTATATGTAGACACGGTAATATAGTTCACGAAATTGCGCATTCCGTGGGTTTCTTCCATGAACACAGCCGACCCGACCGTGATGACTATGTCAACGTTCACTGGGACAATGTTGAAAGCGGTTGGTATTGAACCTCCATAGTCGTATAAAAGTGAAGAGCGTTTCGATTTCCTTTACTTTGATTTTTTCCCTTTGAATTGCATTATCCTTTTAGAGAACGTTTACTTTCAGCTCAGCTTCGAATTCTGAAACTCCTTCCAGAAAATCATCAATTTTGTTGAAATACTATCACTTGATTCGTTGCCAATATGACTAGACTGACAACTTCGCAAAACTATAGTGAGTTACGTTGCTCTACCCTTGAATTCTAGCAAATATCCTTAAATATCGATACTTTGTTTTGACAAATGAACCTGGAAGCCTTCCAAGGGATATATATATTTTTTATATATGCTTGCTTTCGCTCTCAGGATACGAAAAAAACTTCCACAAGGAAACTTTGGACACTGTAGACTCTCGCGATGTTGGGTACGATTATGATTCTGTTATGCACTATGGCGAATTTTTCTTCACAAGGGAGCCAGGATTGAGGACCTTAGAGCCTTTGGACCCCAGTGCATCTATTGGGCAGCGAATTGGCCTTAGTGAGAAGGACGTTGAACAAGGAAACCTATTGTACGACTGCACAGGTATTGTTAAGCATTGCAAACCAGAGACTGAGCTGTAGATTCCCAGCTCCAAAGTTTTAATAGCATGTTCACACTTGGTACCTGAGCAGTAGTACCTTTCCACCGGCACGAAGACGAATCAGTGCTGCGTTTAGACTCTACCCAATATGTTATGTATTGCTCATGCACACATTTTGCTCATTTTGCCCCGTCAGACACCACCTAAAAACGAGATCTTCGTTCTGAGCCGTCTGTGGGAATATTAGCAAAGCGCGGTGTGGCGTGCGGCCCCATAGGGCAAGAATACTACCAACGTATCTAAAAAAGGCGACTAAAACGGTTATACTGAAGGTACAGAAACAACAACAACAACTTTATTTATTATAGCATGAATTAACGTTCTTTTCATCGCAAATAAACCTGTGGTTCCGACAACCACCTCGGAACATGTGTCTCGCTGACTGTAGCTTGTAGCAACGTCTTGCAAAGAGTAACAGCGTTCGGGGAAACTCTAGCCAACCGTCTGATGGCTCTACATTCCAAGGAAATCACCGTTCTGTGAGAAATTCACAGCCTATCTGGGTGCGATTGCGCAGAACACACTTCTCCACGTACAACATTTGGACCCTCTACCAAACCGGGAAGCTGCTGGTTCAGCTGTTTCGTGGGCCCAAAACAACAAAGTAAAGCGTTTTATAATGCTGAAATGACGATCGCCAGTTCATGTCCATCTACTCTCCTGCCTCCAAATCTGGGATTGGTGTAGTTGGGCCAATGATCCGTAAGAAGCTCTAACATCCACGCAGGGCAAAAATCCGAAAATCCGAAAGTCTACATCGAAGGCAACTCGCTCCTGGTCTCTTGCGTCCTCTACGCCCCTATCTAATTATGTTCCTTACCATAGTGATAAAGAAGCCCTCTTTAACGACCTCCACGAATGCCTCTCTAAGGTACAACGTCACTCCGTTGCCGTCGTACCTGGTGATTTTAATGGTCGTACTGGTCAAGACAGGCATTCACCAACGAAAAAGCAAAAGGCTCTTCGAACTTTGCATCCAACCACGGGTGGGGACCTACAATCTCTCTTTCCCCACATTTTAAGGCGACAATGAACCTTGGTAGGGGAATATAGCGGCGTCGGGGCTCAACGCGACCAGAACTTCATATACTCAAAATGAGTCACGACAGTTACCAACTGCCACGCCTAGAGCACCCCTGAATTGCACTGTGCATGAACATCGCATTCTTACAGCTGGATGTTCGAGCTGCAATTTCGCTCCTCAGTGGAAACGCCTTCCCTTCGACAGTACTGCAAGCTAACCTTCCTGTAGCAGTCACTATTATGCCCACTCCCTTTCGAAAGAAGACGATCAAGTGCTTTACTGTCTAAAGCGGTACTACAACGATGACGCGCGTTCGGTCAAGGAATCTTCAAAGCCGAAGAGGAGAACGATCGTAGTTACATTGCCTCTGGGAGGGCGGAATTGGAATAAGCAGACCGTATGGATGCCATCCCCCGTCTCACCTTCACCCAAAAGTTACGGGGAACAACATTGGAGAGATGCCGGCCAAAGCCCTCTCTCGTGAATACCCAGGAAATACGTTCCTGTATGAAGCTGGTTCTTTCATACAGGAGCGTTTAGCTTGGAAATGCATGAAGGTCGATTGTTGCCAGCATTGCTGGAAACCCCCATGAGCTGGTAACTAGCGCAAATGGACTAGTCGGTAAAGGTCCTTGGAATTAACCGAAAACTCGTGCATACCGGCAAACAAGGCTTGTACCCTCTTCAGAGCCCGAGTAGAGAATGTCTGCGCCCGGTGCACAAATGTTTCGAATTCTGGCGTGAGAACTTGAGACTGAATAGCCTGCGAGCAGGCTTTAAGGAGTATTATTTCCCGAGAAATATACAGTGAAAGACCATATTTCTAATACTAAACTAGGAAAAGGCGATCATTGTTACATCAAAACACGGCACAAGGATCTTTTTTCCCATTAAAATCTTATTTTGAGAAAACTTTTAGAAAAAATGTCCCGAAAAGCGTTCGAAAATACAAACGAAATGTGCTCATGCCCCCTGGGCATCCTATAATACTCCTGAAACCGGATTAATTCAATATGGCCGCCGTATCGGTAAAAAGGTCCATTCGGGAAAAATATTTTGGCGGTGAAGCCGACTTCTCCTCGTGTGATGGCCAAAATTTTTCCACGAGCTCGCAAAAATGAACGTGCTCGCAGGCTAGAGACTGAAAGAGTTTACATGTTATTGTACTCGGTGTGAAAAAAACCAAACCAAAACCTGATTGAATTAGTTAATCTCACCTGCGCGCTAGATTAATTGCGCGCCTGGCCTCCGAGGCTGCATCCAGAGAAATGGACAAATTTGTCTACTTTGTAGCTTATTTTTGTCAGTGTTCCGGCTTAATTAAGTATGGGGAGAGAGAATAACACTATTGCGGCTAGGGCTTTTTTGATTTTTGGCACCTCTAATAGTCAAAGCCTACAATATTAATGAGGTGGGCTTTGTAGAGGCTGTGGGTTTATATGAAGCTAGGGGGAAAGGCTTTTCAGATTGCTGATCACGCACATATCAAATTATTATAAAGTGCGATAAATCTTTGAGCAGTGTGGAATTTCTTTGTATTTGTTGATTAATTATTGAGAGACGATCAGAGTCAGTGTAACGGTGCCTAAACCAACTATCAACTGACTCTTCTCTCAGTGATCTGAAATTTTATTTAATAGATTACTATGACGATGACGTAAAACCACAAAACAAGACAGGACAAGGATCTTCTCCCAAGAAAGTGTGGGATAGACCTCTCCGTGATCACGAAATCAAGGTTCTTAGGAAAAGCAAAGTACTAAAACAAAGCCACAAGCCCTACAGCAGTGAACATTTCAGCCATAAAGGAAACAGAAGTCATCTACAGAATAAACACACAAAAGTCCACGCGAAAGGAGAGAAACGTAAACATTCCTGAACACTACAGTTTTTTTGCTATTTTGTTGTTCAGCTCAGTTTTAAATCATTACTGCGCTTTAGTTATTGAAAGCCCGAGGAAAATGAAAAGGAAATATATTTCTAAAAAGGAGGCGCATTTTGCAGTACCAGCGATGATACCAATGCTCTCGGGCCCCGCCATCTTGGACGTTGAAACTGACAGAGATTTGGGGGAGTGGAGTGAGTGACAGATTGGTGCTTTCAAGATAGCGGCCGTGAAAAAAGTACCTCTGAGTCCCTCTGAGCTTTCGTTAAAAAACGCCTGGAAAAGAAAAAGGAAAAAAAAAAAGGAAAATTAAACGAATATGACGGAATAACGGGAATAGTGATGAAGGTGAACTAACTTGTGTAACTACAATGCGTCCAAGGTATCTTGACACAAAACAAAGCAAGGAATAAACAAGGGCGTTATTCCCTTTTTGGCCGGGTTTATGTCGCTCAACAGTGTATAGTTTTCATGGTCTTGACTCTTAAACAGGGAGTACAATTCACTACAGCGTCTTCAATAGGGTGTCTTTTCGAAACAGAAGCCTTTAAATCTGAGGGTGAAGGTTGGCGATGAGCCAGTTTACAGTTGTGGTACCGTACCAATTTTTCTTTTCCAAAAAATCTAATTCCGTGAAAAATAAAAGGTTAATTCTGTACGCCAAACTAAATGAAACATTGTTATTAAATGAGGTTTCTTGTCTCAAAGAGGGCAGCGAAATGACCGATTTTTGTCTTAAACAGGGTAAAGGTTTGAGATCATTATACGTTCCTGGGAAACTGCCCACCTACCCCTCCCCTAAGCCAACATTTTGCCCTAAGTGAGAAGTAAGTGTTAATCTTTGCTTAGGGGAGGAGTAGGAGAGCAGTTTCGCAGAAACGTACCAAGGTTTGAAGGTCTTGGCGGGAAAACCAAACTGCCTTGAGTGCCCCCCCCCGGAGGGGCAACGAAACGGCACCTCAGTTAGTCACTGTCAAAGCATTGAAACGTATCAGCTGACGTATTTTTTTCTGTAGTTAGGACAGTGTGAATCTGAATCTCTGGACATCAGAGCTTGCTGTTATTTTGCCTTCCATTTTCCATATTCCTCGAGTTAATTGTACATTTTGTTTTAATTAAATGTTCATTTGTGGAAGTGGCTGTAGTTATATTGTAAGAGAGGAATGCGGGATATCTTATCAAAGATTTCCCATAACAATTCAAGATTTATTCGATTTCAACGGCACCACACTTGGCGTTCACTCCAGTAGGAAAATAGTAATGGCATTTCCAAAACTCATTTTCAAACTCGTTGGAAATTGATGAAGAGAACACAATGACTTAATAATTGATCAGGAAGACACAGAGAAGGCGCCAAAAACCTGCGATCTTACGAAAACATTTGGCTCGAGTTCGCTTCAAAAATAGTTGATTATTTGAGAAAGTTGGGCAAACAGTGGCTCGGTATTTTTTAACTTGATAAGCAGAAGCATAAATTTTCTCGTTTGATACAGTATCAGGACCCTATCTCCCCCTAGCGTCCATCTTTCACATAATGCTAGGATCGTATAAACCTGTTATTCGTCTTTGTTTCCTTTTTCTAAGGACTAGTCAGGGTGAGTGCTTTTATCGTTTGGCACTGATAATTTTCAGTCTTAGTTCAGTTCATCTTCTAAGTGCGCACAGTACCAATTAAAACAATATTTTACATCTAAACTGTCACCGAATTTAAAATTACCTTAATTTCTATGATCAAAAGAAGTTAAGTTTAAGAAAGACAAAAAAGGAATTGTTTGTGAATGGTTTAGGTTAAGAGCGCGTTTAAATTACCAGTTCGGGTTATCTGAGATTACGATAAGGAAATATGAAATTCAGTGAAGAGATTGGCTTACTGTAACCGTATCAGATCTAAACTATTTGTAGCATTGCTAAGGCTACCAATGGCGTGAGTTGTATGCAAACATTTTTGTGCATTTGATGCTTATCCCGGCCACCTTTGCTCTTTTAGTGCTTCCATTCTAATCAGTAAGTAAGTCAGCAGTAGGATCACATTCACAATGGACTAGTTCTAAGAATTACGATAAATCATTTTTTTTTCTTATATCAGTTACAGAATAATGAGAAGTTTGATATGTTTGTAAGCTGATGCAATTAGGCAAAGGCAATTCTATTCTCCAACAGGTAACCGCAATGTTTACTTAACATAGTTATGTATTGTGGACTAGAATAAGGTGTGAAATTTGTTCAGTAGCCGCGTTTCACTTCAGTTGAAAAACTGCCAATTGCAAACTTTTGTAGTTTTCTTTCTTTTCAAAGCAAAACTTTTGGACTTTCAGCTCGCACAGTTTGAGGGCAAAGACGTTTCTTGAAAAAAAAAACTGTCTAATTTTATCCTGAATTAAAGATATTTGATTGAAATCTAAACCCCGTTCAACGCTTCGCTGAGTGATGTGAAGCATGTCAAGTACCTGTCTAACAATATTACTGTTCCACCAATTAGCTGGCAGTTCATTGACCCGCTCGACTCATTGCCTTCTTCTTCAAACCAAAACGAACGTTTCGCTGGCCAAAACGTCGATACTTATTTCCCCTAGTTTTTAAGGACACAAGATAAAAGACATATTATAAATCATAATTCAACGCTTCAAAAGGTAAAGTGCTCTATTACGTCTATCCTTGTTGAAACTCTCTCGTCGATGAATGTATATGATTAATATATTTAGTTTGTTCTAGCTCTGTCAGTCACCCCCGAAAGGCCAATTCAACTGTAACTGTATTTGTTGAAGTTACCTAAATTCAACTGTTCTACAATATTTAAGACGAAAACTAACTTATAATTCAAGTATAATCACTTCACCTGATCTTCTTGTTGCATTAAATTATTGGCAGAGACCCTAACGCCGGCATGACCACATTACAGTAACTTAGCGCCTGTGCTTATCAATCCTTCCCTCGGGTTGCTAAACTCGTTTACAACTCAACGTCTTAATCTCTTCCAAAATGAATTAAAAAATCCCTTGATTTTGCTTTCGGAGAGCGTATGGTACCAGCTTAGTTGCTTGTCTGGTCTGGAGTTCCTTGTGGCATCGGGTAATATGATCATAAGTTTATAAAACTAACTAAAGTTAATTAAACAATAACAGCAAGGGTGTAGTTTAATTTCCCTTAGGTTTACCCTGTACCTTTAAAATAAGAATGTGAATGTATGCATTGATCAACAGATTCAACTATCGAGTGACCTTAACAGTATTATGCCTGCGCGCAGCCATGCACAGTTAAATTATTCTATTTAATCATGAAGAGTGTGCAAAGAAACCAGTCCTAGCATTTAACTTTTTCAAAGGCAATCTTCATGCGTTTACAATGATGTAAATTCAAATTCCCCTACATAACAAACCATCCTAGTTTTGTTCTAGCGACACAACCGTTAGAAGGCACGTTTGGGTCTGAATCACTGCCAAGTTGGACTCAATTTGGATACTTTGACACCACATGGAACCAAGGATGTTTTTTTTCTTAATCACAACATGAAAAAGGATCGATTTAAAACCGTGACATTTTCGAGACTTTTGATTTCCTGCCAGCGCGCACACGGATTAAATGGAAAACTTGTTCTCAGTATCATGACAGCAAGACTATGTATTTTATTAAGTCATCTTAATTATTTACTTTTTGTGTTTACTTAATGCATGGTAAAGAAAATTTCACCAAAATAAAAAGAATTAGGCCTCAGGCGCTTTTCTGCTGGTAGCAGGACTGATTTGCAAAACTGAGTCCAGCAGAAACTGTTTGCAATCTTAGTCTTGAATGTAAACTTTTCTTGAAAGCCAGCGAGGCAGCGAAGGACCTAACCTAACAGCAGTATATGATAAATTTAAGCTGTTTTTACAGGAAGATCATGATAAGATGGAAGAAAAGTTACAGCTTTCATCTCATTCTAATCACGTTACAAATTTTGACAAGTAAAGGTAGGAGAAACAGTATTTTAATTGATTTTTTCTATTTTTATAGACCTATTTTCTAGGGAAGGAAAAAGTTGAACTATCAAAACATTCTATATCTCTTGAAATTATAACAAAACAAATAAATTATTGCCAAAAGATATTTAAGCAATGTGCTACAAAGTGAAGTCAACGAGAGACATATCTGGCCCTGTTAATAGATTTTGTTGTCTGTTGCAATCGTTTGAACAAGGGCTTCAAACGACTATTTTCTGTAAAATATCTGTTTGAGAAGCAATAATTCCATATAATTTTCAATAGCTTGAGGAAGGCTAAAATTTCTAGATGACCCTACCGTTCTATTCATGTAGCTATCTAGAACCCAGGTTTAAAATGAGCTCCGGTAAAGTCTCTCACCCCTGCCGACGGTGCGTCATTAGGGAGCTTAAGCAACGATGACGGCGAGGTCAACGAGAACGGCAACAAAGCAATAGGTTAAAATTGGCAAAAGACAACAACTTAAAACAACTCTGCACGTGCATCACGCTTTATTGTACATTTCCTTGCCGTCACTGCACCACTTTGACATGAAAGTGCCTAATTTCACCTTTTGTCAGAGGAAGTGAACCGACAAGACAACGACTTTCCTTTTCTTTTCCTGAACTTCAATACAGTCTTTTAAAATTCCATTTCCAGAAAAAAATTGCCAACATTTGACGAAATGAACGAGATGGAATAAGCACGATAAAGTTTGAGGCAGCGAGACTCCAATTTTTAAGTGACGTTTTCGAAGCCGTCGCCGTTGCCGTCGTTGTTGCTTAAGCTCCCAGTTTCGTTAATTAGCTTCCACGAGTCTCTTGTAGCTTAGTGGTAGAGCATCTGGACTAGTATTCTTGAGAACTGAGGCCATTAGGTTCAACTCGTATCGGGAGTTATAGTAGTACTGTCTCGGAGTATTTTTCCCTAACCGCCTGTGTCACTGACTGAAAAAACGTCTTTCTCGTGTATTCCCCAGGTTTAAAATCCACCGTCTCATTTCTATCATCACGACTCCTTTACTTGGATCTTACTTTAATCTTCTTATTAGTTTCTAGCACAATCACAGGAAACATTTCGTTATCCCAGCCGACTGTAGATACAACATTCATAAAGCTCTATGACCAGGAAAGAGAAGGTATTCTTTGGAGGAATTTATTACCTGGTTTCAAACCGTATAATTTGGGATTATCAACGCAAGACCTAAGTATTCAGACAAAGCACACCAAACTGTACAAAAATACTCAAGTTTGGTGTTTTACTGGCAAATTATGAACGAGATACAGCCAGTACTGACTAACAGTCTCACAAATTTACAAGGCATCTGTGGTCGTCCCGACAGGCATGTAAATTTCACTTTTTTGAGTGGGTGTATCTTCTTCAAAATTAGCTTCATTAACACTTAAGGCTTCTGGCTATGATGATTTTTTTGTTGATAATACCATAATATACGGGCTCATACTTAGTCCTTCTCTGTTTGAAAACAGGCCTTGTCTATATATCATTCCTTATGTTACTTCTTGTTCCTTAAGGAGCAAAAAACCTTTACGCTACTTGTTGCTTCCTATAAAGTTAAGCCCTATCCGGTTGATGAACGGCTGTAATGAAAAGTTAATCTGTTTTGCTGCAAAAGCATAGGCTTGATTCGTGAGTGGTAAAAGAGGGCAATGTTGCACAACAAGTTGCACGATTCCGTTCCCCTTTTTGTCGTAGCTTTAAAGGTACGTGCAAACGGAGGCAACAACTCCCAACATTGTTGGGCCAACAATCTTGACAGTTATTGCGCCCATGTTGGCAGTGGTGTGTAAAAGGATGCAACAACTACCTACAAACTTGCCTGTGAAGTCCATTGGGGGAAGGATACAACCCATAATACTTTGGAAACCATATATATAATGCGCGTTCGTGGCCTCAACAATGTTTGGCGAGCTGTGTAAATGGATCCATCATGTTGTGCTACGCTTCCGTGATCTCGGAACAAAAGAAATGTTGGGAGAAGTTGTTGGCTCAAAAGTTTTAAACTTTGAGCAACAACTCCCAACAAAACACAACCTGATGTAACAACATGTCGCAGGATGTGCAGACGGACGCACAATGTAACATCCAACAATGTTGCGCCCGTTTGCAAGGGGCTTAAGTGAAGTCCTTCGCATAAACTGGTGAGATAATCTTGTTCTGACTCTCTGTATGGTTAAATTATCATTCATTGATTTCCAACGTAGTAGCTAAACTGTTTATGTTAACACCATCAAATTTAGGCAATTACGTTTTAATTAATAATTTTTTTATTCCAGCAACGTTTGGGGAATTAAATCTAGGAAAAGATTATTTCGAAGGAGACATCTTGCTTACTCAACAACAGATGGACTTTATACAAGCATCCAGGAACGAACTTCAGTCAAGAGACCTTCTAAAGGACACAAGAAAATTGTGGAGTACTGCAATGGTACCATATGTGATAGCTGAAGACTTAAGTAAGTAACCCTAGTGGGAATGAAATATTATAAAAATTAAAGGCTGATCATTATATTCCACCATGGCACGACAAGTTTGGCACAGTTTTCTTACAAGGGCACCTTCAACCAGTGTGCATTGCGATCGTGCACTTCACCGAAATCATTTGCCTCAAAATACAGAAGTCACGAACGTTCCGATTGTATTTGAAAATCGGATTGTATCTTCACAACCTAAGGCAATAGCAGGCTGTGATACCCTTTTGGCTTCTTAAAAGAAACATACATGCAATCCTATTATCAAACACAGAAATCACGGTGATTTCTTTATTCAGTGAAATGCGTGACCGCAATGCACACTGATTGCAGGTGTCCCTTTAACACAAAGCAGATGATGCAAACCTCGCAGGACTGAACGTATGCCCTGTAGTGAACTGATCCTTCAAATTCAATTCGAAAAAAAACTTAGCGCCATGTCTAATGAAGGCGCACGACTCCTTAAGGAAGCTTAATATAACATACAAGTTTTCAGTTTCAACCTACCTTGTTTCTCCACTCACTCCACAAAATATCAAACGGCATCTAAATTCTACATCGATGTGGAATGTACGAACACTTTAGAACGACTTCTTGAGAGCTCCTAAGTGTTTTTAACTTCGTGAGTAAGTAGGAGCCCTAAAATGGAGTTAATAGGCAAAAATGTAACTTGATAACGGCTAACTAGCTCACACTTGTAAATATTTCAACTACTAGACATTGCAATTTGTCATATATATAGCTGCTATACAGCATGGAAAAGTGCGAATATACTCCGTTGATGGCGAGACTGACACATCAATTAAGTTCAAGCTACTCCTATTTACGATCCACTGTGTAATTTTAAATTTCCGGTTACCTACCTGTATGTTACATCATTGTATGACGTCATTGTAGGTCCAATCAGCAAGGGGTTCATCCGCTCCGCAGTCAAAGAGTGGAGTAGTAAAACGTGCCTTAGATTCAGGCCCAAAACTGAAGCTGATAACGATTACGTAGAGTTTGTCTACGAGGGAGGGTACGTATTGTCTAAAATATCTTCGGTTTAGAGGGGCAGTACCAAAAGAAAAAAAGTACCTACATATGTTGCGACTGGTGTAGTAATTAAAATAATCAGCTTGATAAGACACACAATTGTCATTGCAATCTTTAAGTGTTTTTTACCCATCATCATCATGATAATGATCGTCATTTATATTTACACACGGTAATTTTGATATGCGGAATCATAAGTGTTCATAAGTATCTTTTACCAGTTGAAGGCTCCAATTCCAAATAGCAGGAGCTGCTCGAGAAAAGGTGCGTAAAAACCGTTCAGGGATTGGGGAGAAACGCGAAAGTAACGTCTTTGTTTGTCCTATGATTGGTCAATTTTGACAGGTTACGTCAACACTTACATCAATCACTTATCTTTGTGCGCGCAGAGTCAAAAAAACATGGCGAGCGTTTGAAACCCTCCTACACCGCACCTGATTTCGACGTTTGACATTTTGAAAATTTGACATTGAGAAACGGTTTTCTGAAAGTATCTAAGATAGGTACAGGCTCTCCCCCCGTCTTTGCCCACCGTTTTTCGCTCGTCTGCACTACTGACCGAGAGCCTGGCACAGGCTAGACTTCATTGGTTGCTTAGTGTTAGCTTTATAGCTGGAGAGCCAGGACTCCAGCGACATGAATTTTGACGTCTCTGCAACTTATCCGTTTTTGATGTTCTGCCACAGTACGTTATCCTTTACAATGCAACTACAATCTATATAGTGGAAGTGCTATTGAAACATGCTGACTTCTTATTCTCTAAAACTAATGGCTTCATTGTTATAGTTCCTTGATTTTTTTATTTTAAAACAGTTTTAGTTAGTCTCAAAAGCGTTTGCGATCGTTGCAAGAAGAAATTTTCCGGCCGTCACTGACTTCTTACTTTTCTTTTCAGATGTTCTTCATATGTGGGACGTATTGGTGGCAGGCAAACAATTTCTGTAGGAAGTTCTGATTCCAGCGTTGTTTGCAGGCACGGTAACATTGTGCATGAAATTGCGCACTCTTTGGGATTTTTTCATGAGCACAGTAGAACTGACCGTGATGATTTTGTAAAAATTCTATGGGACAACATTGAAAGCGGTAAGTCGTAAAAAGTTCTCTGCATATATACATTTTTTGAAGTCTGACAGGAAGCGCAAGCAAGCGCTTTTCAATGTATAAGATTATTGCCAATGGTCTTTTTTCCTATAAAGTTAAGCTTTTTTATGTATTAATTAATATTAATCAGTTCAGTTTGAGCTTATTTTCTTGATTTTTTGCCGTAGACGACCACCTCCCGTAAGCGACTACTTTGTCGTACACCAAAGATGGTCGCTTACGAGAGAGAGTCAGATTGTATTAAAATGGCAAATTTCTACCAGCAGGCTCTTAAACATCTCGGCTGTTACACGTGGATTTTTACTTTATTCGTGATATATTCAGCATATCACAAAGCTCAACGTAATCTCGTCCTTAGGGATTCTCGGTTGCCATCCTTTTTTGTGCCTATAGCCTATAATATTGACGTCATTCTATCCCCGACATCGTAAACTTCTTTCACGTTTTTGTTCTGAAGTTAAGGTTATGAAGAATTAGCCGGAGGATTTAGGCCAATCAGAGACGGAGATATATTTTGACTGAGTAGAAATCTAATTTTGATTGAGTAAATACAGCTATTTCGAGAAAGGTTGTCGGAAAAAGTTCACGCGACAACCCCGAAAGGTATTATGGGTGGTTTTGAGTTCACTGTTCTTCAAAGAAATTTGAGAATGGTACGAGAGGCCATGGACATATGTCTGTGAGTGATAAAGAACAGTAACAAAAGAAGACAGCTGCAGTGTCAGGGACACTGTATTGACCATATCCCATATTACCTTTCGGGTTTGTTGGTTGCACAATTTTTCCGACAACTTTCTCGAAATAGCTGTATAACAATATAATATTGAAAGTCTTAAAAGAGAGCAAGAAAAGATATTGGCATACTAAAAGAACTCCCACGTTATAAATCAACATTAAAGGTCCTGTTTGATTTAGTAGTTGAATGGTGTTTTGTTTTCAGGATACGATAAAAATTTTAGGAAAGAAAGTGCTCTGACTGTGCACAGTCTCGGTGTTCCTTATGATTATGGTTCTGTGATGCATTATGGAGAATTTTTCTTCACGAAAGATCAAGGATTGAGAACAATACAGCCCTTGCAATCGGGTGCATCTATTGGCCAAAGAATTGGTTTAAGTAAATTGGACGCTCTGCAAGGAAATTTACTGTACAACTGCACAGGTAGATGTATGTTGCCTTTACTTTAGAACTTAGTTATCTAGGAATCGGTTTACTCGAACTAAACTTTTTTTCCCTTTAGCTGGATATTCAGTCAATTTTATTCGTCCAGTTTGAATCATGTTGAAGTTTCGCTAAGTCGAAGGATTTTCTGTTTCACTCGGGCGTTCGTGTTACAGTGGTTTCTAATATACAGTTTAAGTTTCCTCAGTAAACAGATTTTGTTCATCGACGATTGGGGTATGGAGAGAAGGCCAGGCTTTGCGCACACCTCAGTTTTTTTTTTGGATTGTCCGTACGCCTCTGGAGGAATAGCCTGGGAAGACAGCCGAAGTTTCGCGACGTCACCGCTGATTTCCCCGCCAAACGGCGGGCAGAAATTCCAATACTGCTGACGTGTCACTATACCCAGATCTGGGTAGTGCTTCTGGTTGGTAGAAAATTTACTTCATCCGTTTATTTGTCAAACGTCATTTCGCGGGGAAACCACCGGTGGCGTCGCAAAATTTCGGCTGTTTTCTCAAGCTACTAGAAAACCTGTTTTAGGTTATTGCAAAAAGGCAGTGAAGAGGCCATATGGCGTAGTTTGAGGCAACTGATCATTTCAGCTGTTATACCAAATATCCGTTGAATGAACTAAGACTATCGAAATAACCACTGACTCCAGCAGAATAGCATATTTAATGGATTAGGGATATGGCCAATGGCAAATTAAACAAGGCCATGTCGCGACGATAAAGCTGTTTAGGTCAAACTACTGATTAAACCAATACACAAAATGCTCCTGTGAACATCTAGATATAAGGAAGATAGCGAACAAATTTCATTAGGGATCACTAACTACAGCCATTTTCAGTTTGGTGATTAATTCTTGCAGGCATAGCATTAGTACTAAAACTTGATAATGTTGGCCCAACTTTTCCAAGATTCAGTCCATGAGCATCCATGCCATCCGTGGCAACAGACGACAGGGAACAGTTTCAATATCTAAAGAAACAGCTGAATAAACTTCAATATAGTCCCAAATAACAAACTGAACTATTATCTTTGGAATTCAATTGATGCAAAGACTCGTTTTAGCTTCTTAAAACGATAGCAAATAGCGCGACGATGCCCCTTTAAACGGTTTATATTCGGGTGAACATCGCAGCCCACCTTTCACGGGTACTTTCAACTTCATTTCAATTTGCATGCATATAAAGGTGATCAAGTACTCTAGGGAATTATTTTTGTTCTTTATGTGGTAATAAATTTGCGAGAGTCAACAATTGTGTACGTCATGGCCAATCCTAATATTTGTCAAATGTGTGTAGGGCCAGCAGGTTTCTATAATAAAACAACTCGACTGAATGGGGGATCGTCAGACCAGGGATTGTGGAAGGGCAGACCATTCCGCGAGAATGGAGTTAAGGTGCTTAGAAAAAGCAAGGTGCAAGAACATAAACACACACACCAAAAGGATAAACATCTTCAACCTAAAGGGAAACAAGGTTCCTCCTCCAAAAAGGACAGCTTAGTTCATAAAACTAAAAGGAAAGGTAGCCTCTTACATACTATCGTAAAGGGAACAAAGAAAACGAAAAAATTCACCTCATCAGTAAAATTTGAACCAAGTGACGCAAAGATTAAACAAGAGCAGGCTAAATCAAGATCAGAGTTATTAACAGAAAAACAGATACAACCTGAGTTAAAGAAAGTATACAGTGGAGATGATGCTGACATATTGGAAGGAGATGACGAGGAAGACGATGATGTTTTCTACTCAAGAGGTACGTTCCTGCTGCCCAAAACAAAGACTGTCGCATTGTTTCATTTATTTATTAGATATTTATTTATTTATTTATACAGGAACATCTGGTTATGTTTAGCATTAGAATAGAGCTATTTTAAAAAGAGTTCTGTAAAAAATTAAAAAAAAGATACAGAGATACAAGGAAAATCAACAGAACGTAGCACACTAACAAAACACAGGAATTCACGACAGAGATCGGACAGACTGGCCCTTTGAGCGCCGTTTCGCCAAGGACTTGAACGTGCATAGTGAAGTCCGTTGCAGATCTAATATTACTCGCAAATTCCGTGTCCGCGTCTTTTGCGAAGCAGTCATCGGTAACCCTAAAGCTATTTAAATGATGATAACCTAATTAAAAGTGCTAAGAACGAAAAACAGCTTATTATTTGAACTGATCTTGTAGGAGTAAGTTCGCCTGCTGTTGCCCCAGAAACGCCGAATCAGCTGGCCACTGACAGAGCAACACTGGCTCAAGAAGAAGAGGATGCTGTGCAACAACAAGACAATGACGACATCGGTAAGCATCCATAATCAACGTAACGTCTGCTATATTCTGCAAAATTCACAAAGCCATCTAGATGTTGCTAACTTCATATACTTAGTTTTTTTAACAGTTCCGAAAATGTTTTTATTTATTTTTTTTAAATCAGGCCTCCTATTTAACAATGATCTTCAAAGTTCAGTCGAGTTTAAAGTTTCTCAGTATAACATGATTTTAGAACCGTAACTACAAGCGAATGATACGATGGTCGTGCATGTATCTCGGCGTTTACTGATTGTTCCTAAATTTTGATGTTACTTAGACAAAGCTAATTAAACTAAATAAATAGATATTATAATTAATAAAACTAATTAATTGATTCAAAAAATCGAGACTGGAACAAAATTAATTAAAGATAAGTTTTATCGAAGTAATCTAGAAAAAGTAAAAAAAATAAAGACAGCAACAACGACAACAAAACTGCATTTTTGTGTTTATTAGGTGAGGAGAACTTAGGCAAAAACTTCTTCGAGGGAGACATGATACTTACACCAGAACAAGAGTCTTTCTTGGATAACATAAAAAACAAGGTTGACACACAAGAGGGTGCTAAACGGGCGCTTATTAAGGACAAGATGTACCTTTGGCCAAAAGCCAAAGTTTACTATGATTTTCACAAAGGAGTAGGTTAGTAGATAAATTGATATTTTGTCAAATTACCGGTCAGGAACATATCAACGGGAAATAAGCCAGATGAACTGGGACTCAGCCACTTTTAACCTGTTCCTTAATTTACTGAGAGACTTCTACAACTCGACCTCAACCTCTACTTCGACTTCATCTAAATTTAACAAAACAACTTTTGGCGACCTGAATAGCTTAACACTTAATTGTTTGAATTGTTTGGATACCTGACCTTATGAGCCTTTGCTAAAGCAAGCCCACAACACACTTCAGATATCGGTTGGCAAGAGAGGATGAGCCAACAATAAGTACTACAGAATTGAACCAAGAAAATACTAAGGATAAAAAACTGCGTGGTAGGACTATAGACTTCACCCAAACACTCAGGAGTCTTAGTTTAGGTGAAAGCCCAAGGTCAGCTTTAACCTCAAGCATGCCTAGTTCGATCTGTACTCGAGTTAAACAATTACATAGAATAGACGACAATAATCGAAAAAACAAGGAGCTACCGGTGTGGACTAAACCTTGAACAACCTTGGAATGTAACCTGGAACTTAAAACGTAACACCAGTAAAACGGCCGACAAGATGTGTCAAATAGGCCTTATAAAGAAAAACCCTCTCAGTGTTACAAGAGTTTTAAAAGTTAGATATAAAGAACGTATGTAGTTATAGACTGTCTATTTCTAAAAGACGTTGTAGTATACTAATTTCATCATATCTTCAGATTAAGTAGTGAAATTCTGATTTCTCTTTTTTTGTTTTTCAGTTTTAAACAAAATGGGTCGGTCGGTCGGGCTAGGAAACGAAACAATTAATGCCCTGCATTACTATTACTCAATTTGTTTTGAAATGAAGGGTAGATTTCAGTTAAGCAAGCATTGAGAAATCTGAAGGATCAGATACACTACTTTATACCTAATGCCGAGGTATATGGGTTTGAGAATGATACCTTATTTTATGCTCTTTTTTTTTCTCTCTCTGCCTCTGTCTCTCTTCAATCACTTAAGATAGGATAGGCAGACGAAGAGCACGTGCTGCTATGCGCCATTGGCAGAAACACACTTGCCTCAAGTTTAAGCGCGTCAGGAATTCCCCTGATAACTTCGGATACATCAAATTTGTCTTCGAGGGAGGGTAAGTAATCCAGTTTGTGATCATAACAAACCAGTGACAGCTAAATAAATCTAATAGAACCTAGAATTGCTGTCAGCGTTGGTGATTCCCATTTCACAATCCCAACAGTGACAGTGCGAGTTAAAGAAATCCCCCTTATGATTTTCGCCGGCTGGTTAGCTCATAACAGTTGGCGTAGTGCCGGTCTGCTGCGGGAGGTCAAACCCTGGCCGAAGCAACACTCAGGGTCTTTAAGGTGTTTCGATACAGTTTCTCAGAGGCCATACCGATATTTTTCAATCGCCTTAAAAGTAGTTTTTACCTTGTCCGATCGCTATAAAATTTTCACCAGTAATTGGCTATGGATTGAAATTTGTGAAAATGTAGTTTTAAGTAAAATCGATATTACTATGACAACAGTAAACAAAAAACTTTGAAATTGATAAAAGCCGAATTTTGTGTGATCTAGACCTGCTGCTGAAAGTCCAACACTAGGAACTTAAAGTTTGGTGTTTAGCAAACAATCTCCGTAAGAAGTAAAAAATTCTGTATGTTTGAATTCGAATAAAACGAAAATATATTTCAAACCTTAAATTTTCAATAGCCGTGATAGGTTATGTAATAAAAACGTTATAAATGACTCAAATTATTCTTACGTAGCGTACGAATGATGCTTAATATCATGTTTTGATACTAGGAAATTTTGGTGTACTTTCGTTCATGCGATCTTGAAAACTAACCCATTTTCTCACCATCTGTATAAGTGCAACTTCATTCAGAATTTGGACTTTTAGCGCTTTCTTGTATATCTCCGAAACGACTCGAACGAATTTTTTTCAAATCTATTCACATAATCTTCATAATGTATATAAAGATGTCCGAAAGTCTCATTAAGATTGATTCACTGCAACACCTTGAAATTTCAAGACAAACCTGTCCTACCAACCGGTCAAAAATCTGCGTTACAACATTCACTGTTTTGACGTTATGCTAATTTTTCCAGAATAATGCGCACTATACATACCTCCATGACTAGTACATCTTAGTTTGAATTTATCGCATCTTTTGAATGTAAAATATTGGCAATACTCACACTGAAATGTACTAGTCATGGATATATGTATTGTCCGCATTAATTTGGAAAAATTACCATAACGTCAAAACAGTGAATGTTGGAGCGCAGATTTTTGACCGGTTCGTCGGATAGGTTTGTCTTGAAATTTCAAGGTGTTACAGTGAATCAATCTTAATGAAAGTTTCGGACATTTTTATATACATTATGAAGATTATGTGAAGAGATTTTGAAAAAATTCGTTCGAGTCGTTTCGGAGATATACAAGAAAGCGCTAAAAGTCCAAATTCTGAATGAAGTTGCACTTATACAGATGGTGAGAAAACAGGTTAGATTTCAATATCGCATGAACGAAAGTACACCAAAATTTCCTAGCATCAAAACATGATATTAAGCATCATTCTTACGCTACTTAAGAATAATTTGAGTCATTTATAACGTTTTTATTACATAACCTATCACGGCTATTGAAAATTTAAGGTTTGAAATATATTTTCGTTTTATTCGAATTCAAACATACAGAATTTTTTACTTCTTACGGAGATTGTTTGCTAAACACCAAACTTTAAGTTCCTAGTGTTGGATTTTCAGTAGCAGGTCTAGATCACACAAAATTCGGCTTTTATCAATTTCAAAGTTTTTTGTTTATTGTTGTCATAGTAATATCGATTTTACTTAAAACTACATTTTCACAAATTTCAATCCATAGCCAATTACTGGTGAAAATTTTATAGCGATCGGACAAGGAAAAAACTACTTTTAAGGCGATTGAAAAATATCGGTATGGCCTTTGAAAAACTGTATCGAAACACCTTAAGAGAATAACTGAGAAGAAAGTGCTGCCTTTGTAATGACATCTGCAAACTTTTACTTTTTTCATAATTACTACCTAGTACATGTAAGTCGTTTCATCGAAAGGCTCCGATAAAATAAGATAGCGATAGTATGTAGGTTTGATAAAATTCAAGTTTTCCGTTCTTGTTTTCTTTTTTTCAGCTGCGCCTCTCGTGTTGGTCGCGGGGGAGATAAAGAGCAGAAATTGACGATTGGTAGCCCGGCCTTAAGGTGTAAAGTGGGAAATATCATCCACGAACTTGGCCACGCTATTGGCTTCTTTCATGAACACAGTCGACCCGATAGGAACACTTATGTTAGAGTTCTTAAAAAGAATATCCTCCCCGGTAAGTTAGTGATGAGCATAAGTTTGGTCTTCTTTAGCAAGCTTAGTTAAATAAGTCAACAAGGTACGATTGCTGGCGATGCCTGGTCATTGCTTATATTTACAGTTATAAACAAATATGTTGCCGAGCCTTCTATTCAGCGGGACAACATTGACTAGGGAAGAGGGGAGGAAAAATCTCATTATTTATGTTTTTCTTACGCTATCTTGTAGAAAGTGAGAAAAAAGGGTCGAGGATGTGTTTTCAATCTCAAATAATTTTGTCGCCAAATATAGGAATGTTATCACTTTCTCACTGACCTGGTTGAGCTAAGACTGATCCTTTACTTATCAAAATGAGATTGTAAAACATCAGGTTCACTTTTTACTAATGTTTGGATACATCGACAGACTGTATTACAAGCGACTGAGTTGTGGCGTTTTCTCTGTCAGTCACTGTAAATTTCTGAGACTCTTGTTCGTTTAATTAGGCCCCTAAGCAAATTGAAGGGGGATTTGTAAAGACAAAACCGCGCTGGCAATTGATAACCAAGTCTTTGCAGCAATTTTCAGGCGACTTAAGCAATACACTAAGATCTGAGGGAATTTTTGAATAAGGGCACCGCTGCTTTCATTTACCAGAGGTTTTTATAAAAAACAACAATACTGATTGATCTAGCTCAGAAAATTTTCTTCACTACAATGGCGTTAATAAATATTACCGAAATTTGATATTTGATTATTCAACAGGTTACGAAAGAAACTTTTATAGGTTTGGTAGGAAGTGGATCGACTCAAAGGACGTTCCATATGATTATGGCTCTATTATGCATTACAACAGAGCTTTCTTCTCTCGCTTCCCTGTAATGCTGGACACAATAATCCCTCTGAAAAGAAATGCGGAAATCGGTCAGCGGAAAGCCCTCAGCAGGTTTGATATCCTGCAAGCTAACCTACTATACCAGTGTGACGGTAAGAATTCGGTATCTTGAGTATAGCCATCGCCTGTAGTTTAGAGACCGGCTTTAGATTCTAAGACGTCGAGGAGGAGATTTTTAAATACTAAGTAGTGCACACGCGTGAACAGCGTCATTTTGGCAGTGAAACGCCATTTACTACTAGTTTTAAGGTGATGTTATATACATGCGGACGATTCGCAACGACGATTTTCAGCGCAAAACTGCGTAGCAATGCTGGGACAATGTTGCAGCCAGTCGAAACAATGTCGCAACAATGTTGTAATGCTGCTTTGCGCTAAAAATCGTCGTTGCGAATCGTCCCGTGTAACATCACGTTTAGCAAGAATGTCGGAAAGGTTATCAAATATTAGAAGAGCTATGCATTTGGCCTAAAATAAACCGTGCTAACTCTCCTGGTAACAAAAAGTACAGTTGACTCCCGATAACTCGAACCCTCGCTAACTCGAATCTCGCGCTAACTCGAATCAACTCGATTTCCCCATTCCTTCATACATTTACCATAATTTTACACCCGGTAACTCGAACCCGCGATAACTGCATGGAACCTCCCGCTAACTCGAAGTAATTTTAGTTTCCCCTCTGATCACGTCTATATAATCATGCCCTTGATAACTCCAACTATGTTTTGAGTGCTTAAAAAGTCGGGAAAAAACAGTGTACTGGCGTCCGAAACATTGAATTTGGAATTTCCCATTTACGTGTGTGGTAGGCATAATTATAGTTTACTCGTGGAGACTGACTACTGTTTGTTACAACAGTACAGCAGAAAAATAAGACTCAGTTTTTGTCAAGCAACCACTGCATGTTTACAGTTATTCCTTTCAGGTAGAAAAAAGCTTTCAGACGAAGAAATCCAAGAGCTTAAAGAAGAAAGTGAGAGCGATATCAATGATCAAGCTTCTGAAGGTGCGTTATGTAATCTTTTTAAGTTTCAAAGAATCTTAGAACCGAATGCTATTACAGTACTTGTTTACTTATGAAACATATGAAGAGTTAATTAATTACTGCAATTATTACTGCATTATATTCCAAAGTTTGAGGAGAGGGGACTGAAAGAAGCTAAGTATTCCATAGAGGAATCTCTGCAAGAAGCAAGGAAGAAAAATAACTTACAGGCCAAGTTCTAGAGATGGAATCTCACATACAGAATGGACGGGGGATTCTCGTGGTCTTGCATAGGGGTTTAAATTAATTGTACATTTTGGCCTCACTTAGAATATCCATACACATATCGTTTAGGGTTGTGCGTGAGGAAACATCCTCAAGCCTGATAAAATCGCTATGGCAAGAATGTTTGTTTGCCTGTCTTAGTAACATGTCTTTTAGGGGTAAAACAAACCCAGACCCTCGTGAACCACACCCAGACTGGTCACCCCTTGAGGGGTTTAATTGTTATTTTCCGACGAACACCCCCGGAGGGGATACTTCCTTATAAGAGGCTAATAGGGATGTGCTGCTGGATGGGGTCGCATTTTCACGACTGGATTGACTATAATAGGGTCGCTTTTTCAATAGAGTTACTAGAATGGGGTCGCACATTTTCGGATCTTTGGGGGTAAGACAGTTCTTCATATTTACGGTCAGCAAGCCTACCAGAATGTTTGTACTCTAGGTGAAAAGTAACGTGTTCTTCATTCAATTTTAAAAGGGGGTCAATTCATTAAAATAGAAGGTGACTAAGTTGAAATCGCGAAAATAACATATTTGACCAAAAGTGGGTAAGATGGGGTCTATAATTAGCCACAGAACAGACTATAATGGGGTAGGGGCACTGCTGAGAGGCCAGTGGCACATACCCAGCGAAAATTAAAGTAAGTACCCCCACCCTCCCCCCGGGCGAACACCCCTGTACCATTTGTATGAGACAGATGCTGACTATACTCATTGCTCTTAGTTCAATACTCTAGACTACATAAGTAAGAAAGAACTTACAATGACTTGTGCTTTTTTCCACTCTTCCACCAGTCTTCTGTGCTGATGTGTATGATAGCGATTCATGCAATTCAATAAAGAATCTGGGATATTGTCAAAAGTTTCCAAACAGCATGAGGACAACGTGCGGGATCACGTGCAACTTATGCGGTAATCACCTAACCTAATATCAGATCTTCAAATTTGTTTTGGTCTCATTGGGGAACATTAGACTGCCTTGAGTATTAACCTTAATAAACCGTGAAACTAGCTTGAAGTCAAGGATAACCTTCACATGCGAATGGTTTTAATGATATATGCTCCTTCTTTTGTCTTGAGTCCAAAGCTTCTGGCAAGAAAGCACCGCCTAGTTTACTGCCAGATTTTCGAAGGCAGTCTTTCTTTCGCTTTAAAGGAGCGCATTAGGTGAAATTTTACTACCCAGTTCTTTAATTTACCATTTTACATATTTTACATGCCCCTTGCTTTTTTGTGTTCTACTTGGATCTCACAAGTATCTACCATTTCCGCCAATTCAACACACCTTCTAGCGACCAAAAATTTCCCACGCTGTCCGATCACCTCTGGCAGAGGTGGTCATCATTACTTCATTAGAAAGCTTAAGCAAACAACAAAGGCGACGTCTACGAGAACGTTACTTTAAAGTAAAAAGTGAATTCAAGCTGCATTAAACTTTATCGCGCTTATTTCTTCTCGTTCGTCAAATGTTGGCGAAATCGTCTGGATCGGAGTTGAATTCTAAACGACTGTATCGAAGTCCAGGAAAAGAAAAACAAAGTCGCTCTCTTGTGTTCACGTCCTCTAGTATAGTTCAGGATATATAGTTTCACGCCGTAGTCGAGCAACGACGGAAACTGTACAAAAATGTGTGCTGCACGTGCAGAAGTTGTTGTTTTGCTTGTTTATCTAAACTATTGTCTTTTGCCGTTCTTGTTGCCGTCGCCGTCGTCGTTTCTTAAGCTCCCTATTTGTGTGTTCCACATCTTCCTTTTCACTTTCAAGTGAATTGTCGCCGGTCTTCTGACCCACTTGAAGGAACGAAATTCCACGTCACTCTGTCAGATTTTAGTGACAAAAAGGTTTCAAACTCCTGGGAAATTAACTGAATAGCCAGCTCTCAGCTTTTGTTATAGCACGTTCTCTTTATCTTAAAATCTAACCAATTTACCATCAAAAATGTTTTGAGCCCATAAAAATTGAGCTAAAAGGTTTACTTTATGTGCACTTTAATTAAAACGTTCGACAGAAACTTGAGATTAGTTAAACTTAATAATATCTTGACATTCTCTAACCTTTCACTAATCACTAAAACGCTCCCCGGCTTTAACGCTTTAAGTATTGAACGAAGTGATTTAAGAGCATATGATTTACTGATTTTTGAAAAGGATATGTGATCTTGATCCTTACGTTTCTCTATAGTTGAAAAACTATCTCGAAACTATTGCAATACTGATAATTACAGTCTCTAATTTTGACCACAAGCCAATCTAATCCATTCCTCTCACGGATCATTTAAATATCAAGTGAATGATTCGTAAAATAATGAATGAAATTGCCTGACTGTATAGTCTACATAACACAAAAGTCTCATAGCACTTTCGATCAGTATTAACTTAATTGATTATCATAAAAAAGAAATTGGACCATCATTTTGCATCATAATGCATGAAAATTGTTTCATTTATTCCATCTACTTATTTGACAAAAAGTAGTACGATCAATATGACATTATTTAACTTGTAGGAACCAATCGCCATCAACCTAGAGGGTTGAAACGGCAGGCAAAGCGGAAAAGTTTGGTGAACAAACTGAAGAGCACTCCGGCTTTCAACGGGGACACCGCTTTGAAAAGAACTTTATTACCTACGACGCACCGCTAAATGGGCTCGGATGTTTGATTCTGAGCGAGGTACATTTTGTGTCTTTTTACCAAAAAAGGTTAAACTGCATTTTAAGGCAGCAGATTTGCCTCGATTGAACTAACTTTACCCAGAATAACAGCGTGCTACGCTAACCACACGTTAACCAACTATTAAATCCAAACCGCAAAGTAACCATTAATAACCCCTAGTGTACTTAGAGAGGAACTCACTATAGTGCAAATTTAAAAGAAATTAATAATTCGATAATCATGCGCAATAGGCGAATAACATAAAGAAACTGAAATCAATGATTAAATGACATAATATGAATATCAAAATTTCGCTTCAAAACTATAGCTAACTAAATGGTTTTGCACAAATTCAATATTAATTTTGGTTTTATAAATGGGCCCATGCAACCAGCCCAATATTTATTGTTGTTTTAATCAATTTCTATATTTATTTGTGAGCATTTGGATATTGTGGGAAAGAGCGAATCAATAAGAACTCCTATATCAAATTTATTTGTCAAGGATTTTAAAAGCAGCATTCTCTTGCGGCAGATAACAGTGTTAAAATAAGGTGTGGCTCTGTTAAAACTCTTTTGGGTCTAAGAAGTGTTCCAGGGCGGGTTAATAACACCTTTCGTTCTACCAGCCTACTACCCTGCGAGCAGATGCCCTTCGATCTTCCTATCTAGGAAGATCGAAGGGCCTCTGCTCGCAGGGTACCACCCTACAGCTCAGTAGGGTTGAAAATTTCGTCTAACATTGACGATATAACAGGTATGGAATGAGGCAAACATTTAACCTAGGGATTCAGACGAACAGGCATGAAACTGCTCAATACGTTGTCGTAAACATATATGATCTGCGATGAATGCAACCGACAAAACAGAGTAACGTACAAGTCTAATATAATTCTCAATGAGCCTCTTGAATAATAAACTGGATGTCGGGATCCGATACATTTTTAGTCTCCACATGTACAAAGCAAAAAAAAAAAAAAATCAATAAACGTCTTAACAATCAATCTCATTTCTTTTTTCATAGCAATGAGTGGTCGAAAGAAGGATTCGCTGAAGAAGGAGTAGCCGGAGCGGATCATCTGTCACTTTGAGTCACCATTCGTACACTTTTTCTGAATAAATCATTTTTAGTTTTTTCTCTTCATCTTACAACTAGAAAAATATTTTAGTGTCCAGAAGTGTTATCACCATAAGAAAAGATATTCCTGACACCCTGTCACTTGAAAGGGATACTCAGATAAATTAAATTCCTAGTTAAGATTTTGAGTTGGATCTTTGAATTGGGTTATGCAAGTCTTTTCATGCTAACTTCCAAAAATAAATGTAACTGTCAAAAAAAAAAAAAACCTTCAATGGGCTATTTGTTATTTTTTCCTCTGCAAAAATAAATTGAAGAATTCTTTTATCAGGCTTCTTCCCTGCTCCATCTTCTCAGTAAGCCTTATAAAACAGCGATCTTAACTCGAAATTCAGACTCGATAATTCAACCTGAAAATCCAGGTAGAAAATCCAACTGGAAATCCTAACTCGGTGAGTAGGTGGATCTCGAAATGACAAAATTAATAGCGACCATTAGTTAATAGAATGAATGATCCTCGTAGCTCATAATGACTGAAAACTTGCTGTAGTGATAAAAAATGGCATGTTGCATTTTATTAGGTTTTCTTTGTATCGGAGTAGGAATATTAGCAATTATTGAATGAGACTGAGAAGGATTTGAGGAATTATGCAGATCGAGGAGGATGTTATCCACCGAGGCTGAAGGCCGAGATGTATAATATCTTCTGAACTAAATAATGGGTTTTAATTATTATTCGTTCAAAATATTTCTAAGTTCTCAAAATGCTTACCACCTCGTAGACCGGCTTTCTTCAAAACTTTGGCCTATTTCTCCGCTCGGTTTCAGAAAGTAAACAGATGTTTAATTTTGCAGATAAGCCTCAAGAGGTAGATAACATCCATCGAGCAACATGTATTGCGTATTCTTGCATTTCATCCATCCATTTTAAGTCAGAAGTTAAGCTATTTAATCTTCGAATAGCCGTGACCGCCCTTCTTTAGTTCACTTTTGCCTAGGCAGCCTCGTTTCCAATCAGATGTACCATCGAATCAATGGTGTATTGCTTGTATATTTCAAATATGGTAAGCGCCCGCTGGTTATGGAAAATTGGTAGGGGCACTGAAGCCAATCAAAACGGCAAAATATTTTGAATGAATAATAATAAACATTAGAGTAGAATCGAGGCATAACCTCTTGTCAGTGTTTTTGTCATGCATTTACCAGCTCCCTCTTCCCAAATCGAGGATAGAGGGCCTCGGTAACGTGGGTAATTTCAGTACAACTCTTGGAAAAATGCTGCTACCAAGTATTTTAATTTTATTCATTTGTTTTGGAATTTGCGGTGGTTAGTTTAAAAGCTATGCTCCTTTAATCACCGCCCTCTTTTTGTCAGGACTGTTCTACAGTGTTCTATCTTGGACTTTCTTCTTTTAATATCTTATTTCTTAATTAGATTCTCTTTAAATGTAACATCATAAAATGTGAATAAATAAGTAGCCTGAACTTAACTGGCTGGGGCTGAAATCTAAGAGTTTAAGGAACAGTGGTGACTGACTTTAACTGAAGCAAATTTTCAACCATTCAGAAGCACCGCCTAGATCCAGGTAGTAATCGTCATCAGTACGTCACGAAATGTTAGCTCTTTTCTTATGTTTCTCACTTTCTTGATACAAGAAACAAAGTTTTATTATGATAACACTTTCTTACAACTGAAAAGCAAAATTAAATTTATTTAGTTAAGTCGAGAAAGAGGTGTAGTTGTGTAGGTATGACCGAAGTTCAAAATCCACGTTTGAAGAAATTTAGACAAGAATTTTTTTTTTGAAACCCACTGAGTATTGTATATTTAAGTTTAATTATTATCCGTAGCAGGGACTAGTGAAGATAACACTAATAAAATTGGTATTGTTGCAAATTGCATGGAAGCTCAAGAATTACAGAAAAGCGTAGAGCGGAGGAAATTTAAACTGACGTTTGCTCTTGAATAACAGTCCAAACTTTTGTCTCGTTTTTGTTTTGTTTTGTTTTGTTTTTTCGGAATATTTAATACTTCTATTTATTTATTGTGCACAATAAAAAGGAAGGGAGGAATCGGGATATGGAAGCTTGTAACTATTGATGACTGTGGTTTTAACCTGCCCCTCAGCTTCTTGGATTACAAGCAAACGGGTCAAGTCGGTCAAGTTAGGCCTTAAGTTATACTGTATTACACTTTGTTTTCAGTTCCGAGCTTTCTCCGACCCACGAGCATCAGGTTTGGGTGGGACAAATACTAGGTAGATGATAGAAAAACAATCGATTCATGTATAAGTGAGACGGGCCTGTCAGGCCTATGGTTGACCAAGGGCGGATTTAGGGGTGGGCCCAGATGATGTTGATAGATGATAGATGATAGATGTTAAGTGGGCAAGTGTCCCTGTCGTGACCCCTTTCTGAATTTTCTGGATCCGCGCCTGCTGACAGTTGCCAAACTAACGTTTCCACAACCTGTGCCTGAGTAGTCAACGTCAGAGTCCAAAAAGTGCTGTATGATTGGTCAATCTTTTCGCGATGTTAACTGGTCTTTTGTCAAAATTAAGGCTTGGTTTTATTGGCTATGTAACCTTAACGTGAGTGGTACGTTTCGACGCGTCTTTGTGATAGTAATGATGGTCATTGTATCATATCTAATTGGTGTTTCTTTTTGTTCAGTCTGGCTGTTGTTCTCAGTTTTGCTTGAGTTTGTCGATAATTCGTTTGTAAGGTGCCATTAACTGCTGGCTACGATTTTGCGACCTGTGTTCCCAGGCTAGCTGCTGGTTATCAAGCCAGCTTGTTCTACGGTAAGTCGTTGGATAGGTCATGATTTGAAGCCTACGTAATGCATTTAGCTCAGCATACTGATAATGCCGGGCGAAAGAAACGACAATAAACGACGAGTAAAATACTAAAAACAAACGATAAAAGAGTGGATGATTATCACTAAAACAAAAGTATGGCGAACTCTATGCTTTTCTCTAGGGAATGGAGTTTGGCTACAAAAGCTTACAATAATCAAATGTAAAATGCTTTAAACAATCGCAAGTTGACGACAGGGTCTAGAGTAAGGCTTATAGCTTACAGCGTTTAACAACAGGTAAGTTGACAGTATAGCAGCCCCCGGAGACATAAAAAGCCAAACAGTTTAATTATTAAATACATACTGGTATGAGGTATGCCACTTGCACACTTACAGTCATGATTATCAATTCGCCACGAGCAAATAACCAATTAGAAATGCGACTTAACTTTTCCAAGATCGCAACGATATACAAATGCTACGCTCATTTATCACCGTTCACAGCAAATGATGTTTCTATAGCAAAACCATAATTTTTTATTCAAAAAAGTCGATTAATCGTAATATAAAAGTTCTGGGTCCTACGATTTGAAGTTGGATGTGTTCACGATCGACCACGCGCATTCGCATAAAAGAATAAATCATCAATTGATATGCAACTAAAAGAAATCGAACGCGTTCAGGATGCCCCGTATTCGCTGACGCATGCTGACATGATTGTAACAGACGTTCTTTTTTTATTATGGGTTACTACGGATACTCGAACGATTCTACCTTTTCAATAGATCTGAGTGGTTGTATTAATTTTCTTTTATCCTACTGAGTTACACAAAAGATCATAACTAAGAAAACTGGAAGGTAACTATTATAAGTGACTGTTCCTCGAGATTAAATTCTAGGCGGTACCAAACAGCAGTTTACTTTTGAGGCTACTCGTTTGGCGGCAAACAAATACCCTCTGGCTCTTTAGTAAGGGGGGAGGAGGGTGTTTTTTTTGGCCCTAAAAAACTTTAAAGTTGAACTTTCAAAACCTTTTAAGTTATGACCGTCAAATTTAGCTTAGGCGTTCGTCAACATTGACGTTACCATGACAACCGTAGTTTTATAGCCTTTTTTGCAAAATTAGCATTTTTTTCTTGATTTCTTGTCTGAATCATCATTTTAAACTTTATCTAGCACTCGTTGATCAATTTTGTTTACAAAACGATTGTTCATGCAACCCAAGCTTTTTAGATACTAATTTAAGAAAAGGATGAATTTGAAATGGCCTTATGTCAGGTCAATCTCCCGCGTCCCCAGTGCTTTTCACCTTTTGAGCATCAGGTTTAATTTTTTCTTCGACCGAGTCTGGGTCGGCGGAGACAGAGCGAATTATGAGTAAGTCCGCAATAGGTAAATAGGGCTAGTTGAGGTTTGATAGGGCAGGATCTGCTGCTGACATATGGCGGATTATACAACTATAAGCAATTATAAGAAAAGAGATATCCTCTCATTCTAAAAGATAGCAGTAACCAATGAAAGAATACGTTTAGCGGCTGCTTTGTGCAGCTGCGATATACCGACGTATTTCTAGTATATAGCATAATCATTTGCTAGCTGAATTTGGCACACAAAAACAAAGATGGCGGCGGTTTACGTCACGCAGTATTTGCTAAGACATTCACATACCGGTCATATGATTCTATTATGGCACTGTTACCTGAAGACAAGCTCTAACTTGGAGAATCCTACCAAGGGAGGATCCTATCAAGGGAGGCTCGTCCAATATATATATATATATAACAGAGAGATTTCTGCTTATTTACTAAAACCAGTCTATATTCAGTTATATATTAGCGGGATACATGGAGGATACCTTTGGCAAAAAAGCTCTTGAAACCCATAACAAGTTCCGTGCTGCCCACCAAGCGCCCGCTCTCACGTGGTCCAGCGCCCTTGCTTGTGACGCCGAAGTCTGGGCCAAACAAATAGCGCGAGACGGTCGCCTTCGCCACGACAACACAAGTGACGGAGAAAATGTGTTCATGGTTTTTGGACGAGAAATTGACGGAAGTGATGCCGCGAACAGTTGGTACAGTGAAGTAAAGGATTATGACTTCAATAAGCCTGGTTACCAGCCAAAAACAGGCCACTTTACTCAAGTTGTCTGGAAAGGTAGTGAGGAACTGGGAATAGGTAAGGCCAAGAAAGCTGATGAGAAGATGTTCGTGGTGGGTCGTTATCGACCAGCAGGGAATAGCCTGCGAGCCTTTCAAGAAAATGTTTTCCCATCAAAGGTGCGTACTGAGGCGGACATAACATTTTTGGCTTTTCCTGCTTGTGGTTTAAAACTACTCTGTTATAATACTAGCATCTTTCGACTTTATCATTCAACTGTTACTAGTGTCATCGTTTCAAGTGGTTTAATTAACCACTTCGAAAAAGGTTGAAATACAGAAACGTCGTATGATTATTACTGAACCACTTGAACTATACGTGCGCTTGGTGTCTGTACAATACTTCTTTAATCGTCTTAGGAACAAAGCAAATTCAATTAACGTCTTAAAGACAACATGATTTTATTTGATTTTATTTTTACAGTAATGAGTTGAATCGTCCCAAGAAGGATTCACTGAAGAAGGAGTGAATAAGTTGACTCATTTACTTTCTAACGCCTGTCCGAAAAATGCACGTTTTCTTCATTCTTTTGTTCTTTTCTTTATTTGCGCAACTGTTTTGGCGCTCTATTGTCTATAAAAAATTAAATGATACTATTTTTGTCATAAAAATGTAGCCAGCAAGAGATACTTGAAACAAATAAAAGTGGTATTATCGCGAAGTGCTAACAGTAGAAGTGAAACTGGTTGAGTTGAGTATATAAGAAAAGTGGAAGTAAACTCTGTGACGGTCCAGGACAACAAGTTTTTTGCAAATATTTGGAACTTTCGATCCATCTTTGTGCATGACAAATAACATGAAGGAAGAAAATTGGCGAATTGAAAATCGCGATTACTAGCCGCTGTTGATGACTGGACTAAAGTAAAGCAATGTTGATGGAAAGTTTAGCCCGCAATCACCACAGAAATTCAAGCTGAACCAAGTAAAATCGTTGCCACGTCGCTCGCAGGCTACTTGCACCGCTTGCTGTTGGTTGCTCGCGGAAGATTCTGACAAAACTCGTGCAGCTACACAGCCGTTACATCTTTCACTCTCCCGTAAACTGCGTTAGCGGATCGTTACTAAAACGGGGAAGAGGCCGGGAGCGGGGAACCAGTACGTACGTACGGGGAACGGGAAAATGAAAAAATGGAACACAACTGAGAATTGGAAATAAGGTTACTGGTAGAGCAACAAGTTACAGGGCCACCCAGCAATGGTTTCCTCCTAAATACATTGAAAACACTTTATAGGCTATCCAGAGTACTTTCAGATATCTAGAAATACATTCTAAGCGGAGCTAGAAACTGATATGTATCTGTTCGGTCATCCCAGGGGAACTTGAGTTTTTTCGAAACTACAAGGGCTTGAGTATTATTTTTTCAAAAATTTTCGATGAAGTTTGACGTATTACGAAAGTGAGACGTTTTCTGATTCCTCTCGCCATCTTATTTTTTGAATCCGAAAACTTTAGGTTCCCTTTATTCTACAAAAAATAGCCTAACTTAAGAAGTAAAATGTGAAAATTAAACTTCAGGAAACTGTAGGGGATATATTTATAAAGATAGGAAATTCTAGGCAATATTTGCGTCTCCGAACAGATATTTTACAGGGAAAACAGTCGTTGAGCGTCCCTGAAGTTATTACGTTTTGTTCCCATTTTTCACTTTCCTGTTTGGTAACATCCACGTTACCTGACGATTGGGTTACACAAAAAAAATTAACTCACCTCGAGCAAATAATCATTAAAAATGCGACCTAACTGTTTCGCGAAGAGATGTCAACAATATACTAACACTGTATGCCTAAAAGGGTTCCGCGCAGCTAAATCTGTTTCCCGCAAAAACATAACTGGATAAAAACATCCTTACTGTAAAATAAAGGTGTTATGGCCCCATGGGATGTGCATCAGACGTGTGTTATGCGATAAGGGAACGACCACGCGCATTCGCATAAAAGAATAAATTATCAGTACAACTGATATGCAAATAAAAGAAATCGAACGCGTTAAACAAAATTATTAACACAATCACCAGACGACTGGCTTGCACATTCTTTTGTTTCAGCTTAAGCCTTAATCTTCAGTTATTGCATATTCGCACGATTCTGCCTCTCGCGCATTGCTTTTATTTAACTATAAAGTCAAAACTGTAACTGCGACAAGGTATTTAGAAGACGAGAAGGTAAGTAATTTAAATCATAACAGTCGAGCTCCAAGTGAACTCTTGAACTGCGAGCGACAGACACATTTATAACACACTACTTTTCAGGCCATTCGTTCGCCAAACAATTTAGCTTTGGTTCTTTAGTGAAAATTGCAGAGTGACTTAAGACTTTGCTATTGGGAATGATAGGAAGAGAAGGAATAGATTTATCAATATATCTGTTTTTGGGACATACATATTAATTTCTAACAAAACATACCTTCGAAGTCTCGCAAATGCTGTACTCCATATTCAAATATTCCAGGAACAAAACCAAATTCAGGTTACATAATACTTTAAAGCTGTTGGTCTGGTACTCTAGTGTGGTTCGTGTACCACTGGGTTTAATTTTTCCTCGATCAAGCTGTCAGTCGACAACAGAGCTCGTCACCTTTGCACATTAAAATGTAGGTCTGCAATGCGTATATGTTGGTAGTGATCAAAAAGTCTGCAAATATACACCCCCCTCGGAACGTTTTCAAGAGATCGAGAATACCTATGCAACTGATTAAAATAAAATTTTAGCTGAGGCAAGTTGCAAATCGAACTTGCTTTTTTAACTGATAACGAGATAAAGGCCCTCGCTTTTTCTTGCCTCCTGCTTGTTCGAAGAGCTCCAAGTAGCGATTTGTTTACAAATAATTGTGGTTTTGTTCGTTGTATAAAACCTTACATTAGGAGAAAGAGAAATGGATGTATTTTCAAAGACTGCTCTTGAGGCTCACAACAAACGACGTTCGGCGCACAACGTGGCGGCGCTAAGTTGGTCAAATGATCTTGCAAGGAGTGCTCAAGTGTGGGCAAATAAACTAGCCAAGGAGGGAAAACTCAAACACGAGCAGCTGGAAGGTGTTGGCGAGAATGTGTTTATGTCATCTCAGGGTTTTGATACGGCAGCAGAAGAGGCCACAAAATCTTGGTATTCAGAGGTACAGTGAAGTCAATCGATGCTTTGGCAGTGGCGGATCCAGGGGAGCTCCCCCCCCTTTATTTTTAGACCAAACTGAGGTCCGGAGGGCCGAAACAATTTTTTGGGAGACTGCCCCTAGGGTCTGGATGACCGCCCCCCCCCCGCCCCCCACCTTAACCCCCTCATCTGAAGGTCTGAATCCTCCACTGCTTTGCTGCTGTTGCCGACTTTAATCTTAAGCAACAGCGTTTTTGAGCGACGGACGTCAACCGGAAGTGGACTTTTTGCATCATTGGGGAGCGGTTTGGTTGAAACTCTTGGGTAAATCGTCTTTAAAAGAGAAAAGAAACTCAGCAATACAAATTTGTTAGCGTCAAGGAATATAAAAAGGGAGAAGGCCTCGCTTCCGGTTGACGTGCGTCGCTCAAAAACGTCTTTGCTTAAGGTCCCTAATATGATGCGAGTAACAACTGCGAAAACCAAGAAGACTTCTAAACGAAATATATGATATAAAACTTCTCTGAAACGTGACCAAACAAATGTTAAAATAAATAAATTTACACGGCAGGAAAGCGTTCCCACACACCGCTAAAATAAAATACAGTCATTTGCATTAAATTGGAATAATCCGAAATACTTTTTGTCAATATCAAAATCGTGGTCATTGCCACCATCATAATTATTCTCCATCGCAGTTGTCCCTTTGGTAAACGGTCGCTGCCATTTTTAAGACGCTTAGAGAATTTTTGACCGGTTATTGAGAGTGTACCTTTTAAAACGAACGAAAATCGCAACCCAGGGTCGAACCTGGACCTCGAACCTCGGCGGAGCGTTCGTATCCTAATCTCTCTCCTTTACCACACCGATCCTCCAAAATTCTGAAAAATCTAAGTACATAAACTAGCAAACTGTTTGTATTAAGTGATTCACCAATAACAGGTTACCCAGCACTTTTCATAACTTTTGACGTAAATTCAACTTACGCTTCAACGTCGTTCTTTCTAAGACTACTCAAAAACGTATTATTTGCCTTATTGTAACTTAATCCAGGGAATATATTGCATCTATCATGACTAAAGGCTCGGTAAGCATAGGTGGCATCGACTGTTTACGAAAGGGAAATAGGCTCGCCATTATAGTACCACTAATTTCAGGGGCACCCAACGAGGATATAGTTCAAAACCACTCAAAGTAGCATTGCTAAACGTATTTTAGTATTTAAACGGTAGACATAGGCATATTTTTGTCGCCTAAAAATTTTTCATCTGTTCGGATTTCCTAGCTGGAAGTCTAGGAATCCGAAAATTATAGGGATCAAAACTTACCTTTTCGAAAATTTCAGCCAGATAAAAGGCTCCCGAAAATTCTAGGTAACCTTTTTAGGGTAAAAATCCGTTAAAAATGGGCAATTATACCATGTTCGAAAATCCTAGGAGAGGCAGACAAGCAAGAAATTTTATAAAAATGTTCTCAAATCATCTTCCGAACAAATATTTTCCGAAAATTGACGTTGGGTGCCACTGTCATTTCTGGTTTTTCTGCACATGTGTTCTCACACTGATATCCTCTAGCTGTTTGGCGGATACCATAATATGTTCCTGCTTTCGTACGATAGATACAACGGTATGATTTCAAGACAGGAGGCTATCAGTCAGGAACTGGTCACTTTACTCAGTTGGTGTGGAAGGACTCTGAGGAGCTGGGGATGGCAAGAGCCAAAAGTGCCGATGGAAGCGTATTTGTTGTGGCCAGATACCGTCCAGCGGGAAATAACTTGAGCTCCTTTGATGGAAATGTCCTTCCAAAGGTGGGGGGTTAGTCGACATGAATTAGGTCCCGTTTATATGGAGAAAACTTGACCAGGGTTGAACAGTCACTCGCCTAGTAACCGAGCTATTGTAGCTACCTTGGGCGAGCCACTGAATATCCTTTTTACAAGAGAAACAAAAGGATGGCTCTGCTAGTGAGTGACCAGGATAATTTCTTCACATAAACACTTTGGCTCACCCAGCCGGGTCAACTCGGTCAAGACGAGACAATCAGAGAATGCGCGAGTGCTGTTGTCAAAGACATACAGTCGGTTGTTTAAACGAATTGGCTTGGTTTAAGAAATCTTTGGACCTCCCGATCTCTTCCGTGGTGGGCTATTTCAAGAAGATAAATGCTATTCTAGTCTACGCATTATTCATAAAACTGTTCACGGTGGATGATTCTTAGATAAAAGCACCGGGCAAACTTAAAATAGTTTAGAACGCGGTTTTGTTAAACACTGTCTGCCTAAACTCCATTTAAATAACCGGCCCATGTCTTGTGTGAACTTGTGGCTACCCTCCTGTTCTGTCAGCTGACTTACAGCTGTGTAATTTATTGCTGTACAAGTATCTTTACTTTCTTTTATTTTCCTCCTTTTTTTGTTAAACCAAACCAGATCTTCTCCGACGAAGAGAAACCACAAGGTTAGTTAGCTTTGATTTAAATGATCAGGTTTAAATAACATCCTATTGAAATGAAAAGTGGAATTTAAAGAGAATTTTGAATGATATTGACTGTGGTGGTAATGATAAAATTTACGTTATTTCCCCGACTTTTTTTCTCCTTTTGATTAAGAAAAAGCAAATATTCCTAAGGAAACCTTGTCCAGTGTGAAGGAAGACCAATCAAAGGATATAAAATCCATTCCTATTTCTTCTCTAGATGGTAAGTATGATAATCATGATTATTCTAATAATATGCGTTATAAATCGATCCAACTTTTGAGTAGTCTGCTACACAGCCGTTTTAAGTAGCAGACTAACTTTTAAATGCACTGGAGTCCTTAGTCACTGATTTTACTGGAAGGAGACAGTTAGGAACTTTGAAGTTTAAGCTCCTTTGAAGTATATATTATTTTTTGACGACAGGATATTCCCAACTGGTCACCCAACCAGTTTCTAACCCCAACCGGCACGGCTCAACTTGACTGCAAAACCGCGTAATTAACGAGGGTTTGCGCGTCGTATTGTTACTTTCTCACTTCTTCATCTCGCTTGTTCCCCTGGGAATTTCTCAAACTTGCATTTTTCTCCTCGAGCGCTTAATTGCTCATTGGTATGATCTTGTCTTCAAATACAGTTTTATTTAGGAACTCGAGGTATAATTTTTACACCAGCATATTCCTGTATTTCAGATGCTTTCATTGAGAAGGTGTTACAAGTGCACAACGAATTACGTTCCCTTCACAACGTGCCTCTTTTAAAATGGTCCTCTTTACTATCAAGAGAGGCGAAAGTTTGGGCTGAAAAGTTGTCGAAGAGTGGTGAACTGTGTCACGCAAGTAAAGAAGAAAGAAAATATAAGGGTGAAAACATCTGTCGCATGTCTAGCCACTACGATGCTGCTGATGCTGTAAGAGTATGGTATTCAGAGATTAAGAACTATAATTATGACTTACCAGGGTTTAGCCTTGATACAGGTCATTTTAGCCAGATTGTGTGGAGAGACACCCGTGAAGTTGGGGTGGGAACGAGTAAGAGTCCAGATGGGAGACTGACGTACATGGTAGCTAGATACAATCCTCCGGGAAATGTGCTAAAAAAGTTTCAAGAAAATGTTACTCCTCTAGCTAGCTGAAACAAATTAAACGTGAGCATGGAGGTGTTTTAGCCATTAATAGTAAACGTGTCTAACTACCAGTCGGTTGATAAACCATGCCCGATTTATAAATAGCTGCTATAGACTTATCAGCAGGAATTAAAGTACAATAATGTGCAGTGATGATCCACTAAAACGCATTAAAATATACATTATGAAGAAGTGGTTTTCTTATTTAAGTGCATTGGGCTTGTATTGACGTTGGTAATGATACTAGACATATTCATCGGTAAGAAAAAAGCATTACGTTTTACAAAAGCTAAAAGAAGTTCGTTTAAGTAATTAATAACTTACAGTCACCTCGGTGTTTGAAACTGGTCTTAGAGGAAGTATATTTATCGATTGTCTGATTTTCGTTTGTTTGTTTGCTGTTTGTTTTCCGTATAGATAAGTGATTTTGGGTTTTTTCACATTTTGGGTATTCGCATTCGTAGCTGTTAACACATCGGTTATTCCTAGAACATTCATTCTCAAGAAAGAAGTCTCTAGACACGCGACCAACTGTTGGGTGTGGAGGACTTATTTCGGGGTCATTAATCTGCATGCGTTGGCAAAACAAAGCCGGTACTTAGAATGAATGTTCAGGATTCGCTAGGAATGCGTCAGGAGGTGAAAATCTCTTCCAGTGTATTGAGAACCTGGTAAGCAATTGTAGCCAAAGAGTTTTAATTCCACTCCTGCCATTCGGATGAGCCTATACGTTTAATATGGACTTAACTCCACGTACAGTGGCTAGAGATCGAGATTCGTACATGCATTAGGGTGGAAAACAAGCCCGAATACCCTTCTGAAGTAAAAATGAAGAATCAATTAGAAAGCTACTTTAGCTACCAGCTAATACTGCCGCACAGAGTTCGAAATGTCAGATGCGGGGGAAGAGGTTAAACTGTCGAAATTTCTAATAATCATCGTATTTCTCATTTGTATTACTTGTCGCACCTGTAATGTCCATCGTACCGCTTTGTAATACCTATCGCAATTTGCGAGAAACGGAGTCTCACTTTCCATATCCTACTTTGTAATAAAACTGAATTATTGATCAACATGTCTTCCGTCATAAATTTGTCTCATATGACTTAATCAAAGGAGAAATACGAACCGCGAAGTCGATATTCAGGCGGATTGAATTCTATGTAACGGATCGAAGAAACTATAAATTTCAGAACTTAAACCTTTCCTAGCTTCAGCTAACTTTTAGCCTACGTTTTGAGCTATTTTTGTTGAACAGGTGTTAAAATGAAGAAAAAAGTTGAAGAATTCCCTAGTAGACATGCCCACGTACACAATACTACTAAGGAAGGACAAGTTCAAATCTGGTGAAAATGTCATAAAGCGAAACTTTTTAACTCAGTAGACGTCGTATGAGGCAAGAAGTTATGTCCAATAAAATACATTAAATATATCACTGAAATCACCTAAAAAAGTGGGTCAGACGAAGGGAACTTTGCCGGATTTCAAACTACGTGACTTATCAACTAAATTAGGAAGCATTACGACAGTCATGCATTACTTTATTAGAGCATAGTGGCACTGCACGCGTGCGCAAGCCACTTGTACTATAACGAGGCTTCAGTGTAACAGAATTTCGTAAGTCGCACAACCAATTTTTATGGCATAAACTTCAGACTGGTTAAAATAGCGGAGATATATGGGTATGGATAGCATCATCCACGTTTTTGACAAGAGTTAGTTGAATCGCCTTCAAAAAGTTTATTATAAACTACGATAGAATTGCTACAAATTGCAACAGCAGCTAGTTTATTAAAAAGTGCAATGGAAAGTTGTTGCAAAATGCGACAACTTGTAACTGGGACACTGTTTATTAGAAATTTCGAGAGGTATTACAAAGTTAGATGATTATATAAAATCATCAAATCGTTACTATGTGCTTATTATATATATAAGAAGTTATGTCCAATAAAATACATTAAATATATCACTGAAATCACCTAAAAAAGTGGGTCAGACGAAGGGAACTTTGCCGGATTTCAAACTACGTAGATATATATATATATATATATATATATGTTGTAGTTAATTATTTATCTCAGGTAATTTTTGTTTTTCTTTTGTTTTTGGGTATGGTTATGTATGCTAAAAAAGTGAAGTTGAAACAAAAGAAAAATAAGAATTACCTGAGATAAAAAATTAACAACAATACATATATACTTACTTGAAACTCTTATGAATATAAACCAACACGCACGACTTAATTTCATATTATCGACAAAAGTTTAATTTAAAATATTTAGAATGCAGAACCACTGTCGCTGCAAGAACAGTTTCCGGATGAAGGCAGTATACAGATCTCGTTGTGTTCTTCCCAGGTGAACGCCCACTCTCCGCAGACAACTTCCTCTACTAAATCATAGTTATTAGAGGAGACTGGTTATGAGAAGCGGCAAAAATCAATGATGAAAACAACAGTGCTGCAGTTTATGTTGGAAGCACCCTGAAAGTGCACAATCCTTTGTTTTCTGTTGGCAAATTGTTACGGAATAAATTAATGCGACGTTTTTATTGGTCAATACAATCAAAATGATAGGAATTATTTTGAACGTTGTGCACTTTCAGGTCCACAAAAACATATAACAAAGGAGTCTGACGGGTTTCATAACCATTCCACTCAATTAACTATGACTAAATGTGAAAATAAACTATAGGGGCAATCTATAGCTGTCAGTCATATAATATTACTCAGTTTCATTATTCAAATGAATAATTTCTCGTCCTTATGTTCTGTTTTCTAGAACAAAGAACTCCATAATTTATAATTATTTATCTTTTTTACATACCACCCTGCAGGGTATAATAATTAGCTCAAGAGAATTTTCAGCGATAAAATAACTTCTTTGACAATTCAAATGATGTAATTGTTGGGTTATACTCTGATCGAGATTTTAAAAATATAACCTAACTTGAGTTGTGGCAGCTCCTCCCATTTCTTCTTCACGAAACCAACGCCTGGATAATGAATGCTGAACGATCTAGATCGAAAAGTAAAAACAAATGTTATTATATTATTTATGTCATTTATTAACGCGTGCCTGAGGCGATGAGTATGATTTTAATTTTAAATTTAATTCACAACACAGTCGCAACAGAATTCGCAATTGCCTTGCCTGAGTTTTGAACTCTGATCTTCGGTCCTCAGCCAGAAAACGAGGTAACTGTATCAACAAATTGAGCTTTTTATCTTGCATAGTTAATGTAAATATAACTTCGTAGGGTCACGTTTTATTTTCTCTTTATTTTTTCTCGAGGCTCAGTTTCATGCATAAAGAGATCGATACTCAAAAAGGTCAAAAAGTGTTTCGTATCTCATCGCCCTCTTATTTCGTTAAAGTGAGTCGGTCGATCGACCAGATGTAATAAGATCGCAACTATAGGCACCGGATCACGCTTCTAAAGCAAATGTTTAAACACCGGCGTAAACTGAGAAAACGGAGGAGTACGTGCGTTCACTGATCCACATAAGTGAATCAGCATTACGGTACCGGTTTGAAGGGAAAAAATAAAAGCTAAGGTGAAATTAATTTTCATTGAACAAAAAATTGTAGTACGTTTGCTGCCATAGAAGGCCACATATTGTCCTCTCAGCTTAGTTTAATCAGTTTGTTATCCTATTTTGCAGTATGTGGGCATGGCCCAGCATCAATGATTACGCCACAAAAGAGTAAATTAGACCGCATGGTTTATGCTAAAAAGGGAAAAAACTCACAGCTCAAAACATTATATACACACTACCATGATAATGATTAAAAATTAAAATGCTAATTAAAACTTTGGTCATCACAGAGGCTTGAAGAATTGTCGGGTTTGTTTAAGACATTGAGGAAAATTAATATGTCAATTATACTGAGTCAGTCTTACTATATTCAGACGATAAATAGATACTGATTATTTCTGAATATAAACCTAATGAGCCGGTACTGTTGTGATAGGACCGTTTGCCATGGGCGAATGGCTCTGCTATGATCCATAACGCTCACTTGTATCCCACAACAGTTTTAGTTTGCAATACAGCTTTTGCCTTCTCGGAGAAAGTAACTTTTCGGGCCCGAAATCAAATATTCAAACCGCGAAAGAAAAAGAAAAAGAGCGCTGGTCCTGGCTAGAAAACTATTCCATTTTTTTAAATTAACTGATAGTTTATCATGTTAGATGCAAAACTATTGAAACCTCTATCTTGCATGTGAACAACAACGGCTTTGCGAGCCCGTTTATTATCGAGACTTTTGAGAAACGGGCTCCTGGTCCTTAGTTATTGCATTCCACATCGATGTTGATGCGTATCTAAATGAGTGTAAGCCATGAGTGGTTGTTTTAACGCAGGGAACAACAAGTTTGCTCATCGCTGCAGATCGAGTCTTGGTATCAAGATGCAATTTAGTAATTCTGTCTTGAAGTCTGACAAAAGAGTGCGGGATATTTTGAATAAGATATAGGGGGAGGGGAATTGGCTTGTGACTTAAGTTAGACGGCTTTCTGATAAGAGTTGCACTTTTTATTTTTTGTTGCGAATAAGAGTCCTCCATTTGCGGTCCGATAGCTCACATAAGGATTTTCTTAGTGTATTGGTACTAGAAAAGCACCATCACACCTCTGTAACATGTCTATAAAGTATACGCAATGACAATGACGCATAGTGTTCCAAAAGCAAACACGATTAACTATGCGGTCGATAGGAAGTCTTTTGTTCAAGTCTGAAAATCGAGAGGTATAACCGAAGTTGGGAAAAAATGTTTTTATTGTGACTTCGGCGGCTTAAGTTTAATCAAGTTCTGGCTTGGTAGCCGAGCCGCATCACCTTTTCTATTTCCAATATCTCATGACGTTTGAACGTACCGGCGTGTTATCAGCTGATTTATTGATGTTCTTTTCTGAAATCTTTCTATGTTGAGAGCCAAGTAAAACAATTCTAACTTTGTGGAAAAAATTCCGTGGCGTCTGCCATTTTGCTGAACCAGACGTTCGTTGGCAATTGTGTCGAAAAAAAAAACATTTCCATTTTAAGATTTTACCAAATAGAGCTGTATTACAATAAAATTCTATAATTGCAGAAGTAAAGAGTTAAGTAAAACTGACAGTTTGTCGAGGCGGTCTCAATTATAGCCAAATCCTCAACATTATTACTCTAGACTGATATAAATATGATCTGACTGTCCATATGCAAATTTACATTTTCTTCTGTCCTCTTGCTGAAAAAAAGGCCAATTTATGTGGAATAGAAATGTATGATAATAAGTTTGAAACAAATTAGGACTGGAAATAAAATTAAGGATAAAATTGAACAACAACATATACACCTGGCTGGCTTCTTTAAAGAAAAAACGGCATAAACCGAGTAATCTGGGCGGATAGCAAATGGAAATGTCTGACACTACATTAAATTTGAATACGCAACAATCTCCCCTTGGCCCATATCCATGATTTGCTCAGTCAAAGACCTGTTACAGCTCAATTACTGACACGTGCGAGCCCACGGTGGTTGCAGGTTAGCTTCCAGGTGGGGAGGGGGGGGGGGGGGGGCGGGGGCATGCCTCGGGGGGGGGGGGGGCGGAAAGGTTCAACACCTGCACCCCACAACCACCATAACAAAAATCGGGCGGAAAGAAGAAAGACATGGTGTATCATAAATAAAATTGTCACAACGATAAACTCCCCCTTGTGATCAAGTCCGATTTTCGCACCCAAAAAGTCTTGTTACAGTTATTGTGGGGAGCGGGGGGGGCGCGGGGTGGTTGGGGGGTCGGCTCGGGGGGGGGGGGGGGGGGGGGGGTGCTTGGACTATGCTCTGGGTAGAGGTGCTGCTGAAAGTTTCAAACCCTGACTCCTACAACAACATTAAACAAAAATAATCAGACTTAAAGGGGCGATAAACCTCATCTTGTTTAGAAACAAGATCCTTGCTGCTACTAGTTTCACAACAAGTGTTCTGCATTGATAACCCTTCCTGATCAGAATCAGAATAGCATACTCTGTCGCGAAGTTGTAAAATAATGTCTAAATCTAGTATTCAGCAAAAATTGATTATTTCCGTTTTCGTGGATAGTGCAAGGCAGTTTCAGAGCTTTCTTTACGTCAAACTTACTAATAGAATCATATACACACGTTTAAAGTAATATCAGCGATATTCTGCCCCGCGGCAAGGCCTCTGTCTAGACCAATTATACGAAAGTGCATCCCCCGGGTTGCCTAGCCCGACGAATTGTGCTCCGAAAAGCTCATTTGAAAGCACTTGCCCAAAGACACAAGGGACCAAAGAGGACCAACTTGCTCCCACTAGGACCGATCCAGTCAAGCTTTGCTTTTCTTTAATTCAGTTTAGTGAAAAATCTAACCATTCAATTTTTCAGACACAGTTGGAATCCTTTTGGCCAAGGTTAGTCGCAAAAACGCGCGCTGGTAGCAATGATGTTATTGTTTACTTTTGTATTCGAATGCACATGTTTAAGTTGATCTTGCCTTAAATTTTTGAAAAAGCTTGCTCGATTGGAAAGCAAATCATAGTTGCCAAAGAATCATGAACGGCATCCTAACATTAGCAGAAAATGCGCGCCATTTGCTGGGTTATTTGGAAAGTTATCAATTTGGAGTCGGTCGATCGTTTCATTGTACTTGAACAAATCGTCACTTGCATGTTTCGTTGAGATTTTGCATTTTAATTTACTTTGCAGATCACGGTGTCTTTCCTCTTTTTGTCTTCTTTCAGCATTTTCTGTTAAGAATAATTTTAAAAGCCTTCGACCAAGCTTGAAAAAACAAAAATGCTAAGTTCACATCAATTTTTTTTTCAATACATCTATAAACGTGTCATATCCGAATGCGAAATTTGCATAATATCTTTTCTAATTTTATGTAGTCCTTGGTAACGTGTTTTTTCAACACTTTTTTCGTCTCAAGAGAATAATATGATGATATGAGAAACATTATTTTTTATCTATTAAATCACAACATGTTCTGCCTCAATAAACAGACCAAACAGTTTCTGAAACCTATAAATGAAACCGTTAAACTCGCTTGTTATATCATGAGCGATAAGAAAAAAAAATAAATAACAGTGTATTTCGTCTTGAAAATGAAATATTCATTCGTTTGCTCACCGTACAAATAGTAGAAAGGTGCCAACCTTTTATGAATAAGATCAGTTATTTTCCATATACTTTAATTTGCTCACATTTCTCAAAAGTTTCATCTTTTTGATAAATTGTTTGTTTCTTTTTTTTCCCTTCTTTTTTCGCATGTACGCGTAAGGCACATGAGCTCAGGTGTCGTGACTCCTGCGATATCATATGAAGCGCACAAGCTCATATATTTTCGAAGTGATTATCACCTGCTCGATGTACGCCACTGTCGTTGTCATCGTTCAGCAAATCAGACCTCCTGCTTCGTTTGAAATGTTAAATCTCTCACTTGAATTATTTCAACACACTCAATCTTGTCAATGGAGTTTAGGCTCTCTCCTCCGCAGAAGCTCCCACTAGGCATCCCTACAAAAATAGATATAATCAAGAAAATAGACCCCGCGCTCTCTTTTTCTTTCTCCCCAGCCTCCCCACAACAGGCCTCTGCAGAGGAGAGAGGTAGTTTACCGCTATAACCGCAAAGTCCTGACTGTCAAGCAGTACATCACATTTGGGATTTTCGATCATAGTTATGAAATGGATTAAATTAAATTTCATATCGTTATTCCTTAATAAATCATGATTACAGAATGATATATTAAAGTTTTAATGAAAATTTTTTCGGGTCAATTTGCTTTGCCTTGATGATCGAGTATGTTGTTTGTTGAAAGGTTTTTTTCTGCTCGACGATGTGTGCATGGAAACAAATTAGGCGTATATTTTTGTTTCCATAGAACTAAAAGATTTCACAGTAAGGTCCGCTGATAACGAGAAATTTGGGATGTTCGTGATTAGGGACGTTTTGGTTGATGCCAACAAATTAATACTTAACTTCGTTTGTGAACATTAATGAAAGACTAAGTTAATTCAATCCGTTTTTCTCATTTTTGAATACCGTATGTAAACTTCATCAACCTCGTCCCCAGGGCTTTTGCCTAAGATAATGGGGTTCTTGATCTCCATTGGAAAAGCCCTGGGTACAAGGTTAAAACATACCTGGAAAGACCAAGAGGTAAACAACTATGGCCTTGCTATCCATTAGTCTATGCGTTACTTATTGGATAAAGCACCGGCTCTCCTGGCCGTCGGTATTATGGATTTGAATCCAAAAAGTTTACTCACATTTTTCTTTTAGTCTTCCATACTATACTAGCGTGCTCTTTCGTGAAGCATTTCATTACAAGGAGCATTCATTCACCATCTTTTTTCATTTATATCGCCTTTAATTTTCACTGATTATTGTCGATTCTCCCGGCGCTTAGTTTACATGATTAATGTTTACTTTTAATAACATCTCTTTTTCCAGTTTTAATTGAAACAAAATCATGGATACCTTTGGCAAAGAAGCTCTTGAAACCCATAACAAGTTCCGTGCAGCCCATCAAGCGCCCGCTCTCACGTGGTCCAGCGCCCTTGCTCGTGACGCGGAGGCCTGGGCCAAACAAATAGCACGAGAAGGTCGCCTTCGCCACGACGATACGAGCGACGGGGAGAACGTGTTTATGGTTTTTGGACGGGAAATTGACGGAAGTGATGCCGTGAACAGTTGGTACAGCGAGGTGAAGAATTATGACTTCAGTAAGTCTGGTTACCAGACCAACACAGGCCACTTCACTCAAGTTGTTTGGAAAGGAAGTAGGGAACTGGGAATAGGCAAGGCCAAGAGTGTTGACGGGAAGGTGTTTGTGGTGGGTCGTTATAGACCTGCAGGAAATAATATGCGGGCGTTTGGAGAAAATGTCTTCCCTTCAAAGGTGCGTATTCTAACAAGTCACTAGCCTGCAAAGCAGGCGTGTTTTGGAGCGTGATCCATGATTTGTTTTCGGGAATGACTTTGTCTCGTCATCTTGGACGTTAATACTACCAGAGAGTTGGGACGAGTCAAAAAATGATTTTAAGGGAGAGGTTGGTGGGCTTAAGGCCCCTCCTCCCTTAGTCTATTCCTTTGCTTTTCAAAATGGGGCCGCGATCAATGTACCTCCCAGTTTCCGTTAAAAAACGCCTGCTCTGCAGGCTAACAAGTCACTGCTTATCTCTGTATCTTGATGGTTTAAAGCTATTTTTGTGATAATTCTAACACCCTTTGACATAGACATTAAGATTTAACTGTTATCGAGCTTATAATTCTAGTAAACTGCTTCAAGCCTTTTAACCCACCGCTTTGACAAGGTTAAAAAAAGAATTAAAATTATTTTTTCTTGCAGGATGGACCTGTGAAAATACCTGAAAAGGAGACAAAGAAGACTACACCTGTTCAGTGGAAGCATGAGGCAAAACGACCGCAAGGAAGTGGAGACGGAGCATCGTCTCAGAGAAAAGAGGAAACGGTAATAATTTTAACACAACTGCAATCTAACTCTATTTAGTGCATTGCTTCAAAGAGTATTTATCAATGTAAATTCTCTAAGAAATAAGACAACAAAAATAAGGCTCGACGCAATGACGCTTAAAAATTATTATCATTATCATTATTTATTATTGTTATTTTCATGTCTGACCCCTATAAGTGGCCTTGTTTCCCCAAAGCATCTAGAAGATAACCTGCGATCAGGCGTTTTTGTTTTTTTTTTCAAGGGCGCACATAAAGGGATAACGGAAGAGGGCATGATCTCAGGCTATCTAGAAGATAAATCCTATAGCCTTAGGTGTCCAAGGTCCTTCTTACGATCTTGGCTGTGCCGCCCAACAAACGAGCTTTCTGAAGCAATGCGATCCGGATTCTAGGTGTTCCCAACTTACTGATCTCCATTGAGGTGTTTACTCACATGCCAGTCCCAAGAGCCCCAATTTCAAAAGGGATAACAGATACACTTCTGCAGTTCCAGATCTTTCAGTCGCACCTCCACACTTTTAAGTCCTGGTGGTCGATCTTCTCCCGGTTTTTTTTTCTGCTACGCGTGTAGCAAAAGGCAACTGAGCTACATCCACAATCAAGTCTATTGTGGTCTTAATGGTGCTCTGTCTGAATTCTGAAATCCCACGATAACTTCACTTGGTCATTTTCTATCACTGCCTCTGGAGATCTAGAGTAGTCATATACCAAGTTCCGTTGCATTGCAGCCAAATTTTTTGCAAAGGTTCCACTGGACAACTCGAGCAACCTCATCGTGTCTCCAGCTCTTATAATAGTTTTGAGCTTCTATTATTATTATTATTATTATTATTATTATTATTATTATTATTATTACTATTTTTATTATTTTCTTTATTATTTCCAGTAACATAATGTTCGTACATTGGGCTCTCGAAAAATTGATGGAAAGTTTAAAGGCCAGGAGATCGCCGGGGATTATAATAACGATAATAATAACGATTTTGCCAGTTGTCTGCATCCCTCCGTAAGTTATGAATTTATGAATATTAGGTGGAATAAGTAAAGACATGATAGGGTGGCTGTTTTTGTTTTGCTTTTTTTTCCGTCTTAAATAAAAGGTTGTGACGTATCCAGATGGCACTAAGAAGACCGTGGTATCTACAGTAACGGTAACTCTTAAGGGAAATGGTACGTAACGTCAATTGATGACATTGCTTCTTAACTTGATTCAGATTTGTCCTGAGGTGCTGTGAAGAACACGTGCTCTGTGTATAACTTCATCGGGTTTTGCGTAGGACTTAAGGATCTGCAGGGGCGGTTCCAGAAAATTCAGAAAGGGGTGGCCGGGACACTTGCCCACTTGCCAGCAATATTATAGATACTTTTCATTCTGAGAGTTCTTTAAAAATAACACAAAATTTCAAAGAAAAAGGGTGGCCGCGCCCCCCTCGGCCCACCCCTAAATCCGCACCTTGATCGTTAAGTGACGAGTTCGAGACTTGCGCCATGACATTTTTCAATAAAAGGATAAACATTTCTGCCTCTCTTCACCCACAATTGTTGCTAAATGCGCATGCTCTTGAAAAAAGTACTGCTGTCAATCACAACTCTTGATTTCATGTTCTGAGTGTACTCAACGTAAGTTTTGCTTTTTATTCTTTCTGATTTCTGGTACATTGCAGATCAAAAGGGCTTCTCTAAAGAAACTGTCACAACTAAAACTGTCCATGGTAAGTACACTGCAGTCTTCAAGTAACGTTAGTTGCCAAATCATTCCGTAATCACATTGAAACCTCTATTAAGCGGACGTTTGGGAAGGTCCCCAAGGTGTTCGCTTAGAGAGGTTTCACTGTATAAGAAACCAGGTCGTCGGTTGGAAACGACAAATTAATATCATGATGAAATTATTTGCATATTGCAGAAACAAGCGAACGCAGTAACTTTTCTAGAGACATGAGAAAGGCCCTTCCTCAAGGTGGGTGCACATTTATTACCTCTCAAAGGGCCCTTTTTTTGTAACTCCCGCTCTTCCACCTAAGGGTGGGTGGGGACGGTTGGGTGACAACAGTAGCGTCGGATTCTCCCAGCATAATGTTCTAATGTTTTGGAATTTCATTCATTCTTGCTGGAAGGAAGGTTAAGGATAACAGAAATACATACCGTCCGAATTATTTGCATTTCTTATTATGGATTTTAGCTGCATTGACTAACACGAGAAGCATTTTTCTAGTTCCCTTAACATTACACCCAATTATAGCAGCCGTTTTTTCCCTAGCAACGGTAAATGTTTGTTTTGCTTCCCTTTTTATTTCATATAAAAAAGATCTTCCCAAAATTGCAAACACCGCAATAGAAGGATAAGCTGAGGAGTTACATAGGTGAACAGAATCATAATTATGTGATTAAGTCTCATATTGATCAATGCCTAATGACGATCTATGCAGCTTTAAACCCGTCTGGTTATTAATGAATTATTTGTACATGTTCTGTAGAGTCCTTAGGGTCCAGGGCAGGCGACCGGGATACCAAGCCGTCTTCAACAGCAGGAGGAGGTGAAACACTCTTGTTTCATGTGGCTGTTTTAACACACATAATAACAGTAGATAATAACAGAACTCAATTGAAAGTAATGACAGATAATCCAGCTAGTCATTGAACGTTGTCAAACGTAATGCTGGTTTGCACATGACGTCACGGAGGCCATGTTGGTGGTCAAGCTAAGAACAAAAGCGTTTCTCTCCTCTGGCGGAACAAAACTCCATTTTTATGCAGATTCTTGGAGAGGAAATTTTATCGTATGGACCACCAAAATGGCTGCCTTGACGAGTGGCTGCATAACCAAGAATATGCTGCCTGAGACTATCATACTAACCTACCATACTAACTTTCTAATTCTGTTTAAATAGACTGGGTAACGCAATCATTTAAATCATGACTATTCTTTTCAAGGAGCTCCGTACGTGCCCTGCTCTACGTCTAAAAAAGCGTTTGCAAGAATATCTTGCCTTAGACTATCATACTGAACTCAAAACATTTATGGTCTTTATCGTCACTTCTGAAAGAGACACGTCTTTCTCGCTTATGCAATTCCATTTTAAGATTTTTACGAGGCACAGGTGCCACGTGCATTGTGCATGCAGTGTAGTGATGAAACACCCTCTCGACTTATCTTTTTTGAATCTAGCAGCAAATTTAACTACTGACGTAGTGTTAATACGGAAAGACATATCCATTTCTTGATAATCATGTGATAATAAGAAGATCAACAACTTGCCAAAGAGCATTATTATTCGGAAAATAATATTGATTATTTTTAAGTTAATGTCAAGTGCTTGTGATATACCACTTAAAATTTTTAAGAACGAATATAGTAAGTTCCGTTGACCTGTATATTTAATTTCTTGTTTCTTATTTAAGAGACCACGTTTAAATTAATAAAAAAAATAAGAGAACCCTTTACCATACTAACTTTCTAATTCTGTTTAAATAAACTGGGTAACGCAATCATTTAAATCATGACTATTCTTTTCAAGGAGCTCCGCACGTGCCCAGCTCTACGTCTAAAAAAGCGTTTGCAAAACAGGCCCTAGATGCTCACAACAAATACCGTGCCAAGCATCAAGTGCCACCTTTAAAATGGTCGGAAGAAATCGCAAAAGATGCGCAGGCCTGGGCTGAGAAGTTAGCTCGTGAACGAAGACTACAGCATGCGTCCCAAAGCGAACGCAAAGGAACTGGTGAAAACATCGCAATGTTTTCTGGTAAATTTGAAACAGCTGGCGAAGAAGCCACCAATATGTGGTATTCTGAGGTGAAGGATTATCGGTTCAATAAGCCTGGTTTCCAAGGCAACACTGGGCATTTCACGCAAGTGGTTTGGAAAGAAAGTCAGGAGCTAGGAATGGGTAAGGCCCAGACTACTGACGGCCGCCTGACATTTGTCGTAGGGAGGTATAAGCCTGCAGGAAATTTGCTGAATCATTTTCAAGAAAACGTGTTTAAGGGTTGAGAAGTAATTGATTTGATTTAAATACTGGTTTAAATGTCACTTGCTTTTAAATGTTTCTCAAACATTAACTTTATCATGCATAGTTTTAATTCTATAACTATGGTAAAGAGGATGCAAAAATGCAAATATTAAGAAAAACTATAAGTTATAAAGTATAAGTTTGGAAAGTTATAAAGTATAAGTTTTGAAATTAATTAATTAATTAATTAATATATTACTTTAAATATCAGGTTATAAAAAGTTTTAAATGTCTCGTTAGAAGAAACCTGTCAATTCAATTCCCATTCATTTATACTGACATGAAGCATACATGGTCATAAACCGGCTGCGGGAACCCTGATCGAAATTTACACTTTTTCTATAGATTTTTTTAGATTTATATTAGTTCTCAAGGAATAAGAAATAAAGTATCTAACAAAATAAAACAGATGATCGATAATGAAAGAATAAATAAATAGAGCTGGAAGTATCGGGATCACAATAATTATTTAAGGAGCGTATCCGATTTTATATAGTGTGGCATGATAAAACTAGGCGATCTTTTAGAATAATTATATACATTAACATTCAGTCACTTCCAAAGTGACTTAAGTTTTATTATAACATAAAGTTTTAGTGAGAATCGAAAAAAGGAGTAACTATTGATGATATGAAAACTACTAATTGTTAAAAACAAAGTGTAATTGGTTAGGAGTGTAGTATTAGTTTGTGTATTGCAAGCTAAAACGGTAATAAAATAATCAACGCACCAAACTTAAATCTGTAAATCAAAGATGAAGAAAATGATGAAAATGCCATCTGCAAGTCGCGGCAGTCTTGTCTCCTCAGTGTTTAGCCCAACCCCTCGAACAAATCTCGAACAATAATAGGCCACTTCCGACTGGTTCCAAAAACCCTCGCTTTCAAAATGAGACTAGGTGCACAACTCCTTCTTGTGAAAAAAAGTTTTATTTGCATGAGAATGAAAAATTATTTCCATATCCAAGGCTGAGCACTTAACCTCGTTTTGAAACAGAGGCCCAGGGGAACTCGGAAATGGCCTATTGTAAGTACAGTGTAAGCTCTCCTAACGGACACTCTCGTAAGCGAGCTTAAGGGGAAAGCTCTACTCACGGCCACCTTCCCAAAACGCTGTTTTTCTCGACTCCCATACAAACTCTGTATTTTTACATTCTCGTGAGCGGCCAGTTCCAGCTTCGGACACTTTTTTCGCGTCCAGAGGGTGTCGGCTTACGAGAGCTTCCACTGTATTGTGTATCTTGTATATTGTATTTTGGGAGGAGGGGTGGCGCGGTGAGGTGTGAGCACTCGCCTCTCACACTGGCACGGGTTCAAATCCCGTCCCGTCGAAGCGATATATGTAGGTGGCGTTTGTTGCTGGTTCTTTCCCTTGTTTCGAGAGTTTTTTCTTCGGGTACTGTACTGTACAGTAAAGCAATCAGGAATGGTAGATGAAGAACCATTTTGTGGATGTGCTCCGTCTAAGTTATCTATTTATGGTAGTTAACTAGGTTACAGAGTAATGCGATCTAAGGTAACATCCTACTTCTCCTTCGATTGAGCGAGGTCTGGAAGTGCACTTTACGCATTCAACGGCCGCCATAATGCCTAAAACGTGCTCGCTATAACGAAGCCTCGTTATAGCGAGCACATTTTGCCAGTCCCTTGGTCCTTTGTTGTATCTACGTTCCACTCTACTGTACTGTTCCCATTCCCCTGTTTTTTTTTCTTTTTTTCCGTAAAATCGACCGTCTAGATCGAGCGCTCTGCGTTACGGGCGGCCTAATAACACCCACCAGGAGCCCCCATCTACATTTAATATTAATCCCCAGGCTAGACTCGATACATTTGAAGCAAGATGTCAGAGATGTAGGTGCTCGATCGCGACCGTGACGATCGTAAGGAGGAACAGCGCGTGACGATCTCATGCATCCACCCATATTACCCATTCGTTAATTGTCTCCTGACACTCGCGTGACAAGCTCACGCTGAACAATGCAACGCAGTCAGAGTGCAACTTAAAATTCAGAGAAGGACTCCAGCAGTTTTAACAGATTTTTGAAGACTGGTGGAATACGGCTTGGCTTGGATAAAAGAGTTTGGATTTGTACTCAACAACCTTGGCTTAAGTAAGGTACAAATAGATTAATTTAATTTTCTTTCGCCGCTGATTGACCCCAAAAATCTTTCATTTCGCTAGCCTGTTTTAAAAACAAAAGAGACCTTCAGTTTCATAACTCCGATTAATTTTCATTTCGTTTTGCATGCACTGAATCAATGAGAGAATTGAATAAATTTATAATCTAGCATTATGGAATTAGATTTTTTGGAAAAAAATTGTTAATGGTTAACACATTTGAAGACCGCTACACACCAGCCTTCACACCGTCACCAGGTTAGTTCCGGTTTAAAAAGACACCCTGTTCCAGACTCTAAATAGTGGAATTATATTCCTTCCGGAAGACTCAACATGTTCAGTGGCCAAATATTAAGAGATTGTCCTTGGGCCCCGGGGATTTTCGTCATACATGTATTTTCCCAAATAATTATAGCAGAGTGTGCGTCGAAGGTGTGCGTGTTAAGCTTGAACCACGTTCCAGTGAACGATAGCGATGAGAGCTAGTAGGTTGCTGCATTCAAAGGCTTTATGCTGTAAACATTAACATGGAAGGCCTTGGTTTGAACTCACTTTAGACGTTTTCTAATTTATGCCAGTCATAAACGTCTGCTTTGTCATGATCGGCGAATAATATGCCGTTTGGTACACTGTTCGGGATTTGACCTTTAATTATAGAGAACGTACGTGAGAACGTGACTTGGAACAGGACTACATCCAAGCACCACCGGTACCCATATGAACTCTAACTTTGAAAATCAAGTAAGGTTGAAAGGTAATGTATGCTCGGTTGCTAGTTAGATCAGTTGTAAGTCTTGCTCTTTACTCGGGCAGCTGTCGAGAGGTTAGGGGCGGGGGGGGGGGAGCAGTTGTATCCCGGGAGGGCTTATAACCGGACTTAGAGGGGGGGGGGGGGGAGCAGTTGTATCCCGGGAGGGCTTATAACCGGACTAGAAAAAAAAAACCGTTTCAAGACAATCGACATGGCGGTGCTAATCAAAACACGTTTTGAATTTACTGGTTTTTAATTGCTTCAAAATGTCATACAAAATCGAATTCATTCCTAGAGGGAATCTTATAAAACAAAAAAGCAAGGCTGATTCAGTACAGTCGGGATATCTAAATACATTTTATCAATATGTCGAAAGGCACCCGGGAGGGGGGAATACTCCCCTACAAGAGGCTAATAGGGATGTGCCGCTGGATGGGGTCGCATTTTCACGATTGGAGTGACTATCATTGGGGTCTCATCTTCAATAGATTTACTAGAATGGGGTCGCAAATTTTCGGAGTTTTGGGGTAGGTAGGGATTCAAAATGGGAGGATTCTCGGTTAAAAAATCAGACAGTTGTTGTTTATTAAATTTAACAATAAGCTCGCATTGACCGCATTACATTCCGCCGCTTGAAACCACATTGATGAGGTCAGGATGCATAAATAGAAAGTGACTAAGTTGGGATCGCGAAAATTACATTTTCCAAAAAGTGACTAAGATGGGGTCTATTATTGGCCAAAAAATAGACTATAATGGGGTAGGGGCTCTGAGAGGCCAGCGGCACATACCCAGCAAACATTAACCCAAGTACCCCCCCTCCCGCGGGGAAGGCACGGATGCGACTGTAAAATGAGCCTTGCTTCTTTTGTTTAATATAATTTTCACTTATTGCTGATTAGATCTTAATTTATTAGGATCCCGTCCTTCTTTTTCGTAAGCTGGTCCTTGCTTCATAAATGGAATTTACACCCGGATGTTTGCAGGTAGATGCGCTTAAAAATTAACCGGGGGGTGGCACTTATAAGTGTGGTGGGGGCGGGCGGGCATTAACAAGTGGAAGTTTACCGTTAATGTCACACCTTAAGATTCCGACTGTGGACGCTAACAACATAGTACATATATTACATGGCTGTCTTGACTCTGGGAGCTTTAAAAAGCCTTTTTAACCGGTGGAGAGCATCTTTTAGGCACTTATGTACTCTTCCCCCCCCCCCCCGCTCCCATCACCTCTAAGTATTGTCTCAGAAGTGATGCTTTAATTTGTCTTACTCGGAACACAAAGATGCGCTAAATAGAATGAGAACTTCGGATTGATGTCGACATTCCCTGGCATATGAATTGCCTGATTGCATGATTTCAGGCCATGACATTGGTTCTTTATTTTTATTTGACCTTTAATTATAGAGAACGCACGTGAGAACGTGACTTGGATCAGGACTACTTCCAAAATAAAAATAATAAAAAATAAAAAATAAAAATATTGTAAGGTTAAAAACAACATTTTAAATTAGTATCCATGGGAACAAGATAATGCCAAACGTCCATGGCCAGCCAATTGATCCTTATTAAATCGACTCACATAACCTCTCAAGTATTTTTAACCCTTGAAGTCTTTTAGAGTGACCTACATCAATTTTCTCCTAAAAACATCGAAGTATCATAATGAGAAACGGTTATGAGAATGTTGCTATTTACTTGTCGATATTTACAGTTGGTCCAGTTGGTGTGATATCTCGTGGTTGTTCAGTACCGACTTAATAAAGTGTAGCTCTAAATGTAAAATTCATGAAATTTCTTAAAGGGAAAAAGGTTTTTATAATTTTTTTTTCAAATTCTCTCAACTAGTTCTCCAGGAAAGTGTTTGGAGATCAGTTTGGAGAATTTGTATGTGGATTTTGGGGCATAAAAAAGCGCTGTCCTTAGCATGGCGGGCAGCAATGAATTTAAGCATCTAATGGCAGTGTCAGACTTGTATCTTCATCCTAACTGTTTCCCATATATTTTACTATCGGGAATATCATAAATGTGCTTACATGGCCTGGGCTTTTCAAAACCCCTCTCAAGGCCCTTATTATGCTAATATTGGACAAGGCAGAAAACAAACATTGTTAATATCTTGACAAGTGTTAAACGAAAAATCGATAGCTTTTACTGATAAGCGTCCGGAGTGGCTTGGTTAAGTCGTAACGAAAGTCTTATCGGAGTGTCTACAAGACTTAGTATCGTTGGAGACCAGCTTGATGCCTTTGTGTTGGTTTGTATACTGATACCTGTGCCTCGCTCGAGCTGTTTTCTAACGTAATTGTCGGTATGCATTGTTTAATTTTAATTTTCTCCTGGCGATGAATTCCTTTCAAAGAAAGAACAAAGCCGGACACAGGTGCTGATCATCGCGTCACATTCATGCTGTTCTATTGTCAATTTTGTTATTTACTTGACGATATTTGCACTCCCAAAAATCAAAGTTATCGCAGCTAAAGCGGGCTAAAGAAGACAGAAGAATCGACGCGCTCCTAAAGGTAAACATAATATCACCAATATCACTAGGCCTAGTCGAATTGCAGTTAATTATGCATTTATATTTTCAATACCAATGCTCTAAAGTACTATTACCTTTAGTTAATAGCAAGGGGTGAAGAACAAAGGTGCTTAATAGTTGCTAGTAATTTCATCTAAATGAAACAACTGAAGGCAATTTTGAAATCATGAACAGTTTCCTCTTGTCGCTGCGGCCGAATTTCATTTCTGAATTTTCAGTTTTGGTATTTTGCTTACTTTTCTAGAAAGTTGCAGATTATTAACTGACAAGATTATAGGGTGTAGTCTTTCGGTTACTCTGCAGAAGTGCTTATCAAAATCGTCATTTATCTACCAGCATTCATGTGCTTTCATTGATGACCTATCCTATCAAAAACAGCCCAGCTCAGCCCAGTAGAAACGTCTGTAATCTTTAAAGCATATCATGTATTTTATAATGACATATTTTTTCAGTCACCCTTGAACTTCGGCATTAATTAACAACACGCGGATTATTTTGTTAGTTGCTAGTGTTTTTATGTCCGTCGCCGTCAAAACATGAACAAATAGTTGTATTCAATTTCCTGCGGTTTCTTTTTTACAATAATAAAAATGAGTTTACTGAAAAAATATTGTTTAAGTTTTTGAACCACTCCAAAATCACACAAAGTCAGTACTTGATTAATTATGCCAGCTCACACATCACTACGGCTACTACAAAGTTTACATAGGGAACAAGTTACAGATAATCTGTTTTAGGAACTACGCTTTTTTATAACACCAGTTGTTATTGTTTTATCAAGGTCGCATATTCTTGGAAATTTTCTCTTTTAATTCAACTAAATGATTTATTCTTCTGTTTGCAAGCCGCACCATAATAAATTGCGATGCCTGAAGCAACCTGCAGATTATTTTCTTCAGTTTTGTTTAAACGGTCAGTGATTAAAATAAAACCAATCAGCATTGCATGATTACTTGCGTTATTCTGCGACCTATTTAACCTTGTAAACAATCCTTGACATCACACATCGAACGAAAGTCGCGTTGTTGTTTTAATTTGCCTCCCCTTTGCACATCATTTGACGATTTATTAAATATTTATTCATTTATTGATTGATTGCGTGATTGATTTTTACTATAATGAGGCCATGGTAGGGTAAAATTCCGACAAGCGACACAACCTCGTTTCCAAGCGACAATATTGGCCTTGGAAACAGCGACGTACGACGTAGATGAAATGGCCACAAACGACATAAAAATGGGTATAATACTGACAGAGACATGGCCTTCTCATCAAAACGCGAAACGATCGTATTTGAAATTCAGACCAGGGAGACACATATTCACTTCCACCCCCCACCCCCCACCCCTCCCCCCAACGCCAACAGGCCCTCTCTATAATTAGCAACGGTTTCATAATAGTTCATGGGAATGTCAAACAATGGTAAATAAATAAATTGAAAAATAACACTCACGGAAGAAAAAATATGTATTGTACAGTTGAAAAAAAAAGTCAAAGAAGCATACTAGATGTATATACAAAATCAGTTAATGCATGGAACAAAAATTGTCAGAAAGTACCGCGCGGCCGATTTGAAATAATCCTTGCTATTTTGATCTATAGCTAAGATCCGCGTTCCATTCTTAGCTTTAAAATTCTTTCATACATTCTTCTTTTAACTCAGAATTTAAAGTATTTACTTTAATGAAGCTGATTAAAAGTACTCTCTTCACTTTCGACAATCTAGGATCATTAAGCTTTGGTTAGTCAGTAGATCACTTGAATGGGAATAGGAATAAAATGTTTTGAAGAATCAAGATTGTATTAAAACTGAAAAAGTCGTGGTTTTTATACTGACGGTTTTTCCAACATTATTAAATTCATTCGAGGCCATTTTCAGACGAGAAACTGTGATGTCAAATAATCGTGAATGTTTTGAAGCATATCTTTTCTTTTGTCAATTTAAAGCAGATGAAACATGCCTGACAAATTTGGCAAGGAAGCTCTTGAAGCACACAACAGATATAGATCTCTACACCAGGCCCCGCAACTAAAGTGGTCAAGATCGTTGGAAAAGGACGCAGAGAGCTGGGCCAAACAACTGGCCAAGGATGGCCGTCTGAGACAAGGGGACACTAGCGATGGGGAAAGCATATATGCTGTGACAGGAAAGAGCGAAGTCAGTGGTGGTGAGGTCGTGGATCGCTGGTATGCAGAAGTCGACAAGTAAGACGATACTTTTAATAGCTTGAAAGTTATAATGTACTAACAAATTTAGGTTTACTTTACCAGTTGCAGCTTGCGATAGTTGCTTTCTTGTCCAACGTTTCGCTTCCACCCCTTCCTTATGGGCGTCATGAGGCGATTGTGACGGCTAGTTTCGGCCTAGTTGTGCCGGATTGTTAGGAGCAATGAGGCTGTTAGTGATTGGTGCAATTACTTTCGATTTGTGAATTTCGCTAAGACTTTGTCTTGCCAAGGTTAATTAGGTCCTTTTCTCTTCTAATACAAAGCCCTTATGGGTGTTTACGTTCAGCAAATTTCACCAACAACACTTGTTTCTAAGCAAAATTATTCTCGCAATTGTGCTGTCACGGTTTTCGTGCATGGCTTTTCTCACTTTCAATTCTATTACAATTGTAGTCAAAGTGAAATTTGCTTATCTAACGTAAACATGGGTAAGGGCTAAGGGGTCTTGTCTGTTCTCTAATTCATACCGAAGAAAGTTCGATTCAGTCACGTGCCGTATCGTAGCCCTAATGATGATGGTAATGTCGAAAAGTGACACCAATATAATGACTCACAACTGATTTTCTTTTTAACAAACAGCTATGATTTTAGAAATCCAGGATTTAAAAGCGGGACAGGTCACTTTACACAGATCGTTTGGCAAGAAACAAAGGAGCTGGGGATGGCAAAAGTTAAAAGTCCTGATGGGAAAATCATTGTCGTAGCAAGATATCGCCCACCGGGAAACGTCATCAATCATTTTCAAGAAAACGTTAACCCCAAGGTAAACACAATCTTGTCTTTCCGTTCTGATTCTTTCTACTGGCAGTGTAGAGACATTGTCAAAAGATCAATGACAGCTATCTTGGGAAGGAGTTCCTGCTGCTTAGTTTGTCAATGAAATTCATTATCAGTGAATTTAATTCACAGTGTCACCATTTTAAGAAGTTGAAATCAGCATTGCAGTCGCTATGGGGGCGGCAAGTACCATTATGCCGTGCTTTTACCTGATTAATCCTTCTTTCAAAATTACTAGTCATTAGGTTTGTCTTTATTATAATCGATGTTCCAAAGCGTGATTTCAATCAATCGGCATTTTGTATCCTAAAGCAAGACAGCGCGATAGATGAAGAAAAAAAGGAAAATATCTGATTGCCTGACTAAGTAAGCAACGACTCAGAGAATGTAGCTCGTTTCGGAAAAAGAACTTAACTGTAAACGCAATTCACTCTCACTGTTACACCAGTTTTAAGTCTATTTACTTCATCCTTCTTTTTTCATAAGCTCGGGGCCTCCAAGAGTTACAATGTTGTGGAGAGAAGTACGAGAGACGATACCCGATTTGGGCCTAAAAGAGACGTATTCAACCGAGATGATGATAGAAGGCCATCTCCGTATCGAAACGAAGCTGAGCCTCGGAGAAACTTCTTTAGCCGAGATGACGACAGAAGATCGTCCCCCAATCGAAATGAAACTGAAACTCGAAGAGAGTTCTTTCGTCGAGATGACGGTGGAAGGCCATCTCGTCAGGAAACAACTGAAACAGTAAGTATATTTGATATACAGCTCTATGAACAGTGAAAACGGGGAAAAGGAAGATAATGTTTTTTTCCTTCTGGACTATACCGTCAAGCCTTGTAAAGAAGGATAGTAAACTTAATTAGGATCTTTATTGCAAAAATCCTTTGAATCTCAATATCTCAGTTTCATTGCGTCCGTCCCCTGAAACATTGAGATTCGAGGGAAATAGGTGGTTTTCACGTTTTGCAATAGGGAATGAAACGTTTTCGACAAAAAAGCATTGAATAATAATGAAAAAATACAAATGAAGACTTGTAACGGGTATCAACTCCCTCAGTCTTGCACGCGAGCCAGCCATGCTAACTGAGGGAGTTTGCTGGTAAGGGTTAGTGGGTAGTAATTCTTTTTGAAGGGTTACAATTTCAATTATGTTCTTTATTATAAAATCATGTTAAATTAGTTTAGTTTGTTATAAGCCTTTAAGAAAATTTCTATTGGTAAAACTGACTTAAGCAACTAATTGATTAACCGTCTCCTCTAATTTGTGCACATTGTACTTAATTACGACCATGACTTTAATTTAGGTGACTTATGACCGTGACGGTGGCAAGAGAACGGTGACAAGAACTATTATAACATCAGGCGATGGAGGAGGAAGAGGTATGTAGCAACATCAAGATATATGTGGTCCAGTGCTAAGTATGTACACTACTCTGATTACCCTATAGAACGTTATGACATGAAGTCAGGCGTCCGCCATATTGGTGTCTTGAGACAAAGGAATGGCGGCCTGTTAGTGCCCCAAACGAATTCCTTGAGACTTGAACCCTTCTTAGGTAAAATTCTTTATATTTCCATGAATGAACTTGCATAGCTGCTGACCGCGTGAGTGAAAAGGCTCTATTGACTTGCAATGGGCCGTTTCCGAGTTGCCTGAAGTCTCTGTTTTAAAGCGAGGCTAAGTGCGAAGCCATTGATTTTCTCAACAAGGGTTTTGCACTTAGCCTATTCAACAAAAACAACATTACTAGAATTTTATTTCCATTTCACTCATGTTAGTACTAGTATATAATTTTTTTTTGCTTAATACATTTCAATATTCAGCATATGCTCGACTTCATGAGAGTAAATAATGTTTGTCTTACAGATCCATTTCAGAGTTTTTCAAGAGACATAAGAAGCTCATTCGATGATGGCAAGTATTCGTCTACTCATAAAATCCTTACTCAAGTTATGTTAATAGCATGCAAAAGTCACGTTAAAATTTGTATTGGATGATTTTGCCAATCGTTTCTTACAGACCCTGTTCGAGACAGAAAAGACAAGTGGGAGAAATGGGGCGATAGGAACGGTAATGCGCTATATACTATTTTGTTATATTCCTAGACTTTCACTCAACTAAACAGGGACTGCCATTGGTTGATTCTTGGTCACGTGGCCTTGACTAAAATCAAATGTATCCCGATCGTGATACATTAAACAATGTATCCCGCTCGGGATACATTGCAGCACGTGATCAAAGCATGGTGGAAAGTGGTGTGACAGAAGGCGGGAAAAACACCGCCAGGTCCAGCCAGTTTTCTTTTTCGTGAATGAACACAACAACACAAAAACGAAGCCTCAAGCTAAAAAGCAACGATTTTTAAAGTTATCCCAGAAGTTCCCAGAAGAAAAACAGCAGCTAGTGGAGGAAAAAGATGCAGATAATATGAGGAAAGTACTTTTGTTTGTAAATCATTCATTCAGTGGTTTTGAGAATTAAATTTGTGTTGTTATAAGTACCGAGTCGACTGTTTTGGTTCGCTCCGGTTATTCTTTTGTTGTTGTTGAAGTGAAAGTGTAGAAATATAACAAAACACTTAATGTCAGGTCCCTCGGGAAACCAGTTAGTTTTGTTTTCCCTCGAGTCCTGATGTTTCCCTCGACTTCGTCTCGGGAAACATCAGGACTCTTGGGAAAACAAAACTAACTGTTTCCCTCGGGATCTCACATTAAGTGTATAATATTGATATTATTATTCACGTGTATCGCTCCATGTAAACAATAATATAAAGAATGGAAACGTAATCGAAGTGCGGGTCTTGGAAGAGTCAGACTTTGAAATGGAAGAAGGGACAAAAAGTTCGTTCATGCATTTAGGGGCTGTTGACATTATTCCGGAATGACTTTCATTCCGGAATGAGTTTCGTTCCAGAATGAAGTTCGCACTGCATTCATATGATAAACTCCACTGGCGTTCTCGGTCGCGTGGGTTTCGCGCCAGATCAGTTACGCGTGCGCAACTAGCCCCCAGACTACACGATTTGCGATTTTCAATCCGGAACGAAGTTCTTCTTCAGTTTACATGATACCAGAAAGAAATTTCGCACCAGAACGAGAATTTCATTAGGAATGAAAACCGGAATGAACTAATTCCGGAATGGCTTGCACGGGAACAAAATTTCCTCTCGGAATAAAAAAAATATAATAGAGAGAAATATACTGAGATGGAATGAGCTCGTTCCGGAATGAAAGTCATTCCGGTATCACGTGAAAAGGCCCTAACTAGTTCTCTGAGATAATTTGCCAAAATGTGGATTTCGGTTTTCAAGAAAACCATAAATACCCAGCTCCAAGAAACTGTATTTTTGTTGTCCTACTGTAAGTTACGAATGAAGCCGGGGGTCATTGAGGAAGGCGTTTTGTGTAGTAGACAATTTTTTTCGAAAGTAAACCCTCCATAGATTAACTTAACTCTCCATGCGGGAACGTGATTATCCGGCATTTCCAGGACATTGACAGGCATAGCCGAGTAATCTGTGAGTAACCATGATAACAGGAAACCTTTAATGTATGGTCACTGACAACTCACTTGTCACCACAGGAGTATAAGTAATTGCTGAGTTTGATTTGATTTCAGCTCAGCCAACTGCTTACTCGTCTTCATGGAGTAGCCCGAAGACCAAAGAAACTAAGCCAGGTAACAAATTAAAAAGGTTTTGAGTAAATGTGGGAAGTAATTTTAAGCAATCGCAAATTAACCCAAAAACAAAGTGGTGATTGCGACTTTTAAGTCGCAATCACCACTGCGACGATCATATCTCGGCCTGATATCTTAATTCAAAACTGAAGTGTGTCGCGAAGTCGCGCTAATTTTCCTACTCACCCTTTGCGCTGTCCCCACGCATTATGGATAGCCATGGGCTGGCATTTGACTCATCTTCCCTCATATCTGAATTGCTAACATCTAGGTCTTTCCATGCTTTCCGTCTGCTGCGTGTTATTTTGATTGCTGCGAGATGTAATTTGTGCTTTCTTGGCGTCAACTTGAATCCTTTATTGGTCAAAGTAATGCGGTAATTTTTAATTTAAGAGACTTAATTCAAACAGCTTTATCTTGTGCCCTGTGTTTTCTTTATATAAGCTACCTCCGGTTACTGACGTTTTTCGACGGTAAACTTAGTTAAACTTTAAACTCTTTACAATATCCACACCACCAAAAAATCCTAACGTACAATATATAGTTTCAGCATAAGTTAAAGCTTACTTTAAGTTCATGTAAACGTTACTCTTTTAGTTAATTAATTTCTGTTTCTTTCTTTCTTTATTTTTTTCATGATAGGTATGGTTCAATTAAACAAGTTTCGTTTTTGAGACAACTAGGACACGATTCCAACTTCAACTTCAACTTCAACTTTATTTCATAAGACTATTGGTTACAATAGACTGGCCCGCAAAATAGCAATTGCTAATCTAGGCGGACCAGTTAAAAGAAAAATAAATTGAAAGGAAAAGAAAGGAAAGGAAAAGGAAGGAAAAACTACAAGCTAAACTACAAACTGTAGCGATCATGAAAATGTTGCCACTTAAATCTCCTGTGAAGCCTCCTCTCTTAAATAAGCCCCCCTCTCTTTTAAGCTCCCCCTTCCGTCACCCTATTATTATTCACTAATAAATGATAGACTGTATTTTAAAATCAATCAAAACTTAATGTGGACTGATCTGGGATGGTTTATTCACCAACTGGAAGCTACTGGAAGTTCGGATTTGCTTTTGACCCTCGGCTGCATGACCTCCAACTTCTTGTATTTGCGATTTTCCACTTTGTATTCTTAGTTCTTTATGGAGAACTGATACCATCATCTTTGTTAAATTAAATGAGCCCCCCTCTTAAATAAGCCCCCCGTTTCTATTAAGCTCCCCCCCCCCCACAAATGTGTTTGAAATAAATAAGCCCCCCCAGGGGGGCGGGGGGCTAATTAATAGAGGATTTACGATATATATTTGATGTTTGTACATCAAATATGCTGCAAGGATGCTGGTGTAATCCTAACTTTATTTAGTTTTGAAACTGGGAAAAAATGAATTACATCATTTCTTTTTCTCAGCAGAGAGATTTACACCGTCAAGCTCAGCCACTTCTTCTCCAAAAGGATCATTTTCAAAACAGTCACTGGACACACACAATAAATTCCGCTCGATGCATGGCGTTCCACCTTTAAAATGGGCAGATGACCTAGCGCGAGAAGCCCAAGGGTGGGCTGAGAAACTGGCACGAGCCCGAACGTTGCAGCATTCAAGTAAGAGTGAAAGAAAAGACGCCGGAGAAAATATAGCTATGTTTACAGGGAAGTTTGATTCTGCCGGAGAGCAAGCAACTACTATGTGGTGAGTATCAGGCGCCGCGAGAAGTTTCAATTGGTCAAGTACTGTTGTTTTCCTGGTGGGGCCAGTAGCGAGGGGTAAGGAGGGTAGAAACGCTATCTATCTTTTCAAAAAGCTAAAACGTGTTTTCGCATCATGCAATGGTCCAGTTGTGTTACTTGTTTACTACCCTTTTCAAAAACACGCGAATTCTGAAGTTCCAAAGCCAACTGACGTTTGCGTTTTTCGCTGCCGTCAATCATCTCAGCGGACCTCTTAGGAAACATGCAGAAGTTTGCTTCAACGGGTTCAAAAGGTCATGGTTTGTGATTTGTGATTGGTGGATTTCGATCCGTTATGTGTATTTCTTTGTTTCAGGGTTCGTTGCTTTTGATCCTAATTATGATTGACGGTAGCGAATAACGCAGTTGTTAAGTTTGAACTTCAGAGTTCGCATGTTTGTGAAAAGCGCAGAAGACTATATTGACATGTAGGCGTGGATCAAAATTAATATTGTAATCACGATTACTATTGAGCGATTTAAGTTGCTTTTTTGTGTTTTATTAGGTACGAAGAGGTCAAAGACTACAATTTTCGGCGTGGTGGTTGGCAGGGAGGGACTGGACATTTTACTCAGGTCGTATGGAAAGGCAGCAAGGAGTTAGGAATGGGTCGAGCCAAAACTTCGGATGGAAGTCTCACTTTTGTGGTTGGTCGATATCGACCGGCAGGGAATGTAATAAATTATATGGCGGATAATGTATTCCCCAAAGGAAGTCGCTGAGACTAGAATGGAATCTCAATTTCTAATTACGGAGAGTTATTATCGAGTGTATCGGTGTTCTATGTAGTTAGCTCAAATCAAAAATTAATTAATGTACTCTTTTCTGACGAAGTCACTCAGAGTGGTACAGGTATGTACCAGTGCAGTTCAACTGGTCAGAATTTAAAATTTTGGGGAAGGAGGGGTTGTTTTAGCTGTCTGGCGCACTTACCGAAAAGAGCATTTTCTTTGCTTCAAGTTGCTTTATGTGCTCTCTATGTCTTAAGCTACGAGCAAACGGACGCAATAACTCCCAGCATTGTTGGCCCGAAAATGTTGGGAGTTGTTTGATAGTGTTAGTAGTAGTGTGCAAACGAATGCAACAACTCCCAATTATGTTGAAACTTGCAGTGCATTATGCCGTAATATTGATACATTAAAGTTTTCAAGAGACAGTATTGTGACACATTGATTGATCTCCAAGGATACCATGGGTAATACGCATGCGTGACACCAGCAATGTTGAGCTGCACAAACGAATCCAACATTGTTGCAATACGCTTCGGCAATCACGGAACAAAAGAAATGCTGGGAGTTGTTGGCTTAAAAGTTTGACCAGTTTCAAACTTTGCGCAACAACTCCCAACAACACGCATCAACATGCAACGACATGCAACAAACTGACGCAATATGTAATATCTAACAACGTTGGCAGTTGCTGGCCAACAATGTTGCATCTATTTTGCACGAGACTTTTTATGAATTTTATCTAGGCAGGAGTGGGTGGAGAGGAGGTTTTGTAACTGAAGAGCTTTTGAACTCAAAGCAATGGGTAGAGGAATTGTAGTTGAATTATAATATCTATAATGATTGTTATTATGACAGTAATAATTGGTTTTAAGGTAATGGGAATAATATTAATCTAGGGTCATAGCATAAGATCATGTTTGAACCTTAGACTGTTAAAGAAGTAAGCAAAAGAACTATAACTGAGCTATGTAATGGCTGTTTAGAGCATATACAATGGTACTATATAGACTTGAGTATTTAGGACAATATTTATCGGGGCTCATTTTTCTTAGTATTTTACTTTTCCTTTTGATTTAATTTAAGGGGGTCCTTTCTAGTTTTAAAGCATAAAAACTAGATATTAACTATAGGCATACCTTACCATTATCGGTATTGTGAGTCACTGCCGAGGCCCTATAAGGATCGGAGTGGACAATAACTATATTGTATTTCTTTCATTCGGAGTCCAAACAACAACTCTTAGACCAAATAAATCACTATTTTAAATGTTATGTTTATATGTATATTTCCCTTTGATAGTTATCAAGCGTACACGCCTAATACATACACGGGTTTTTTGAAATATATAGTTATATTAGATATATATCGGAAACACTTGTGAAGGCAAAACCACAAGGACAAACCAGAGAGGGTCAGCCGGATTTTAGATAGTAAGACCTAGATCGGCCAGGCCCGAAACAATTTGGAAAGCAACCCCATATAAAACATGGCACTTTTTCATACTTTACTTTTAATGAACATTTCTTTTACTTACTTTCTAAAGTGTCACGCAGCTTACCGGAATTTTTCTGTTATTTGTCTGATTCTACTTTGTCATTGGTCAATGTCGATAAGGAGTCACGTGAGTATGCGCGCGTACTCACTGCGTTCACTTGCAAGCTGACATTTGGAGCGATCGCACGACGATTTCCTTATGGGTGATAATTCCTCTTCCAAAGCCCGCGTCGAAGACCCAAGGAATTCCTTCCGGAGGAGATCGACAAACAAGATTTAGTTGCTGAATCTACACTCGATAACAGAGACTCGCTGCTAAGTGTACTCAATTCTTAGAACGAAAACATGAACCGCATGGCAAGATCGATGACTGCCATGGGCGATTCATTCGCTGCATTGTCACAGCAATAACGACCAGCAGAACAGGACTCTCGTGCTGGGAATTTAGAACCCTTAGCTGGGAGAGTGAAAAAGCCGAGAACTTTTGTTTAACAGTGAGGACGACGCCTTTCCACTCTCCTAAACAGTGGTGCTGATCAGAACGAAATTCAGGAAATTGAAAGTGGCACAACGCTGCCCGCCTACAAGCAGGACTCCTACAAGAGTGAGGGCGAAGACGAACTCTTGAACAAACTAGCCCTTGACTTCACCAAAGATGATAAGGTGAGCAGCCCGGTCTCAAAACCACTAGCTGAAATTATAAATAAGAGATGGGCCTCGAAACTGAGCGACAACAAGCTCAAAGAACTGAGCGAGAAATACGACCGCCCCGAAAATTGCGAGAAACTCGCCGTTCCTCAAGTTAACCCCGAGATGTGGGAGAAATTGACCCGTTATAGGAAAAAGCAAGACCTCAGGTTGTCTGCCATTTAGAACATGCAGGTCAAGGTTGGAGCGGTAATCGTTCTATCAGCCCAGAACTTAATGGACTTCAGAAGTAAGGGCGCGAACGGCGGCGAATTGGATACTGCTGCTGCGCTTACAAGTCAGATTCATGTTATCGCGCTGTTGGGACATACAAATTATGAGCTCTCGTTATTTCAACGAGAAGCCATCAAACCCAACTTGTGTGAGTAGTACTGCTCTCTGTGTTCTTCTCAGACACCAGTTAAAACCTTGTTGTTTGGAGACGAACTTCAGGCCCATCTCACTGCAATTCAGGCCTTAAATCAAATTAGCCACACGGCTGTCAGCCACAACAGCGGCTCCAGCTCTTCCTCTAAGCCTTCTTGGAGCCAGAAACAGGACAAGCCTTTTTCAGGCAAAGGCCAGTACCAGCCCAAATGGAAACAAAAACGCTGGAAGAAAAAGGAAGAGCCCAGCAAAAAAATAAACGAAGACTTTATAATTACTTCGAAAGTAAACTCGATGCAGGTGAATGATTTTGTACGCTTAGTTCCTACATTAATTGCATATCTTGTTGCACAAACAAGCTGCTTCAAAAGCAGTAGGCTGGCACAATTTATTCCCGCCTGGCAGCAAACAACTTCAGATACTGAAATTCTGATCAAATGATATCATGCCAATATATTGAATTCAGTGCCCAGCCTTCTCAGAGACATCCTCCACCAGGAAAACGTTTTAGTGGGCAAAGAACAAGTTATTATTACCGCTGAGATTTCCAGCTTACTCGAGAAAGCAGTAATTATTGAAACCACTCGTGAACCTGGAGAATTCATTTCCTCCGTTTTTGTTCGACCCAAAAAGGGTGGGTCTCATCGAATGATTTTGAACTTTAAAAATCATCATATCCATTTCAAAATGGATACATAGTAAAGTGTTCTGAATTTGATGAGACCAAACTGCTTTATAGCCTCAGTAGATTTGAAGGACGCTTACTACTGTGTCCCCATTGCACCCTCGCACCAAAAGTACCTGAAGTTTGAATGGGACAGGAGGCTGTATCAATTTCCCTGTTTTCCAAATGGGCTAGCCTTTTGTCCTCGAAAATTTACCAAACTTATGAAGCTAGTCTACGCTATTTTGAGACAGCTTGTACATGTGAACTCCCTTTATATTGATGATTCTTACCTTCAAGGTGGAGATCACCATGAGTGCCTAGCTACCGCTCGTAACTAGATTTGTGAAGGGCGTGTTTGAGGTTCGGCCAGTCCTTCCAAGTACAAAGACATATGGGATCTGAATAACGACTTTAAGTTTCTGGCAGCCTGGACTCTTGGAGAGGGCTTAAGCCTCAAATGTTTGTCGTGGGACCAAACACTCAAAGCACTAACTTTGTCTTCAATTGCCTTGTCTGCAACCAAATGTTTATTTACTGTTGGCACACCCCTTAGTACTCGACCAGGTCACCACCTAAAGCCCATTGAATTATTTCTAGCACACCAGCCTGATCAGGAACTTATGTGTTGTCACACATCTGTAGACATACATTGATAGAACGTCTTCACTCAGAAGAGACGCTGACCAGTTACTTATTGGCTACTAGAAACCTCACAAGCCGGTGTTGACTAACACTATTTCCAGATGGATAAAAACTGTTCTAACCAACGCAGGAATTGACACTGGTGTACAAAGCCCACAGTACTAGAGCTGCTGTCGCTTCAGCTGCAAATAAGAAACAGGTCCCTACTGACACTATTTTGTTTGCCGCTGGCTGGAGCAACACGAACACATTTGCTCAATTACTTTACTCTAGTTCTGCAAGACACCATTAAAAATTTTGGTAAGAACTTTCAAAAAATGGGCATGACTTTTGACTGTTAATAAAACTTAGTTTTGCCTAATAATTTGGCCCAGATGTCTATGCAGTTTATATTGTTTGGTTTTGTTGCCAGTACTCTACCGTTTCAGGTATTATTAAAAATATTGTTTTCTCTTACATGTATAGTTGATGTTTATGCTCATGATCATGACGCTTTAAAGTCTCACGTGACTCCTTGGCGACATTAACCAATGACAAAGTAGAATTGTAAATTAAAGGAGACTTAACCTTAAGTTGAAGTTTGTCTGTCATTAAAATGAGAAAAATGACAAAACTCAGACAAACTTGCATATTAGTCACCCTGACGTCATTCTCGCGCTACGCTATTAGCGTATGATTGTAAAATTAAACGAGCAGCTGAGGACGTGATATATGCTTTTAGATCGGCGCCATCTTTAAACAAAAACCTCGTCGAAATTATTTATCCCTAAAGAAGAACAAGGTTGAAAAAGTATCCGAAAGTGGGCTGACATTTGAAGATCTGCAAACAGTGTAACGCAGATTAAGAAATGAAGGGCTTATTGCGATCCTTGCACAACCACCGTCTTCATCTCCGATGATCTTCGTCCGCACGAGTGACCACCACGGCTCGAATTTTAGCTACAATAGTCAAGTACTTCGAATAAAACATCTCTCCTTTTTCAACTGGGGAGATATCACCATAATGATACTAATAAACAGCTTTAACAATGGCTTTCGTACTTTTCGAAGAAACCACATGTTTTCAGTAGCTATATGCTTTATGCGCATGCGTGCGTGACGGCTCGCTCGCGTATTTTGCTCATTATCCACCCTGGCTCATTTTTCGGATTTTTGTGACGTCAGCGCAGTTAATTAACCGTGAATTTCTCGCGTTTCCTTCGGTACATTTTTATAAAAATCGCCTCATTTCTTAACAGTTGCAGAACCTTTGTACTGTCCTTTTTTTGTTAAAATCTGTAAGAGTTAAATTCCTCTATCAAGAACAAATACAAATTTCAAAATATTGGCAAAATCGTTTTAACGAACCCATGTTTGTTTGTCTGAGTTTCGGGTCTATAAATAGAAACCGCGCGCAGCGCTATTGCCTGTTATTATCTTTCTATCACAGGCTGTACTACGTACTTAAACAACTTCCTTCAGTTGATGACCTTGTCGTCAAGACCATTAAAAAGGCCACAAAAATTAATATTAAATTTGAATTGACGCAACCTAATTGCTGGAAAAAATACAAATTAAAATGATGACAGTTGTGAAAGTCATGGTAATAAAGTGATGAGAAAACCCGAACTCGAAATCATCTAATCTCGGTTCTTCTAATTTTCTTGCGAGGAGCAGCAGGTGTCTTAAATTTGCAGATATTCCGAATTTGAAAATAATGTTTTAAAATATTATAGTACCTCTCATAGCTGATGTAGCCGGTTTGTTGGTAAACATATATTACGTAACGGAACTCGAATATGCCCGGCCTGAGGTGTTGGATGCTTTTTTGTGGCTTACTCTTATGGCAGCTGTAACACAATTCCTTTTGTCTATCTAACTCTACAGCCGGTTCAGCCGCTCGAGGAATTCGATTTACGACCCAGTCGACAGTTCATGTGCATAAGGTGCCGACCTTTCTAAAGACACGGGTCTTATTGTCGTTCGTTAAAGAATATAAACTGCTTGCCTTGTGATTCATCACGAATAGCGCGGCAAGAACCGCATTTACTTACGCCGCCGATACGTGATCGATTTTCAAAGGTCCACTGCTCTGAAGCACCATTGAAAATATACACCACCCCCACATAATAAATATCAGTTTCCGACCTTGTTTACAGCTTTGCGGGCTTAGTTCTTCCCACGCAAGGGTACACAGCTTAAAGCATACGAGAACCCCATTATCTAGGTTTTTGCTGCTTATTATATAATGTATTCTTTAGGGGAACTCATGTGCGACGTTTTTCAGTAAAATAACTGTAGTGCGAAAGGAACAAATGTTGTCTAGAAATTTCAAAGCTTTTTTAGATGAAAGGCTAAACATTTCTGGATATCGAAGTCGAGTCGGATTCGGGATTCAGTTTTTTCCTAGTAATTAACTTACCAACAATTTTCGGAAACTGTGTTTTCCACCGTCATTTTGTTGGCAAGATATTGCCATTATTGTGAAAATGTCTCCTGAAAATTTCGGTGTCAAGACAAAGAGTAGAGTACGCCTACTCCATGTCCTTGACTTTCGACCGGACCCATTAAAGGTATAGCTAACATTTTCGGATGATCATGAGACGTAAAAGGATCTAAAAGCCAACTGAAACTTTGGAGAGGACGAAAATGAGTTCCCTTAAGACATCTCAAGTTTGTAGGGCCCAACATGATGAACTATCACAGTTCAAAATTCTGACGTATTTATGGAAACATTCGGTCGTTGGGTGCTCCTGGTTCTTGTTGCTTACACTCTGAGTAACTAAGCGCGCTTTCCATTTTACAGAAAGGCGACCTTGCAGCTCTCGGAAGACCTCACGGAATTGGCTGGGAAAAACAATGGAACCTAGCCTGAAAACAAAAGAGCTGCGACCAAGAGAGAACACATAAGGGTCCAATCAAATTAGAGGTCAGAATTAGCCGCGGCCAGACCAATTACTTTTCGAAATGAGAATTTAATTTTTTATCATGACTGTCCAGCAGCCAGATCAGTCAATTCCTAATAAAATAATACGCATGGGGCTTTTGGGGTTTTAATAATAAAGGAATTAAATTAACTGCAAAAACCGTGGACGAAGATCCTGCTAGTTATAAACGTTGGGTCTGTAGAAAAGAGACCTAATCAGCCAAAATATTAAGAACCAAAAAGAGATTAGTCCAAAGACTTAGCTGCCAAGCTGATCAGAACAACGTGTATTGCTTTTTCATAACAATATTTCGGCTGGCCATACCAGCCTTCCGTCAGGTTTACAGATGTTACTGAATTTATGATAGGAATCACAATATTATAGGAGAATGTCGCAATAAAAATTGTTTGAAAGGAAGAGGCGGAAATGACGTACAACGCAAAAACCTGGAAAAGAAGGATATGGATTACAATAATTCGTCACGGCGGCTTAGGCCATTAGGAGGTTCAAGAGTCAAATTTTACGAACTGAGTCACGTGAAGAATGAATTAGTGGGATTAACTACATGTCAGTATGAGAATGGTTAGAGTGAGAGAGAAAGTGTTCAGAAACAGTAGTGGTTTAGATTTAATGTTAGTTTTTTCGACGTGCACGTACGTCTGTGTTCGTTAAATTTGTCCTTGAGGCGTTTTAAGGGGAAAACTCTTTAAAAGGCCTTTTTCATTTTCAAAATGACCCGGTTGGATTCTGACATTTGGGCCCAAAGATTATGACAAATTCAAGGATGCATGATAGATCTAGACTCGGTTCCTTGAAGTGGTTAAGTTTATCTCGTCAGGGTTGTTGCAAAATCTTACGCAAAGTTTTCTCGTCAAGGAACAATTAATGAATCCTACAGACCTTACATTAACTATTCAACGCGCCTTCACTCCAAGATCTTGTTATGATAGCACAAAACAGTAAAACCCCAAACAATCTTTAGGAAGACAAATAGAAGTGTGACAGATGCGAAGAAACATCGCCGAAGAGGGCATAAACCGCCGTCGATATCGATTTCTGACTTTCAGACACCTGTACGGTGGTCAAAAAATCCCTGAAGAAATTCACAGAAAAATTTCTTAAACTTTCTATAAGCAAGAATCGCATGGCTTTTAATATAGCACCCTTTAATGTAGTCGTGGTGTATGCATCTATTAAATTTATGGAAAAGTATGTTATATTTTTTACCAGTGGAGTTTTAGGACGTATTAAGTAAGTCATGGTTAGTCATGCAGCAACTTCATTTAATGCAGCTGCCTGCCACTCGAGAATAACCGGGAAACAATCTACGAAAGAAAGATTAGCGAATTTTGCTATCTTATGCTTAGTCAGTTTAGTGTACCGAAGATAGAAAGCTAAGGAAACCTGAGAACTTTGCCCTGTAGGCACAAACAAACACGTAGGTAGTACAAAATTAAAACGTGCACAAACAATATTCGTGCAGTTAATGAAAATCAGAATAAATCAAAAAACACCGCAAAATAAGTAATATGTACACAGCTGTAGCTTTAATAATTTTCGTGACCAAAATAAAACCTACCCGACCGAAAAAACATCATACAACGCGTACTGATGTCAGGTGATCAATATATAACCACACAATTAAGTACGCCCCTTTGCCAATCAAGTTTCACAGGTTTGCCTGAGCTTTGCCTGCAAAGCCGTTAGAAAGGTTCAAAATTTGTCGACCTTGTTTCGAGTCGATGCATCATATTTTAGTTTGATGTGTCTTATTTTGGTGCTTTTTTAGGTAATATATGCAATATGCAAAAGAACGTCTACGTTACTTTTAAGTCTTGTTTACCTTATTTATTAGTGGAGTTCATGCAGAGTCACGTATAGTGATTGCCCATTAAAGTAAATTACTCAAATTTTCAAATTTTCAACTTCCCGCCCTCAAAATATTTTTATGAACACGGGCAGCACCACACTTCATTTATATACATTCAGTTTGGTAAACAAACATCTTTTAAGTATTTTAACCTACAACAAGATGTCAAGAGGTTTGAAGACATTTCAACCTTGTTAAGGCGGGCCAGGCGCCGTCAGTATAAAAAAAATCTGACTTCATGGTCAGTTAAGGAAGTATTATAGTTAAATCCAGCAAAACGTACATCAAATCATGAGCTTAAAGGATTATAAAAAATATATTCAAGAGCACTTTGTCAACAAATCTTCGGTCTACCTCTCTTTTTAGTGGTTGTCATAATATGCGTTGTACGTCGTCATGTGCACGAGCAAATTGTTTTTCGGACGGAAGATTACGTAGTTCAAGAGCATTTGGTTTCCGGCCATGACTGCAATATGATTTGTTAGTGCCCATGGCTAAATGATGGATACGTAATTCTTGAAAACCCTTAAAACGTACAAGTAACTCCCGATTGAATTTTTTGAAGATGTACAATAGGATCCATTTTTCTCTCCCCTTGATAGGAATACGTAATTATATACATCTACACAGGAAGTTACACTTTACGTGACATCCTATTAGCGTTTGTCGTTCGTAGTTCCTTAGCGGCACAACATCCTTTCTGCATGTCGCCGCACAATGTCAATTATCATGTGTATGGTCCATGACGAGCGGTAGCAGGTGAGTATATATAAACAGCAGTAGCAAGTTTTGCAACTTGAGATCAAGACTGAAGATCGACAACTTTCAGACAAACTGAGGGAACTAAAGAAACAGGTGAGGCAAATTTCTCGTGATTGTTTCGTATTGTTAAGTTGGCTTAGGAGAGAGGTTTCTAAAACCATTCGGCCTTTTTGTAAATGACCAACTGCAAAAAGGAACGACTTTATTACGATCTGGGTAAAAGAGGGGTATTGAAACTTGCCAGTTTGGAACAAAAAAATGCGGTTGTACTCAATCCGGACCAACTGAAGACACTTAGGCCTTTGAAACTTCATGATAGCTCTTGGCAATTAATTAGGTTCCTTCAACTGATTGTTTTTTAGGAGTAATTTACTTAGTTTTAATAGGAAGCAACCGGAGAAATCGTTTCTTTAGACATGAAATTTTATCCTTCTGTATCACCAGCCACCTTCAGAAATATTTTATATGTATCCTAATGGCTCTAAAATCCTGGTGGCAAAGATTTATACTGAACTGCGGCAAATCAACACCGCCTAATTAATTACGTTCTACTTTTTGACTCACAGATTCGAAGATGAATAAATTTGGCAAGGAAGCACTTGATGTCCACAACAAATACCGAGTCCTTCATCAAGTACCTGAGTTAAAGTGGTCAAGAAAGCTAGAGAAAGACGCAGAAACGTGGGCCAATCAGCTGGCTAAAGAAGGCCGTCTGAAACACGACGATACAGATGACGGAGAAAATGTGTATGCTGTAATGGGAAAAGATGACGTTACTGGAGCAGAAGTCGTTGATCGATGGTATTCAGAAGTTGAAAAGTAGGTAGAAGAATTAAACATAAATATTATTATTTGACTTGAACACTCGGTGCGTTACAATCGCGATACTCCTGACACTGGACTGGCCTGCAGATGAGACAAATCAGTGCTTATTTATATAGTTCATTTCTCGATAATTTCATGTAGTGATAAATAGAAATATCCCAGTCCGAAGTTAAAAATACTTTTTTTTCAAATTAAGCCGGAGTTGCATCACAGGACATTGTCACTTAGTTAAACGTTTTTCTCTTTTTGCTAAACACCACTTGCCTTAGTCCATGTAAAAGCCATTGGGGGAATAATGGGATCTTACATAGAGGCATGCTAATTCTCAAGTTCGTTCTATTCTGGCATCCCTTATTTAAACCTGAATGAACATGACTTACGGTCTTCTTGGATAAGGGTAAAGCCGGGCTCATATATGTTCATGTTTTTTCTCACAGATACGACTTCAACAACCCTGGGTTTAAAAGCGGCATAGGTCATTTTACCCAGGTCGTGTGGAAGGAAACCAAGGAATTAGGAATTGCCAAGGCCAAAAGCGATGATGGAAAGATCTTCGTTGTTGCTCGATATCATCCGGCGGGAAATTACATGAATCAGTTTCAGGACAATGTTAAACCCAAGGTAGATGTTTGCCATTTAAAGGTTCTATAATAAGCCTATAATAATTCTATAATAAGACTTTGTGTTCGGGAAGACCTTCATCACTATTTAGCTTTGTATGTCTCACTTATAATTGCTGAGAAGGGAGGTGCATTAACACTTTCATGATTAACCTGCTGGAATAGTTTTAAAAATGCCAACGGAAGAGGAAAAATAGAAGATTAGACAGGGCTGAAGGAGATCTAATATAAACACCAAATACCATTGATAAATGAGCGAATAACTTGTAGAAATACGTGACTTTCTGAGCTTTTAACAAACTCTCTGTTTGCTCTCGCTCAAGGCAACTGAACAGAACGGCGACGTCGCCAACCCGGCAGAGACAAAGAAAATCACCATTGACTCAGAGAAAAGAGGTAGGCCATATAAAGAGCCCATCTTTATAATATATCTATATTTGATATCTATATTTCTATTAATAGGTCTTATGATAATTTCAGTATGATAGAGAAAATGATCGTCAGCATCAGAAGCATAGTTATAATGTTTCTGTCAGCATCAATCAACAAAAGACTTTCAAAATGGTACTTGAGCGATCCGCTAAACTAAGAATTATATCCTACTGTTTTCGTTCACCTATTATTTCATATGTGTTGTTCCTTGGTTTTAGTATTTGTTTTGTAGTGTGATGGCTGTTTTCAAATAAATGCGCTGATTTTTTTGCTTAATGCCAGTTCTATAGTTTATCCAACAAAAAAGAAATTACCACATGTAGTACGGACTAAGTTGGAGACGAGCAAAAACGGTTTTAATTGAGTTTAAGGTAGACCCTGGCCTTTAACCCGAGCTTACACTTAGTCTTTTCCAACTAACCAACATATTTAACCATTCTTTTAGACTGTAAAGCCACATCCTCCCCTAAAGAAGAATTTCCAAAGCAATCTCTGGACGCGCACAATAAGTTTCGTTCAATGCATGGCGTGCCACCCTTGAGTTGGGCTGATGACCTGGCCAAGGATGCACAAGCGTGGGCTGAAAAGCTGGCAAATGCTCGAACATTACAGCATGCCAGTAAGAGTGAAAGAAATGATGCTGGGGAGAACATAGCTATGTTCACAGGTAGCTTTGATACAGCCGGAGAAAAAGCAACTGACATGTGGTACGTAATATACAGACTGTTTCATTGAGAACTAGGACAGGAAACAATAACTAAGAATAACTCCAGATTCAGGGGTAGATTCAGTTTACTGTGAACAAAATAACCCTCTGTAAAGCGTACAACCATTAGATCGACAACTTATGAATGCCGTATCCCTGTGGAGCTTTCAAAATGTGTATACTATAAAATTGATTTGTTGTAATCATAATTCGTATTAGTTTCCAGATCATTCAATTTACATTTACAACCAGTTCACTAGGCGTTGCCAAATAAATCCCTGAACGAAGTTTTACAAATCATGTAATGCAAGACCGATAGGACCTTCTCATTAGTTTTTAACATTGTCAGCAATCGATACTTTGGCTTCACTGCACAGACGGGGATGGTAATAGCGAGTATTTAGCAATTAATGAATGAGGCTGAGTAGGATATGTAGAAATAAGCAGATCGAGGAGGGTGTTATCTAAAGAGGCCGAAGGCCGAGGTGCATAACACCCTCCGAGATCTGCTTAATTCTTCATATCCTACGAAAGCTTTATTATTCATTCAAAATATTTCCTAGTTAAAAACATAGCTAAAACATGCTTACCTGCATCGATGTTAAGTTTACCTTCGATAGTGTGCGTTTAGGTTTGTCCAGCTCCGCAAGTATTCTCCAAATAGCAGATGTCGCCCTCCGAGTTGTCTCCTTGCTGTTTTTGTTATGTTTCAGCCATTATTTCGCCTAGTTCCAGCTGTAGTTCTTACTCTTGAAACGAGTGAAGTGTCTGCCATTTTAGTTTTCACAACGAAAACAACTCAATCTCGTCCCCAGGTGTTCTCGGTTAACGGTGTATTAACCTGTAGAAGGCTGCATTTTTGACGTCATTTCCTCGTTAAACACAACATTCTTCCAAATTTGGTCATCAGTAACTGGCTATGGTGAATTATGCGTGTGCTTTCAGCCAATCAGAATTGGGGAAATATTTTGAATGAATAGTAATTGTAGTTAAAGCTGTCTGTATGTATTAAGTACTTAAATGAAAACTATGTTATATTACTTGAATGAAAAGAGTACGTCTAATTATTTCAGTTTGCTTTATGTTTGACTTGTCATTATTGCCTCTTTATTGCAGGTATGGCGAATACAAAGACTATGATTTCAGTCGTGGTGGATGGCAGAAAGGAACTGGACATTTTACCCAGGTCGTATGGAAAAGTACCAAAGAGTTGGGAATTGGCAGAGCGAAAACCGCGGATGGAAAATTGACGTTTGTGGTTGGCAGATATCGACCTGCAGGCAACATACTCAACTACATGGCAGATAACGTTTTCGACTTGAGCCACAAAGCATAAATTAAAGCACACTGAACGTTTTCCTTTGTGTAACCTTTAAGAATTAACGGCGTTCCTTGAAATAGTCTGTAAGAGTTAAGTGAATACCGTAAAATTCCGAAAATAAACCCCTCCATGTATAAGCCCCTCCAAATGTATGCCCCACAATCTCGTAAGGCAAAAAACCCTCCGTTAAATCGCCCTCCAAGTATAAGCCCCCGGGGGCTTGTACTTGGAAATTGCCCTCAAATTCAAAAAGAAAACAAAGCAAAATTGTACACTAACGGATAAATTTTTGCATTATGTACCAAAGAACCATTACGTGTGCCAAATGATTGCAGTCAAAAAGTGTGTCACTGACACTATTTTTTTTATTACTGTTTGCGTAGTTCACTCTTAACTCTTGGCTTGGATTTCTTTGTTCCATGTAGTCAAAGTACTTGCATAGAAAATTACTCACTGACACAAATTTCCTTTCAACTTTAAGCTAGTCCAATCGATTTTGAAACGCAAATTTCCCTCCGTATATAAGCCCCTCCAAAAATAAGTCCCTCAAAGAGGGCCTTTGAAAACTATAGGCCCCGGGGTTTCTTTTCGGAATTTTACGGTAGTTTACGACTGGTCTATAGGCAAAACTACAGTTAAAATTAGTAATAGTTGACACTTCAGCTGCCCCCGCTCTGTAGATTGTCGGTCAATAGTATTCTTGCTCGTTGTGTGGCTCTTTGAAAGATACCGATTCATAAGGAAGTTTTTCACACATATTCCATACAATAGGTGAGATAAATACAGGAAACGCAAGGTTCCATGCACAGTTTCAGGTCGATTTACACAGCTTTGCCATCAAAACATTCTCAGTTTCGAGAATAGTTTATTCTAAACCATAAGAAAAGATTTAATTAGAAGTTGAATTTTTCGTTATTTCTCTTTCACTTTTTACATTCAGTTCATTTTATTTGCCGGGAAGGAAGCCTTAGAAATTAAAAAGACGTTTGATCAATTCACACTCGCGCATTCTAGTCTTATTTTAAACTTTATAGCGGAAGGATATATGTGAGCAAGTAATAACTCAGCAAAGAATTTGATAGTTGGCGAATTTCTGTAATCGTCCATCGTTATGCTAGTGAGAAGCTAGACGTTGTTCACTCATCTTGTTTGTTTGGGCGGGGTGAGTCTTATTCCTGTCAAAGAGAGAGAAAGAGTGTCTGGCAAGGTTTCCAATGAAAGATTTGTGAATTTGTGTCTGGTAAACTCTCCAAGTGTTTATATATACACAGTTATACGCACCTTACAACTTCTTCTGCACTTAACGAGTGTCGTTAAAATATTGGTCCATAACTTTCACTGAAACAACTGCTCCACAGAATGTCACTGATAACACGTAACGCAAAAGAGTGTCGAAGTATGACTGCACAATGAATGTCACAAAATCTACTTAAGCGGTCCCTTGGGGATGTTCTGTCCTTACGTCATCCTAACTATTTCGTACTTGCAGGCACAAACAATAGAAACGTCATCATTACCTACCGATTCCTCGAAGCCCCTGTTCAAGTAGTCTGCTACACAGCCGTTTTTAGTGACGACTCTAAAAACGGCTGTGTAGCAGACTACTGTTCAAGCAAATCGAGATTTTTTCTATATTGACTGTATGACTGTATACTTCAACTGTAAGTACTTTCCTTAATATACGCGCGAGTTACTGGAGTGCCTCCTCGGGATTTCGCCTTCTGGGCAAAATCCCTGCGGGCGCAATTAGGATTCGATGGAGACAAAAATTTAATACTTTCGAGGAGGTCCTTTCACAAAGTGATTTGTTTTATAGCCTGCAAAGAAAAACTTGACGTGTACAAGAGTGGTAAAAGTAACAGTGCACTGCTAAACAGTCTGATCTCATAGATTTTGAAATGTTGCCCGCTCCGAGACCTTTTCCGCAAAATAGTTTTATTGTTGGTTGTAATGCAGTCATTCATATCATCCTCCGGTACGTAAATAAGCTAACGTCAAACGATCTCATTGATATCAGTTCTTTTTACATTATTACTTATCGCGCTCGAAGGCAACAAACCATTTTTTCAGGGTTCGTGTCATATGTTAGTTTACGTTTGATGGAGAAGTAATAGAGCAATAGAACAATATTGATCAGGGGCACCCAACGAGAATATAGTTCAAAACCACTTAAACAAAGCATTGTTAAACGTATTTTAGTATTTAAACGGTAGATATAGGCATACTTTTATCCCCTGAAAATTTTTCATCTGTTCGGATTTCCTAGCTGAAAGTCTAGTGATCCGAAAATTTTAGGGATCAAAACTTACCTTTTCGAAAATTTCAGCCCGAAAAAAGGCTCCCGAAAATTCTAGGTGAAATTTTAACGGGTAAAAATCCGTTAAAAATAGGCAATTATGTCATTTTTTAGATGTTCGAAAATCCTAGGAGAGGCAGGCAAGCAAGAAATTTTACAACCAATGTTCCGAAAATTCTAGATCTCAAATCGTCTTCCGAACAGATATTTTCCGAAAATTGTCGTTGGGTGCGGCTCATTTTTGTTATAATTTTTACTTTTTCTTTTGATCTAATTTAAGGGGGTCCTTTCTAGTTTTAAACGATATAAACTAGATAATAACTATAGGCATACCTTACCTTTATCGGTATTGTGAGTCACTGCCGAGGCCCGATGAGGATCGAGTGGACAATGACTATTGTATTTCTTTCATTCGGAGTCCAAACAACAACTCTTAGACCAAATAAATCACTATTTTAAATGCTATGTATATAAAAATTGTATATTTTCCTTTGATAGTTATCAAGCGTACATGCCTAATACATACAGGGGTTTTTTGAAATATATATGTTATTCACCGACTTGGAGGTCCGTATTGGGAGAAGTACTCTTCCTGAGGTCTTGAGTACGGCCTCGGGCGGTACTCAGACCGAGGGCACAGTTTCTCCCAATACGGACCGACCTAGGCGGCGAAAAACATTTTTATTTTTTTCCTACTGAGATTTAAAAGTTTAAGGAAAATTTTACTTCAGCCTCCAACCTATGTGTGTTGAAGAAGGGCGCGTTCGTCTTGATGTTATTCAACGCGCGCGATCGATTGCAAACCAAAACAAAAAATTAAAACATGATTTTTAACTTGTAATTTATATTATCAGAATTAAGGTCCGTTTCAAACGTCGTGCTACTGCCTTGCCGAACTTAATTGATCGAATTAAATTCGACTTTAGCACGGCAGTAGCGCGACGTTTGAAACCAAATAGTGCTACTGCCGTGTAGCACGGCAAGCCTTGCCATGCTACACGGCAGTGGCTCGAGTGCTTTCAAACGTCGTGCTACCGCCGTGCCGAACTCAATTCATAAATTATAAATGCATTAGACTACATTTTAAAGTTTGCTAAACCGTTTCTTTGTTTTTGTGTTTTGTTCTCATCAAAAGCCGTTCTATTCGACTGAATTAAATTCGACGTCTGAAACCTAGTCGTGCTATTAAATGTCCTTTGTCGTGCTGCAGTCGAGCTACAGTCGAGCCAGCTTAGTACGGCATGCGCAGTGGCACGACGTTTGAAACAGGCCTAAGCTCTCTTCAGAATAAAGAGAGGTTTTTGTGTCTTGGTAGACAATTCATAATCTGAGTGTCAAACAAGGATAAAAGAATTGACGAACTTAAAAGCCACAGGAAAGAAATACAGCAAAGATTTTCTTCGGCTGAATATTTACTTTCAGATCAATTCAATCGAGCGGGATAAAAACTGCACAAAGGCTTTATAAAAAGAGCTAATTTCAGATACCAATCTTAGGGTTTTGAAGTGAATTCGAATAAAAGAAGGCGATTTGGGTAACTAAACAATTATATAAACAAAGAAATAAAAAAAAGACGGCGATAACTGAGTGCTGGAAAAGTTGTTCGTGTTGTTTATTCAAGATTGAAAGCTACATGGAATCGTTGACAACCACCTTTCTGAAAAGTAGAAAAGTAGCGGGGCAAAATTCGCTGAAAAACGGCAGAATCTAGATTCAGACAGCAAAAATGGAAAACAAACCTACAAACAGAGGAAAAATGTCGAATAAATGGTGCTTAAGAGCAAGATTGCAGTACTTACAACGTAAGGTTATAAAGCTAGTGAAGCGACATCACAAGCCGCCTGTTTTGCTTTACTTTAGTGGTTTTCCTGGCTGACTTGCTTGATTCTACCCTTCAGATGTTTTGTCTGAAGAACAAAATTCACAAAATTTGGTTAAAAATCACAGGTTCTCCTCATTCACAAACAACAAACAAACTTGTGAATAAAGCTGCCAACGATTCCTCGGCGAGGTAAATATCCACTACTAACCACCGACACTGAGGTGAATAATTGTTTTAGTATATACTAAAACAGTGAGATAATTAAGCACAAAAATGATGATTTTTAACTCATTTACTGTTGCCTGCAACGATTACAATTTTGGCGCGCAATGACCAAACGGCCGCGGTCGTCGCTTTTTCTTGCCGACAAATAAAACTTTTGAAGGCATTTGTTTAGCTCTTGGGGGGAAATTTCCTCAAAAGGAGTTGTGAATTCTTTTTGTATTTAAAGTCATTCTGTAGAAAAGATTATTAAATTTAGTTTTAAGCTTACTTATAAACAAGTCAACTAAATAAAGTAACGCAAGACTTAAGCTTAATTTGCATTTGTAAACAAAAAACTTTTTCGACAAAGACAAAGCTTTACCCGTTAAAACTTCCACCCCGAACTTCGTCACCTTCTTCGTGTATTTCGGGAACAGGGCTTAACTGCAGAATACCCCCGGGAGAATACCCTGCCACTTATTTGCATGTCATTGAATAAGAATGGCATCTATTGTGTTATGCTTCGTTCTTCAAAGAACGCCGACCAACGAAAACAATGGTGGTACAGAGTGGCGGGGTATTCAGCAGTTACGGGAACAGCTTGCTTAATTAGTTGTTAAATTTCTTTGTTTGTTACGGCAGCAAACCGGGAAGGCATTTTGCTCGAAACTTACGCGAGTTTGGCGTCGCTCGCTCGGAGGAACTGGGGGTGAATCAGTGAATAGTGCAGGATATTCACTGATTGAGTTGTCAATAAGAGCGCGAAAAACACTATCCCCTGTTTTAGTATATACTAAATAGTTATATTAGATATATATCGGAAACACTTTCAGAGGGCAAAACCCCATATAAAACACGGCACTTCTTCATACCTTACTTTTTAATGAACATTTTCTCTGAGTTTTGTCATTTTTCTCATTCTGAGAATGAAAAAAGACAGACAAATGTGACATTTTTTAAATGACAAAACTCAGACAAAGGTGAGGAATTCACTAATGTTTATTTTAGTTTGTTTGTCTGAGTTTCGGGTCTACAAATAGTAACCGCGCGCAGCGCTATTCACTGTTATTATTTCTTTTTTTTAAACAACTTCCTCAGTTGATGACCATGTCGTCAAGAACATTAAAAAAAAAAACCCAAAAATTTAAATCAAATTTGAATTGACGCAACCTAATTGCTGGAAAAAAATTTAATTAATGTTGACAATTGTCATCTAATCTCGGCTCTTGTAATTTTCTTCCGGGGAGCAGCAGGTGTTTTAAATTTGCAGATATTCAGACTTTGAAAATAAGCTGTTTTAAAATATTATAGTACCTCTCATAGCTGATGTAGCCTGTTATTATATAACTCGTTGTCTAATTAGCTTTACAGCTCATTTGCATAAGGTGCCGACCTTTTTTCAAGAACAGGGCCTCGTGCTTCATCACGAATAGCGCAGCAAGAACCGCATTTACTAACGCCGCAGATACGTGATTTTCAAAAGTCCACTGCTCTGACGCGCCATCTTGAAAATATACACCACATAAAATACCAGTTTCCGACCTTGTTTACATCTTTGCGGGCTTTACGCAAGGGTACAAAGCTTAAAGCATACAAGAACCCCATAAGATAGGTTTCTGCTGCTTATTTAAATATGTAATGTATTCTTTAGACTGCAATATGATTCATTAATGCCTATGGCTAAATGATGGATACGTAATTCTTGAAAACCCTTAAACCGTAACTCCCGATTAAATTTTTTAAAGGTGTAGGGTCTATTTTTCTCACCCCTTGGTAGGAACACGTATCTACACAGGAAGTTGCAGTTTACGTAACACCCTAAGGGTTTGTCGTTCGCAGTTCCTTGGCGACACTTAACATCCTTTCTGCATGTCACCGCAAAATATCAATTATCGTGTGTATGCTCCATGACGACACGGAGCGGTAGCAGGTGAGTATATATAAAGACCTGAAAATGAAACAGTAACAAGTTTTGCAACTTGAGATCAAGACTGAAGATCGACAACGTACTTTCATATGTACTGAGGGAACTAAAGAAACAGGTAATGCAGATTTCTGATCATTTAGTATTGTTACGTTGGCTTAGGAGGGGGGTTTCTAAAACCATTCGGCCTTTTAGCTGTAAATGACCAACTGCAAAAAGGGACGACTTAGGTTCTGGGTAACAGACGGGTATTGAAACTTGCCATGCAGTTTGGAACAAACAATGCGGTTGTACTCAATCCGAATCAAGTTAGGCCTTTGAAACTTCATGATAGCTCTCAGCAATTAATATAATTAGGTTCCTTTCAGCTGATCGATCGGCTTTTAGAAGTAATTTACTTACTTTTCTTGAATAGGAATCAACCGGAGAAATCGTTTCTTTAGACATGAAATTTTATCCTTCTGTACCACCAGGCACCATCAGAAATATTTTATATGTATCCTAATGGCTCTAAAATCCTGGTGGCAAAGATTTATACTGAACTGCGGCAAATCAACACCGCCTAATTAATTACGTTCTACTTTTTGACTCGCAGATTCGAAGATGAATAAATTTGGCAAGGAAGCACTTGATGTCCACAACAAATACCGAGTCGTTCATCAAGTACCTGAGTTAAAGTGGTCAAGAAAATTAGAAAAAGACGCGGAAACGTGGGCCAATCAGCTAGCCAAAGAAGGCCGCCTGAAACACGACGATACAGATGACGGAGAAAATGTGTACGCTGTAATGGGAAAAGATGACGTTACTGGAGCAGAAGTCGTTGATCGGTGGTATTCAGAAGTTGAAAAGTAGGTAGAAGAATTAAACAATGGATATACTTTACGATGATGTGAAAAAAGAACACTTTGACTTGTGCGTTACAATCGCGATACTCCTGACCCTGGACAGGCCTGCGGATGAGACAAATCAGTGGTCTTCTAAATAGTTCATTTCTCGATAATTTCATGCAGCCATAAATAGACGAAATATCCCGGTCCGAAGTTAAAAATACTTGTTCTTAGTTAAGCCCATCACACTTTTTCGGAGTTGTATCACTAACAGGACCTTGTCACTTAGTTAAACGTTTTTTCTCTTTTTGCTAAACCGGTACCACTTGCCTTGGTCCATGTTAAAGCCGTGGGAAAAAAAAAGCGATCTTATTATAGATCTTATTATATAGAGGCATGCTAATTCTCAAGTTCGTTCTATTCTGGCATCCCTTATTTAAATCTGAATGAACATGACTTACGGTCTTCTTGGATAAGGGTAAACACTCATTCCACGTTAAGTGGGTAAATTGTGCCAAGGATTTTCAAAAAATCGAAGGTCAACAAATCAGACAAGTAGTTAGTTTAACCGAAAGATACATTATTGAAGGGTGAGAAGCCAAAATTTGGTCAACATATCTTTTATCTATAAAAAGTTATAGCCTGTTATTTAATAGCATCTAGTGTGATATTTTGTATGGCTTGAAACAGCACAGTGTTGCATTATAGTATGTTTTTTTTCAATTTAGCATACTATAAAATGTTTAAAATGAAATCCGTGGAAGGCTAAGGTCTGAGTTTTACATGAGTCAAGTCAGTGGCTCAAGGAATGAAAAAGTCAAGGTGTTCTGCCATGGTGTACTTTAATTTGGTCTGACGTAACGAAATATTGAGAATTTAAAATTGCTGTGTTTTTTTCAATGTTTTTTCTTTAAAAAAGCCGTCAGACTAAACATTATTTTGCTAAATGTGAAGGAAAGAAAGTGTTGTTTACCTTTTTTATAGTTTGGAAACATGTGATCTAGTAGAAAACGAGTGATTATCAAATAAGTTTCGGTAACGGAAGTTACAGAAGGAAGGTAATATTTCATTTCTCTTCCAACTACTTACTTTTGGGATTACAGACCGTCTTAAATAACAATGCATATGACTTATCCATTGAATTGAATTAATGCTAAACAATTTTGGATGAAATTTTGGAATTTTTGGGTGGAACAAGGCTAAAAACAACAAAATGAGCAAAATAAATTGCATTGAAAGAAAAAAAATTAATAGATACATGGTAATCTGTTAGAATTCGTACAAGAATTGTAATACATGAGTGTTGTAAGGTCCATTCACAGAAAAGAGGGTTGAACTAGCGAAAACAGCTTCAGATAATCCACTTCCTGTTTTGTGTAACCTCCGTTACTTTAAAAAAAATAATAAAATGATCAAGATGCCTGTCCCATTTTAATCTTATATTCCTAAATTGCCTAGAAATACTTCAAAGGAAAATAAACTTCTTTGAACTATGCACAAAAACTCGTCAAACCACAAACTCAGCTAAAATTCCCTTATCACACTTGACAGAGAGGTATCTCACCAATGGCACACGTATGAGGGTTACTTATGACGAAATATTCACCAGATGTCATCAAGGCTTGAGTTGTTTGATGGGGCAATCGTGTAACAGCATTTCCTGAAATTTTCCTGACGTTTATCCCATGTTTTAGAGACCGGACAAATTCTTGGTAACGGAAGTTACAATTCTACCTTTTCTGTTACATCTTGAAGTGAAATTAATAACTCGGAAAAACCAAACATACTCCATAATAATCCTCACTAGCTCCTCCGTCACCACAAAAATCAGCACGACCCACTTTTCATTTTTTTTCTTTTTCATTTTTGCTTATCAAAAAGAGCAAACTTAAGTAATATTTACCCGATGTAAATCATTCGCAGTATTTATTTCTAGGCCATTTGTGATCTGCCCTCAGATCGGTAGCGGAAGTTTCATAAAAATAGCGGACACCAGTTCACTGTCGTTAAAAGCAACAAAACTGACCTGCAGTGAGAAATTATCATGTAAGACTTTAGTTTAGGTCCCTCCCGAGACATTGGATTGATTAGTTTCCATAGTATAAGGCGACAAGCAAAAATATACCGTAACCTTCTATACTCACCCTCTCTGTGGACATAGCAAAATTGCATTTTTTGGACACTTTTGGCCTTGATTTCCTCAAAGTTACTGTCTACAGGAGCACAAAGGGGTACTGTCGCTATTTATTTGGGCATATTTTAAGTATTTTTCAGCGAAATGATTATTGGAAAACAATTTGAGTCCCCAAAACTTGCCATGGACACCAAAAAATGGTAATTTAACCACTTAACGTGGAATAAGTGTAAAGCCGGGCTCATATGTGTTCATGTTTTCTCTCACAGATATGACTTCAACAAGCCTGGATTTAAAAGCGGCATAGGTCATTTTACCCAGGTCGTGTGGAAGGAAACCAAGGAATTAGGAATTGCCAAGGCCAAAAGCGATGATGGAAAGATCTTCGTTGTTGCTCGATATCATCCGGCGGGAAATTACATGAATCAGTTTCAGGACAATGTTAAACCCAAGGTAGATGTTTGTCATTTAAAGGTTCTATAATAAGCCTAAGACTTTGTGTTCGGGAAGACCTTCATCACTATTCAGCTTTGCATGTCTCACTTATAAGTGCTGAGAATGGTGGTGCATAACACTTCCATGATTAACTTGCTGGAATAGTTTTAAAAATGCCAACGGGCGAAGAAAAATAGAAGATTAAACAGGGCTGAAGGAGATCCAATATAAAACGCCAAATACGACTGATATATAAGAAAATAACTGGCAGAAATACGTGACTTTAATTCTGAGGATTTTTTTTTTAATAAACTCTCTGTTTGCTATCTCAAGGCAACTGAACAGAATGGCGACGTCACCAAGCCGGCAGAGACAAAGAATATCACCAGTGATTCGGAGAAAAGAGGTAGGCCCCATTGAGAGCCCATCTTTGTAATATGAGTTGACATCCATATTTCTATGAGAAGTTGTTATATCTCCTAATGATAATTTCAGTATGATAGAGAAAATGATCATCGGCATCAGAAGCATAGTTATAATGTTTCTGTCAGCATCAATCAACAAAAGACTTTCAAAATGGTACTTGAGAGACCCGCTGAACTAAGAATTATATCCTACCGTTTTCGTTTACCTTTTATTTTAGTATTTGTTTTGTAGTGTGATGGCTGTTTTCAAATAAATTCGCTGATTTTTTTTGCTTAATGTCAGTTCTATAGTTTATCCAACAAAAACATTACCACATGTAGTACGGACTAAGTTGGAGACGAGCAAAAAACAAGTTTTAATTGTGTTTAGGGTAGGACCCTTTAATCCGAGCTTACACTTTTTTTTCTTAGTCTTTTCCAACTAACCGACACATTTAACCATTCTTTTAGACTGTAAAGCCACATCCTCCCCTAAAGAAGAATTTCCAAAGCAATCTCTGGACGCACACAATAAGTTTCGTTCAATGCATGGCGTGCCACCCTTGAGTTGGGCTGATGACCTGGCCAAGGATGCACAAGTATGGGCTGAAAAGCTAGCAAATGCTCGAACATTACAGCATGCCAGTAAGAGTGAAAGAAATGATGCTGGAGAGAATATAGCCATGTTTACAGGGAGCTTTGATACAGCTGGAGAAAAAGCAACCGACATGTGGTACGTAATATACAGACTACTTCATTGAGAACTAGGCAGGAAATGTAAACGATAACTAAGAACAACTCCAGATTCAGTTTACTGTGAACAAAATAACCCCCTGTAAAGCGTACAACCATTAGATCGACAATTTATGAAATTTATCCCTGTGGAGCTTTCAAAATATATATGCTATAAAGATTGTAGACTTTTCGCTTTCAAAACTCCGTTTAGTTAAAGGTGTCTGAATGAAATGTAGTTATGAAAACTATTACTTGAATGAAAAGATTCTTACTAATTATTTCAGTTAGCCTGCGTATAGTTTTGCGCAATAACTCGATTGGAAACGCTTGCTGCGCAGGTTATAGTTTGAGTTTGCTCTACGTTCGATTTGATTGCGTCTTGTTGCAGGTATGGCGAATACAAAGACTATGATTTCAGTCGTGGTGGATGGCAGAAAGGCACTGGGCATTTTACCCAGGTCGTATGGAAAAGTACCAAAGAGTTGGGAATTGGTAGAGCGAAAACCGCGGATGGAAAAATGACGTTTGTGGTTGGCAGATATCGACCTGCAGGCAACATAATCAACTACATGGCAGATAACGTTTTTAACTTGAGCCACAAAGCATAAATTCAAGCACAGTCTGGACGTTTTCTTTTGTAACCTTTAAGAATCAACGCGCATTTTTTGAAATGGTCTGTTAGAGTCAAGTGAATAGTTTAGGACTGGTTGATAGGCAAAACTACAGTTAAAAATTAGGATTCGATGGAAACAAGATTTTAAATAATATTTTTGAGGCGGTCCTTTCATAAAGTGATTTGTTTTAAATTTGATGGGGAAGTAAATGTCTTTTTAGTCAATTGTTGTCTGAGTCGTGGCTTACGAGAACCTAAAATAAAAAGATAAACGACCTGCATTTAGTTCACAATTCCCCAGTGGAATACTGGGGACAATAACGAGAAACTTAATAACATAGAAAACACTTTTAATATAATATAGCTGCGATATTTGTTATCGTATGCTTAATTTACAAAGCATAAGATAGTGTGGTAGCTGAGGAAACACTTTAAACGTGCCCTGTCTGTTTAAAACCGCTGGAGTAGCGTGAGATTTTGGCGGAAAGTATATAAAGACTTATAGCGCTGAAGTGGCACAAAACCAGGGGGGGGAGGGGGGGCATGCTCCCCCAGAAAATGTTTAACTGATTTAGGGTCTGGGAAATGCCATCTTCTGCGTTTTTTTGCAGAGCATTTTCACTAAATCAATACGAAGGAAAATGCAGCAATTAGTTTTTTTTATTTTACATATCTCCTAGTTTAGTTTAGTTTAGTTTATTGATATTTGTCAAGAAAGAATTCACATAAATACAAACAACAGCACGCTGACAGGAGATCAGTGAAAACAGGGCAGGAGTTAGCCCCAATTGACTTTCAACCCCTACAATGTCTAAAGCTATAACTCAAAAATACTAAAATCATACAAAAAAAGAAAGATGTATAAGAAGAAAGAAAGGGTGTGCGGATAATAAGAGTGAGCTACAGCGTGTGTAACTATGGCTTCCGATAAGAACTTAGCCTGGTCTTATAGCCCGTGAGCATGTAGAAAACTTTTAAACGGTCAAGCACCAGTAGCAATTGCTTAATAGAATGAGGGAGACTATTCCAAAACCTAAGCGTCCTAGGGAAATACGACTTAAGCCGGTATAAAGTAATCCTGGTTGTGAACGGACAGAAGACGGAATTTGCAGCGTCGTAATTTCGAGTAGTGTATCGAGGTACTGCAGAAACCAAAACACAATAGAAATTTGCAGTAACAACACAAAACTTAAACTTAAACTGGAGAACTAAGTCGAGAACTAAGTTTATCGGTAACGGTACGGGATAAAAAGGTGGGTAAAACAGTACACCATCAAGGAGGTTACAAGCAAAAGGGCGAGATGTATACTAACCCTTCAGATAGGGAAACGCTGTCACAACGCCGTTAATATCAATTATTAATGTCCTAAGTTTGACAGCAACGCAACGCATGCAAAATGGAGAACGGCCTGTTCAAAAAAAGCATTCTTTAACTAAGGTTATACTTGCTGGATTTTTTGGTCGTTCCTAAATTATAGTCTGTTTCGTAACAGGATCGAATTCACGGATCGATTATACATATCTTAACGTTCAAGTCTCTCTACGAAAAAAGAGGAGGGGACACCAAAAGGCTTCTTAAGTCATTTCATCCTAGTAAGCAAAGCTCCAGGAAAATTATGAGTTAAAGTGAAAGAGATTTAGGATGAATCCTATATATCGAAGATTGTAAAATATTGAAATTATTGGTTTTCCGCACTTAAAAATCCCAAAATTATTTGGGGTTGTGCTGTAGGGCAAAGGTAGGCTGATACACTAATGAATGGTAAAGAGAAATAATCATTATATTAAGACAAAAGAGACCTTGAGAACTCAGGACATAGTCATTTGCATCAAGGACAACTCGCCCGTGGCAGGTGTTCAGCTGTCTGGTTTAAGGCCAGTACTGCTATATTTGTTCTGTCCAGGAGCGACGGAAAACTCGGTTGTCTGCTTAATGACGACTTGCGACAGCAAGATACTCGCCAAACGTTTTTGAGGTTTCTTCCATAAACACCGTACATTATGGGATCCAGCACTGTATTTAGACAAAGCAACAGCTGGCTGGCCCTCCATATCATGTCTGGTCGTGCTAAGTCAAAATACATCAGAGTTCTCGTGGTCATGAATGGAGACCAGCACAAAACAAACACAACTGTTAAAGCTAAAAGAGTTTTGGCAACCTTTCTATGACGTCTCCTGGAGATTTCGGCTCCTTGCAGTGTCCGCGGCACAATTCGTTGTTTGCGCAAAGCGCGGAATATCTTGCTTTGTGAATAAACCATGTAACACAATGGAAAAACAAAGAAAAATAAGGCATGCAAGCTGTAGAATACCTTTCGAGCGATACCTCCCAATGCCAAGTTATCGCATTCTGTTTTTTCTTTTTCTTGGATGACTCTTGTCTGATACAAGAAAAGTAAAGGTGAGCAGGCGAGCACACCAGTTCCCCACAAAAGTAATATTTTTCGATATTGTTTATTCGAGATATTTCTTGCCCTTGTCTTCAGGGGATCCGTAATGGCCGTAAGTCTCTGGTAGCTTATCAGTACAAGGTTTGTTATTGAGACAGTATAGGTCGTCTCGACAGAGAATCCCTGTAATTTACAAAGAACATCGCCACCTATCCAATTCCACAAAAACGCAATGCCGTTGAAAATAGTTAGAAACGTAAAAAGAAGATCTGCAGCTGCCAAATTCAGTATGCACCATGTCAAAGAAACCTTGTTCCTCTTCAGCGCTCTCCAACAGTTGAGAATTACCCAAGTGTTACCGACCACGGAAAGAGTAAATGTCAAGAAGAAAAACACAATATAGGCCACCAGCAAGGGAAATGGAAAATTATCACTTGTCATGATTTGATTTGATGGAAATGACAATAACTCGGTCAAACAATTTAGTCCTCTTTGAAAAACGTAAGAACAAACTTCTTTTGCTTTTGGTTTCCCAAAGGCTAACTTTCCTTCCACATGACGTTGCTCATTGAGTTCTGACAGGTTAAATTTACTTGTGTCTGATGTGTTTTGTGGATGAATTTAGCGTCAGGTGGACAACACTGTTGTTAATTCTAATTAAAAGAAGCACACTCATTGGACATTTGGATATGTAGGGTAGGCTTGCTGGAGCCTTTGATTTCTTGGAGAATACTAATATGACAGTAAGGGCAGAGTCAATCATCACCTGTGTGACACAGGTGATGATTGGTGATGATTTAGTTAAAAAAAAAAAAAGCGTTCTAAATCTGGGAAGTGTTGAACATTGGGTATTTTATCACAAAGATGACAGGAAAATGGAACTGGTGCGGTGAAGCTTTTTGAAAGCTGCGTGGAATAGGAATGCTTGCTAATGTACTAATGTTGAAATATGTTGTTTATAAAACCGCATACTTTCTTTTATTAAAAATTATGAAAACGTGAGTAAATTTTGTAGTTATTAATTACCTGTCACTGGCGTGAAAAGTAAAATGACGCCCTCTGTTCACACCCATCAGAGTGACTTCAGATAAGTGTAAATTAGTTCTCTGAACGGCCATAACTAGATTTTATAATCAGCAGTTATTTAATTTGTTATTCCTTCTTGGTACTAAAAAAAAGAAGACACCAAGCAAGTGCATTTCAGATGGTATATCCAGAAACATCTCTTAAACCATTCATTTTTTTTTCATTCAATTTCGACCAAAGATTCCGAAATTTCATTTTGTGAAATTTTGAAAAACAAATAGCACCATGTGTAAGTACAGGCGGAGAGGTTTCATTTGATGCCGGTCACATCATAGGATTTCGTCCGCAGACTCAAAAGTTAAAACTACATACTAAATAAATAGCACCGTGTGAAAGTACTGCTGAAGAGGTTTCATTTGAATGGTAACAATATAGGATTTCATCCACAGACTCAAAAGTTAGAACTACATACTAAGCAAATAGTACCGTGTGAAAGTACTGATGAAGAGGTTTCATTTGAATGGTAACACTATAGGATTTCATCCACAGACTCAAAAGTTAGAACTACATACTAAATAAATAGCACCATGTGAAAGTACTGCTGAAGAGGTTTCATTTGAATGGTAACACCATAGGATTTCATCCACAGACTCAAAAGTTAGAACTACATACTAAATAAATAGCACCATGTGAAAGTACTGCTGAAGAGGTTTCATTTGAATGGTCACATCATAGGAGTTGGTCAGCAGACTCAAAAGTTAGAGTCACCTTGCAAAACTCCTTCAAGCACTCTGACAGTGAAAGGGTTAAATTAAAGGGGCTCAGGTCACGAGGATATTGTAGTTGTGTTAGGCCAATTCTTTGCTGAGGCTGCGTGCATTACTTGGTGTCCTAACACGAAATGCACCTGTAGAGGATGGTAGTCTAGAAGATATCAAACAAATTCCATCAGGGAGCACGGAGCACTAGCCTTAAGACACTTTTTTTGGTGATTTTTGTAGGTATGACATTAAACTTGAAAAAGTTGGCCCAATTTTTTCAAGGTTCATTCCATGTCAATCCTTGCTATCCGTAGCAACGTAACAGACGACAAGAAACAGTTTCAATCCTTAAATATAGCCTTAAGCAATGAGAATGGACTATCAGTTATTTTTAGAATTCGACTGATGCGAAGACTGTAATTAGATCAATCTGGAATTAGAAATCAACAACGCAAAATCATACCCATCAGAGTGACTGATGGAAAATCCAAGATGAGCAATCCGCCGTACGGAAAAAGAGGGCGGCTGTACATTTTACCACAATTCCTTTCGAACCTAACACGGCCAATTACACATAAAGTCATATTTTTTTTTGTGGGGGGCGGGGTAAATTGTCGCTGTAATAGCAACATTGCCTATCCTAGGTTTGAAGTTTATAAAACTTTTCTGTGCGTTTTTATGAGCAATTTTATGGTTTTCATGCGCTAAGAACTGTGGTTAAATGTACCAGTCGCCATCTTTTTAGGTACGGTGGAATTAAAAAAAATAACAACAAGAAATCAGAAATTCCAGACGTGCGAAATCATGCGCCACTCAAATCACAGTTATTAGATCGGCAATCTAGAATTAAAAATCTACAAAGCAAAAGTCGAATCATAATAAAAAAAAATCAGCCGTTGTTGTGTACGGGTTTCGCTTTGCAAATAACGAGATGATCGCCGTTAAGAGCGAGAGAGCTTCTATAGAAACTTCTCAAAATGAAGACCATCAAAGAGAAAAGTAATTGAATTTTTGATAAAAAGTTTTTTCTTTATTTCTAGGCACAGGGTTTCATTCCTCTTTAATCAAAAGGTAAATGGAATTTTTCAACACTCATAAGAGGAAGAGCCATAAACATGTGAAACACTACCGATCACATAATTACCATTTAATAGGGACTAGATCCAACGACGCAACGGCAACGAAAACGTCGCTTAAAAAGTTAATTATCGTTCTTTCCGTCTTAATTGCGATTATTCCTACCCTCCTACTTTGTCAAATGTAAGCGAACCCTCCTGAAGTTGAATTTCAAGGGACCGTATCCAAGTTCAAAAATAGAACTAAAATTTCGTCGTTGCTTGTTTACGTTCTCGATAAAACGCAAAATTACTAAAGGCATTTTTACGTCGTAGTCGTGCAAAAACGGGCAAAGCAATATACAAAAAAGTGTGATGCAATTGCGAAGTTGTCGTTCGTTTTCCTTATTAAGCCTATATTTTTTTAATAGACGTTCTTGTGGCCGTCGCGTCGCTCAGATAAAAGAGACTTTAAGATCCAACGACGAGACGGCAACAAGAACGTCTAAAAACTATAGAGTGTTTTCACATGACGTCAAGGCGGCCATATTGGTGTCCCAAAACAATGAAACGGCGCCATGTTGGTGTCCAAAGTAAATCTTGTGGGAGTTGAACTCTTTTCTTATGCAAAAACTTTCTTTTGTTCCAATAAATTGCAATAGATGATGGCCGCGTGAGTGAAAACGCTCTCTTGGTTAAATAAGCAAAACAACTTCGCATCTGCATCATATTTTTTTGTACATTTCTTTGCCGTTTTCCTGGACTACGACGTGAAATTGCCTAAGCTCGCGTTTTACAGCATGGAGAACGAAAACAAGCAACGACAAAATTTTATTTCTTTTTCTGCACTTGGAGATATGGTCCCTTGGAATTCAACTTCAGGAGGATTCGCCTACATTTGACAAAGAAAGTGGCTAAGAATGATTGCGATAAAGATTGAAAGAACGCAAATTCACTTTTTAATTAACTATAAGGCTTAAGAGACGTTCTCGTTGCCGTCACGCCGCTGGATCTTAAAGTCCCTAACATGGTCTTGCGAACGAAGTAAACTTTGAATTTATTTTAGAAGTCTTGAGCAGAATGTGTTGAAGCATTGAAAGTAATATATCAAGCATTAAAAAAGGAGTATTTCAGACAAAATTCGGACATTGAAGGGCTGCGCTAAAAATACGAGATCTATACACGGTGCTTTTTAGTTAACTTCGAGGTATCGGACTCAGAATTGGATATGGGATAATATAATTGTGATTGATTGACATAACTTCTAAGACTGTATAACTTTTCAATCTAAGTGATCTAATCTCTTCTGAAATTTTGTTTTCTCAGAGAGAACCTAATGGAATACCGATTTATCCTAAAGAAATCAAAGATTAAACCTGAAGAGAATACCCTCGGATACTTTGGTGGATAGACTGTATATCAGTATCGACGGTAGAATTTTCACGATAAATTTTCCTTCTTAATTAGATACAATTTAAAATCAAAACCAAAAGATCCCAGCTGTTCAGGTGCCGATCAGTAAACATGTGTTACAATAAAATAAAGCACACTAAGGGGCTCAAAAGCTACACAATTGCTCTTCGCGACTGATCTGACTAGAGGTGGTTACAAAGTTGTGTCTCACTTATCTCACTAAGCCGTGATGGCAATGAATCATGGTTTTACTTTAATTTTAAGCAAAGAACGCAGCGGAGTTGAAATGTACGTTATTTAAAGCTTAAAAGCTTGCTGAGCTTGGCTGAGGAGAGACCACACGATGTTCCACAGAAATACGATACAACGGTAAATAGAAACCTCGGAAAATTGCTCGTAGATGCTAACTCAGCCGCCGGGTATATATTGATTCATAGGCTTTCCAAAAACGAACATGATATTCATGCCTAGACATCCGATCACTGATTTTTTAAGGTGAATCACTGAGTCAGCGAGTGCGTCTTTTTGCAGACGCTAATTACCTGCAAAATATCAAAAGGTTTATACATAGGAAATCATAATCGACAAAAAGGGTTGTGTTTTTCCCACGAGAGCCATTGTGTCATTGAATGAAAACCGACGTATCAAACAAGGCTAGAACACAATAAAGAATGCATTGGGTATCACCGACAAATTTAGAAGAGTTTCCCAACGGCGAGACATTTTAATCTGTTACTATGATCAATTTCCTTTTTGCAAAATTTAATAAGTATACGTTTTCTTTTTTAATTAATATGTTACGTTTTAAGGTTTTTATATCTCCGTGCTATCACTTAAATTTAAATCACATGAAAAAATAAGGAAATAAAAATAGAAAACATTTCTCAAACCGATGGTTGGGGATAGAGGAGAAGCAGCATGAAGTAGAGTGTAATCGTGAAAATACAGACCAGGGGCTGTGATGCCAACCGTCATTTTAACCAAAACAATAATTATTTTTTATTATTGACAGATACCTTTAAAACGTATGCAGATCAATTTTACCACGTCAAACGTCAAATGGAAGGAAGATTGGCTTTGCTTGAATAAATATGACGTCGTGACTGTGTTAAGACACTAAATAAACAAGTACTTTTAGCGTGGATAACTGGCTGCTAGCGGCATTCGCATCGATATGGCAAAAAAC